TCCATACTAAACGGTCTTAGACCTATAGGTAAACGGCTATACCCGATACCAAAGAACATCTCTGCCCGATACTGACGAGCTCCTAAAGAGCGAAACAGGCCGTCTATCGGTGCCGGTGAAGAGCACGCTTGAATTTAAACAAAAGTGAGACGAAGTAATTGCAATTCCAAAAATAAGCGAATACGAGCAAATTATTAAAATGATTTTAATAAAATCAATTTAACAAATTCGTTTGTTCTATGGTAATTAAACTGGACATGTCAAATAAGCAACGATCCAGTATGTAATTTTTTCATCAGTACCTTAGTACTTCAATATCCAAAACGGTAAATTCTAAAGAAGTCTTTATAAGTTTATACAGTAGGACTCTTTAAAATGCTTAATTGCGAAGTCAAAGAAATGGGTTCCTCAAGAGTTATTTTTTGAGAAGTCTTGATTAGTTCTATAGGTGGCGCATTCTAAGTATTAAGAACTTCTTAAAAACTTCTTTTTGATGTTGTATTTGACTCCCAAATCATAAAATAGAGCTTATGCAGACTTAATTAAGACGTCATATTGCTGTCTGGGTTAATATTAATATTAATAATTAATTAATTATAATGTATACCTATATTGTCCAGGACTAATAATGATCAGTAACTTAAGTTAATTAATTGCAAATTTAAAGAAGAAAAAGTTTCGTGATTATTGCTTATCATTTTCAAAGACAGAAAAATTAACTACTAGATTTTTCACAAAAAGGTTGGACCTAACAGGAAATAATTTTTATATTGTTTTTTTATTGCCCCCTTATTTTTTAAAATTTCAAAAAAATTTGATCTGCTTGGCTGAAATTTTCAGCCTACAAATAATGTGTGATTTAATATTTGTAAAACCAAAAACGTTACTTTTTTACTCCAAAAATGTCCATAAGGCCGAATTGCCAGTCATGATAGAATAAAGTTTATTTTTTTTTACAAATAGGAGTAAAATGGTTGTCCAGACCTTGTTGTGTGGATTCTGATTAGAGGTAAAAATTTATTTTTATCTAAAATGATTTTATTTAAATTTGCAATTTTCATCCGCAATTCAAAAACGCCAATTTGACATAATTTGCTGCCCTTGCTCTATATTTATAATAATTATTGTAAATAAAACATACAACAACTTCACTTCCTTTTTGTTCTTAAATGTAACGGTATTTCTGTACTTAACAGTAAACATGAATATAAACAAATCAAAAGGCGTGTCCTTTTAATAACATACATATGTTTTAAGGAATGCAAATAGATATGGAAAACAGTTACGTGGAACAGACTTAATAGATTATGCAGGTATCTTAACGGTAAAACTGCATCTGCGATATTAAAGTTATACCTAACGGTAATAGGAAAGTAAATTTTGCAGTCAAGGATTTAGGTCTAAGATCACTTTATGTACATTGGTTAACTAATTGTTATAATTGCTCAATAGTTTAATTTTGCTTGTGGAGTAGTGCGTGGTTTTAATTTTGATTTTAAGGAATATTTATTTTAATTTATCTACTGTGCTTACGTGAGTCGTTGTATATTTTTTGGTAACACTAAAATATTTTTAGTTATTTTTAAATTTCCCCTTTAACATTATTAAGCAATTGCTTCGTTTAGAAAAAAATGAAATTTTATTAATAAGGTAGGTATAATATAGGTATTTAATTTTTTTTTCAAAACTTTAATAATTAATCAAAATATCTTATTTAAAAAAAAAATAATAAGCACTTGAACATTCTGATTGTTGTTAAAGTAAGCTTATTAATTGTTTATTTTTAAGTTTAGGATGCCTACCCAATAAACATGTTTGTTTTTATAGTGGTTTCCATAAATGTTATGTCATCCAAATTATAAAACCTAAATTTCTTAAGTTGGTTACAGAAATATTTATATCTTTCTTATATACCCCTTAAAGAGCTTATTTGGACTACGGAAACCACTATATAACTATAGTTCTTATAAGAACTGCTACCGGCTTTTTTCCTTCTTTTAATATTTCTCTCTCCCTCAGGCAAATTTATATTTCTTCATAGATACGCTATCTTTCTTATTGGCATCTTATTCATTAACTTGTTTAATAAACCATGTAAATATTTTGAGAAGCCAAGTATGGCGAAAATATTAATGGTATATAATTTAAATCTAAGATTTTTTACTCAATACGACTTAAAGTGCAAAGTAATTTTTATTGTAAATATGTAGGCAATACTTCGAAAAACATTAATGTTTTTCGAAGTATTGCGTACATATTTACAATAAAAATTACTTTGCACTTTAAGTCGTATTGAGTAAAAAATCTTAGATTTAAATTATATACCATTAATATTTTTTTAATTAAAATAGGGACCAAAACATAAATATTTTTATACTATTAAAAAATATTTGAAAATGTTTTTTTTAACACATTAATTAATAAGATATTAATTAATATATTTCTTTTGCTTACATTAAATTAGTGATTTTTTTACCTTGGTTTGGCGAATTAAGTTGTTTTTCTAATACAATTTGATTAACATTTATTTTATGTAAAAAACAATCATGCCGGAAAGAATGTATCAACCTTGAGCCCTCTTATATTGCTCATGGTAATTTTATATAACCTAAGGTAATAGTTCAGTTTTATAGGACTATCTGAGTTACTTAAAGTGTTATTGGTTTTAACGCAATGGAATCAACTTATTTCACCAAACATTCGATTTAATCCACTTTTAAAATATTTATTTTAAAATTATATTACGTAATATTTAAGTAGGTACTTATATATTCTATGCTAAATATTTTCTATTCAACCAATTTTTAATTAAAATTATGAAAACGCATTGCGTCGAAAGCTAATACGATGCTTAATTTATGATTCAATTACTAAACATTTTTGGTTTATTAAGCACATAAATAATTAACAATTCAGTTTTTATTTCAAAAAATTAAAGACACAATACGGCCATTTCAAGCGGATGGACGGGACAAATCACAAAACTGTTTTTATTAAAAAAATTGTAGCTAATTTATTATATATTATTTTTGCATCAAAATTGTCAAAAAAATTCTTCTATTATAAGGGTATACATTAAATAAAAAAAATCGCAAGAAATATTTTATAAAAGTAGAGATAATTTTAATAATTGACAGGGATGGACGGGACAAGATAAATCTTTTTTTTGTCCCGTCCACACCTTTCAATTATTAAAATTATATCTACTTTCATAAAATATTTCTTGAGTTTTTTTTATTTAATGTATAACCTAATAAAAGAAGAATATTTTTGCCAATTTTGATGCCAAAATATTATATAATAAATAATCTACAATTTTTTTTATAAAAACAGTTTTGTAATTCGTGCGTTTCGCGCGCTTGAAATGGCCGAATAGTTTTCCCAAGCAGCATTTTTGGTTCCAAAAACCATTGCCAAAGTGGTGATAACTTTAAATAAGTTAAGTATACTAAACAGCTACTTTAATTTTTACTTAAAAGTAATTCTAACTTTTAAATATCATTATTTTGTAACAGAAACTTAATTTTTCCTTAAATGGTTACTATAAAGTAATAAACATTTAAGTAAAACTTGTTTGCCCCCAAGAAGACTTTGCAACTTTAAAAAAGGTGTTATAAGTAAAAAAAACTTTCAAGTAAATTTAATTTGTAGCAGTTACTTTCGGTTGCTACCTAAAGATTACATTATAATTATTTTTACTTTGTAGTCCCTTTGCAAGTTAAAATCTCGAAACTGGAACATGAGTTGAAAACTACAAAGTTAATAACTTAAAAGTTATTATTTTAGTATTTGCATGGAACGTATTTCCATGGAAGTATTTGCATGGAAAGTATTTGCATGAAAAGTATTTCCATGGAAAGTATTTCCATGGAACGTTTATGGTACCAACCAAAACAACCGTAAAGTGGAAAAAACTTTAAAGTAGCGAAAACTACTTCAAAGGAAAATGCTTCTTATCGGCCATTTTTTACTGTACAGTACCACGTGGTAATGTAAATAATAAATTATTTTAATTGTTTGTAAATGGTTGTTTACTTTTTAATAAATAGTAATTTTGTTGGTAATAGACGGTATTATTAATTAAATAAAAAATTAATAATAAATATTAAGATTTTTTAATTTATAAACATTATTAAATAAATAATTTGTTTATACTTAAATATTGATGAAGCGCATTTATTTTACAAAAACTAAGTTCAACAGTAAAATTTAAAGGGTTTATAAATTTACCTGCCTAATTAAACATTATATTGTTATTCTGGAAGTTATAAACTACCAGTAGATATTTAATAAACGACATTGAAAAGCCAAGTCCGTAGTGGTTCCATTTAAAAAAGGAGGGATAGTATAATCTAATATAAGTTTGACAAAGACAGTTAATATACAAGTAAAAACAAATAAATAAAAGTAATTATAACGCTCTAGCTACGATATTGGAACGTTCTAGTACCGTAGCAGCTACGTTCCAAATAGTAGCAGGGTTTATAGCTAGTGACATATTTGTTACCTTTTTGGAACTCAATAATTGTTCCCCACTTTAGTCGTAACTTAGTAATGAAAGAGTAATATAAAGAGACCGGCGACTGTCGCAAAACACTTTAAAGTTTCTTCAATAGTCCCATATACGTAACAAATACTTAAATTGTTGCTTGGGTTTATAAAACAGGTAACCGCAAACTTTATTAAACTCCTTTATAAACCTACTGGTAACAGTTACTAAAGGTTATATAAAATGGTTGTAGGAACAATTATATAACCTAATTATATACCTAGAGTTTACAGTAACCTTATATAACCATTATAAAACTATTAAACTAACTCTTATATAACCTTTATATAATTCCGAAAGAAACATGTTTCTGCAGTGTAAAATTGCCAGAAAACTGGGTTAAATTATGTAAAAAATTATAAGCAAATTGTTTTTTTTTATAATAAATCTAACGGAATCAAGCACAGATTAACTTATTTACATTAAAACTATGCATTTTAAAAATCTCACGTGAGATTAAGGGAGGGGGGCAGTTTTTTAAAATCGCCAAAATTGCCTCAGATAATTAATGGATGCTCCCTTATATTGTATTTATTCCTGATGATTTTCTTGTGAAATCCTGCTAATATTTTTTTATCTATTTCAGTGTAAAAGCTTGTACCTACCTACACTTATAATTTAAAATGGCCTGGATATCCTCACACCCTGTACACAACACCTTCGCTTCCCTTTGTGTTAAAAATGGGGACACCTTCAAAGTGAACAACGATTGTTTAGGTAAGAAAATTACCACAAAACAACGATGTCAATCATATAAACCCTTTCCACAGCCATTCTAGAAGAAATATTACGAAAACTAGACAATGAAGACTGCTCGCTGAGGACGTTTCGTCGCGCCATAGGTTTCGGTCAAAACATCAGAAAGAACTTGATACCCTTACTCCTCCACGTGAAAGACGACGCAAAAATTACAGACGCCACCAAAATCATCGACACTACCATCAAGATACTGGTCAACCTGACTATCCCTGTGGAATGCCTCCTTTCCATAGACTCCATGTCCAGGAGCGATGTGGGAAAACACACCATCTTCGAGCTAAACAAACTTTTAACCACAAGCAAAGCGGCTTTTATTGACAGCAAAAGCACCAAAGCTGTGGTGGATCACATGAAGTATTTGGTTGAAAATTATTCCCAGTTGGATTTGGAGCAGTGTGATAGCATTAATAATTGCTTGCTACTTTTGAGGAATATTCTGCACGTGCCTGAAGCTAAAACCACCGTTTCCAATTCTAGCATGCAGAATCAGATAATATGGAATCTATTTACGCAGAGTATTGATAAGATTATCATTTATCTCATGTCTTGTCCTCAAAAGGTAAAACACAAATTCCTACGTCTTACCCAGAGAGCCATATCAGTTTAAAACTTGGCCAACATTTGACCTTTCACCTTTAAAAAATGTTTGCCAATAAAAGTACAATATAGGACAATATTCTTATGATAATAAATAAATAATAAATTGTGCCCAATAATATGCAAAAGCAGTAGGGATTAAGTAGAATTAAGTAGGGATTAAGTTAGCTAACCTAGGTAGGTTACCGTTGGTTTCATTTTGGGAATGTTTGGGCATGGAAAAACGATGAAATTTTTTTTGTTTATTTGGGCAAATATTAGGCTTTTGAAAAATTGACCAATGACATAATATTGATAAATATTTTATCAAAATATATTTACAAATATTATAATTTTATTTGAAAGAATATTACTAAAAAAGCTTTTAACCCTGAACTGGTATGGTGATTTCCAAGCAACACAACTAGTATTGTTGGGTCAATTTTGACCCAGCCCTAATAAAGTAGGGGAGGTTACAGTTTTTTTGACTAACTATACTTTAATTTGTTAGTTTAGAGGAAAAAAACCTAAAAATGAAAAAAACTCAAATTTATTCAAATTTTTTAATACATAAACACGAAAATAAAATATGAACCTAAAAAACATCGTTCAACGATTTTAGCAAAATAATTTTTTTTTTGTCATAAACATGATTAAAATATATCAAATTAATAAAAACATGACATAAACACACTAAGAAACTAAAAAAACATTGTAGAAATTCCCAAACAAAAATCTAACAAGGGCTTTTCAGGAACCAATGCAGTGGCTAGAAAACTAATTATTTAAATACCGGGCAAAGCACAAACGGAAACTGAGGCATGAATGCTACACTGGTAAGTACGTCGAACGCTTGAGGAATGCCTGCAGTCTCAATAGTATTGCGTTTCGTTGACCCAACAATACCAGTTCAGGGTTAAAAATCTATTAATTTTTTGTATAGTAAGTATTTGAAAATTGGGTAAAGAAAACAACAAATACAGGCACAGAAAACAATTAAAACATTTTTTAAATTTTTTTTATTATAATTAACAAATATTTTAAATAATAAAAATTGAAAAAAAAAATTGTTTTTTATGAAGAATCCTAAGAAAAGTTTTTTAATTTGTTCAGTAAAATAAGGCTTTTTTTATTTCAAGTTCAAGGCCACGTCAAAAGACCTCTGAAACAAAAAATAAGTACATAATATAGAACTACCGATGTAAATTTATATTACTTCAAAATAAACGAGAAAATAACAATCTTTGAAAAGTAAAAAATTGTATAATTATTGAATTATTCATTAAAAAACTTGAAAACATAACCTTATAAGGTAAGTAATTATAATTACTTACTCAAAATTTAAAGCTCTTTAAAACTTAACACACGTTTAGTTAGTGTCCAAACCATGGTTCTCTGGGTATACCTACGCGTAAAAACCTGTATAGAAATTTTATAATTTTAAATTTTCTTAGATGTTTTGGGGTGTAACCATGGTGCAACTGATAGCCTTAATGTACAAAGACCAACACGTCGGTACCTTACAAAAATTATTGAATTTGTGGCTCGAAGCTTCCTTCAGCGAAAGCTCCGAAGATAATGAAAGCAACACCTCGCCTCCCGACCAAAACAGTGGCGACTCTTCGCCCCTTATAACTTCGGATCCCACTTCTGATTCCAGCGACAACGGGGGAAGCGTCAGGAACAAAAATGTTAACGCATTGGTATGATGATTTTTCACGTATTCACACACTTTATAAATTGTCTTTTAGAGCAACACGATGACCGCTGAACGGAACAAAATTAACCAGAACCGCAGCAAAGCTCTCGTAATTATGAAACGCGGCAAGTCGACGGAAACGGAAATCAGCACGAGCAGCAGTGGAATCTTCAGCATGGGACAAAGTTTCGACTCCTCGATAAAATCCAGCGGCAACGAAAAGCACGAACCGCCAACCTCCAACACAACGCAGACCAATCAAATCAACGGAAACGGTAACAACCAGAAAAGGGGTTCGTTGCAAAGTGAAGTTTCCGATTGTGGTTACGTAACGCAAGCTGAGAATCAAGAATCGATTTCTACGTCCAGTAACGATGATGATCAGCCTCATCAGAAGCCTGTACATCAGAAACCGCATATGTTTCAGAAGTCCAGGTACAACAACGGGAAGAATAGGGCTACTACTGCTTTGGAGAAGAAGGAATTTAGGCGGAAGAAGTTGGTTAAGAGGAGTAAGACAAACCTGTAAGTAACACTCTCTTTTTTAAGAACATTAAGATACTCTTCCAGCAAACACATAAGTCTAATTATGTAATGGTCCATTTCATAGTTTCATGGCTTATTAATGGCATTATTAACCAAAGCCTTTTCACACTGAAAGAAAAAATAGTTAAATTAACCAATAAATTGTTAAATCAACAGTTGTTGCACATTTGATACTAACAATGTTTACTTAAGGAGTTAAAAGAACCATTCATGAATGTTAAAATATAAATGTTGTTTTAAAAAATTAAAATTATTAAATTAAAATTTCAGAAATATATTTTAATCTATTAAACCTATTTTTGGTCCATTATTAAAAATATTAATTTAATGCACAATCAGTAGTGAAATAATAAACATGAGAGCAATTTTAATCTTTAAAATTAATTGGATTAATAAATTTAAAGGTAACAAAAATGAATTGTTACTTAAATCAAATAATTAAAATATTTATTCAAAAATGTTACTTAAAAAAGAATGTTTTATTTAAAATATTGGATAATTATGTAAAATGTTACTAATTGGAAAGGTTGAATAAAATATTAAATTTATTTAAAAAAACTTTATTATAAAAATACAAATTTACTTGAACACAAAATAAAACAAAATACATTTTAATCAAAAAATTTGGTTTTAATAGAAAATCCGATTTTTATATTATTTAAAAAAAATCATGATTTTTTAAACCCTGTTATTAACAACAAACAAAAGTTTAATTGATTACGTATACACTACTTAAATACTTATGCAATACTTGAATATGTATACACTACTTATAAGTTATAACCGTAATAGTTTTTTGTATTCCTTTTATTTCTTTAAAAACCTGCTTTTAGAATTAAGTCTTTTAAAATTTCGTAGGTATACTGTAGATTTATTTAGTTCATTAAACGTTTATAAAGGGCCATTAAAGAATTATGGAATTTTTTTTCAGCATAAACATGAAAGGCTTAATCCATCACCTTCCAACCGACGAAAACATCGCCAACATACTAAAAGAATTCACTGTAGATTTTCTCCTGAAAGGCTATGGAACTTTAGTCCAAGACCTTTACTCTCAATTACTCACAAACATTCACCTCCAAATTGACACCTCCCACTTTTTCTGGTTGGTCACCTATTTCCTCAAATTCGCCACCCAGTTGGAACTGGAACCTGAACACATAAGTCCAGTTTTGTCCTTCGAAATTTTGTCCTATCTGGTCTTTCAAGGGGTATGGGTGTACGAAGAGCTGGAAATCAGTCGCAGGATGCCCGATATGGATTTGAAACCGTGTCTGCGCCGATTGCATTTGGTAAGACATACTCTTAATCAAAAAATGCAGTGTAGAAGTTGCTTTTTTCTTCACATAGCATCTTTCCTGATGTAATTTTGAACTCCACACATACTCAGGTCTGGACGTCGAGGAGGCCATTACTTTTAAGACTGGAGTTCAATCAGGAAAGATATCCATATAGACGTCACTCAGATTATTAATCCTTTTAGGTTGTGACAGCTATAAGAGAGTTCCTCCAAGGTGTGGAAACCTACTTAAAGATGGTGCATCTAAGTGACGACGATAGAAATAATTTCTCCAAACTTCAAGTTCAAATAAGCGAAACAGAAAATTTAAGATCCTTATTTGTGTTACTTTTAAAACAATTCAACCCAAATATTCAAAGTAAACAGTACCTTCAAGATCTCATCCTAACGAATCACAATTACTTGCTGTTCTTGGATAACACCTGTAAAATTTTGAAGAAAGAGTTCAACATTATGGAGCACCTGCAGCAGTAAGTTTTCTCACATAAGAGTTAAGATTTTATTTTTTTTATAGACTTTCACGCATAAACTTTTTTTAGTTTGTTACTTGGCCTAAAAAACTTTGCCTTTATTTCAGCCTTTAAATTTGCAAAAAGGGGGGTCATTTTTCAGGTCAAGCAGTGTAAGTAAAATGTGTGATTCGTCCCGAGTATTTTGTGTATTTATTTAAGTATACCTACATTGTTGTTTGTACATGGGTTGATTTGGAGGAAAAACTACGCGAATGGTAATAACGCGTTTGAATTTTTCAGGTTTGCAACCGTGGAAATTATGAAAAATTACGGTCTGCTTTTGGAAGATTTCGAAGAAAACGGCGAGTTTGTAAACAACTGCATTTTCACCATGATGCACCACATCGGTGGTGATTTAAAACATGTTCCAACTTTATTTCAACCCAGCATATTAAAAACCTTCTCGCAGATATGGGAGACCGATTATGAAATTTGCGATGTAAGTATAAAAAAATATATAATTATGGGTATTACTACCACTTATGCGGATGATACACAAATTTTATACTGCTTTGACCTATGCGACATATTAAACACAAACCAAAAAATAAATGAAGACCTTGACTCCCTACAGCTATTTTCAGAAAAAACATAATCTTAACTTTAATCCAAAAAAATCTGTTTCCATGATATTTTGTTCTAAAAATCATCGCAAAGAATTAAAAGAAAATCTTAATTTTTTTATAAATAATGAGAACTTAAAATTCTTAGAAGAGGCTAAAAATTTGGATGTTATAATCGATGAAAATCTACGCCTTACCAGTCATTTTAAAAACCTTTTGCAAAAAACATGTCTATGCCTTAAATTGCTCTATAGTAACAAACATATTTTAACTTTAAAATGCGCAAAAAATTGACAGAAAGCCTAGTTCTTCCTATATTTAACTATTGCAATATTTTGTACTACCCATGTCTAGACCTGCAAACCAAAACTTGTATACAACTGATCCAAAACACCTGTGTCAGATTTATCTATATTATAGATTAAATCTCAGAAAATATGACCATGTAACAGCCAAATTAGCAGCACTAGGATGGTTATAATTTATAAATATAAAATATATATATATATATATATATATATATATATATAAATATAAGTAAAATTGTACAGTTTCATTATCTAACTTTTGTACATAGAATTCTATTAACTTCCACCCCTTCATATGAAGTATGAAGTATATACTTAGATTTTTAGACATAATATTCACAATCGCCAAACACGACATCTAAACCTACTTACCTTACCTAAATACTCTCGGCTTTATTTACCCGCTCTTTCTCTTTTAATGCAGTAATGTATTATAACTCAATTGACAATGATTTAAAGTCTATGTCTCTATATAAATTTAGGAAACATGCAAGAGCTTCTTTACTTATTTAATTTTTTTATTTTTATTTTTTTTATATAGAATTAGGTGTAATACTTTTTGTTTTTTGCCCATTGTTTATTTTTCACGTTGACAACAAGAAATATGTAATTATTTTTTTTATTTTGTTTATATATATTTTTTTTGTAAACACTATTTAACATCAATTTACTTATCACACACGGTTAAGTGTAAGAGTAGCCATAGGCTAAACTTCGCCGTATGTGCCACCTACTTACAATATACCTATATTATAATATTATTGTAATAACATCTTACTCAATGGTAATAATTTTACCTTAAATAAAGACGATTATTATTATTATTACAAATTGTATTAATAGTATATTATGTGTCAAGTTTAATAAATGCCATACTTTTTCTTTTCTTTATTTTTTCAAAATATTTTTTATTTAATTGAATTAACTTAACTTTTATACAGGTAATAATAACGCACGTCCGCTTTAAAGTGAAAAGTAAAAAAAATCTTAAAACTACTTTTTTTTCCTGTGACACTTTTGAAGCGGGTTTCCGATACAATTGTGTTCTAATTTTTATTATTAGTAAGAACTTATGCAAGCTGTAAAAAAATATGTGGTTAGGGTGAAAAGTTAACTCAATTTTCTGTTGGGTACTTACAGCAATTGCTGTAAGTACCTAACAGAAAATTGAGTTACCAAAAATTGCCTTTACTTACCGTTTTTTATTTTCATTTTATAATTTCTCTTGTGCAGAACTGTTTGTAACATTTGATTTTTTCAGGATTGGTCAGATTTAATAGAATACGTAATTCACAAATTCATAAACAATCCTAGAACGCATTGCTCTGAAATGACTTCACCGGCAATTTTAGAAAATTCTGAACAATTGGAAGATACAGAAAGTTCATCAGAAATTGATAAATCAGAGTAAGTAATATTTAAAAAAAATCATTCTGCATTGATATATTTTTTATTATTTTGAACATTTATTTTTATTTATTATTTTTTTCTTCATTTCACCACAGGTCAGACACCATAGATGAATTGATTGTTTTATTTAGGTGGACACTGGAAGACAAAAGAAACCTTTTAAGTTACTATAACCAAAGCCGCGACTCAAACGACACAATTGCCAACATAACGAGAAAATACGACGAATGCGGTACCAAACATAAAACGAAACTCTCTATAATCGGAGAGTTGTTAGACCAAAATATTATCAACGAGAGACAATATAACGATTTTATGCAGTCGAAATATCCCGATAGTTCCTTAGAGACGTCGCCAAAAGAAGAAGAAGAATTTTTGCACATGGTAAATGAACAAAGTAATGCCGAGGAAAGCTTGGTGGACGGGGATATAAAAGTTTTAAAGGAGTATTTATTTAAAGAGAACAAAGGGAAATTTATTTTGTGGCTGCAAAAAAATCTCATCGAAGCTTGTTACGTCAAATTAGTTCTAAGCGATCCCGAACTTAATACTGGAGGAATAGAGCCCTGTATCCATTATTACTCATGTAAGTTTTTTCTACGGCCTGATATCCAGGTGTGGCTATATATAGCGGTTTATGTGGCGCCATCTGAACGTTCTACTTCAAACCCCTTTTTGAACTTTTTATAGATTTATATTCAAGAAATTAATAGTTTAAATTTTAACCAACAATTTCTAAAAGCGGAAAAAATATTGAACAAATTTAAAAAGGATTTTAAGAAAGGAGTGGTTTTAGATGACATTACGAGTTTTGTGAGAAAAAACTAAGGCTGGGAATCGATTACGAATAATTCGAATATTCGAATAGGGGTGGAAATCGATTATAAATTATTCGAATACTCGAATATTCAAACATTCGAATATTTGAATATTCGAATACTCGCATATTTGAATACTCGAATATTAAAACACTTTAAATTAGTATATATAAGGGTGCTGCAATTAAAACTTTTTTCGAATATGTTAATTTGTCATTTTTATTAAAAAAAATTAACAGCTCTCATCAAAAATTAGATGGCTTTTGAATTTTGAAAATTCCAAAAATAATCAAATTCGAAAAAAGCGATATATGTAGTCGCTCCGTTTTGGACAGTAGCAAAAAGTAATCAGTAATTACTATATGTTTAATTGGTAAATTCTCATATAACTTGTTTCGATGCTGTATCCACTTATTTTTGTGAAAACTAATTCTCGCTCAAGGTTTTTTTGGTGTAATGAGCATGTAGCATTTTAAGGTAATGGGAACTTAAATTATGAAAACCCTAATCTATTAATTTTTTCCTAAAATGCAGGCTTTATGTTGCAAATGTCACGTAAGTTACCGGTCACCAACTGCAATATCCTAACATTGATGAATATTTTAACAAAATGGCTGTTGAAACAACTAATGTTAGTGCTTGATTAACTAAAAATAGACTTAAGATTGACGAAAAATTATTTTATCCGAAATCGGCAGTAAAGTAGAACTTTACTGCCGATTTATTTTAATTTACGATTGTTGACTACTTTACTGCCGATTTCGGATAAAATAATTTTTTGTCAATCTTAAGTCTATTTTTAGTTAATCAAGCACTAACATTAGTTGTTTGAACGGCCATTTTAAAAATTCGATTATTTGAATATTTAAAAATGTACTCTATATTCGAATTATTCGAATGTACGAGGACATGAATCACAGATTATAAAGACATAAATATTCGAATTATTCGAATTTACGAGAACACGAATATTCGAATACTCGAATATTCGAATAATTCGAATCCACGAATATAATAATAATTCGAATACTCGAATATTCGAATAATTCGAGTATTTCAAATATTTTTAAACGAGTATTCGAATTCCAAAAACTAACAAATTCCCAGCCTTAGAAAAAACATTTAGTAGTGTAAAAAACCGGTTTTTCTCAAAATTGACGAGGTTTAGCGCATTAAAAACAATAGTCATGTAATTTTTAGGGCTGTTCTAATAGGCAAAATAAAATATTTATTTAAAATTAAAAAATAAACATTGTAAAAAAATAATAATTTTAGAGAAATAATACTTACCAAATCATTTTTAGTGTTAAATTTGCCCATACCTGTTATACCATGGTCTTCAGAACAAACGAATATTTTCAAACACCAACCTTTCGTATTACTCTTGCACAAACTGGGATTTTATTTGCCGGTAGACACGGGAAAAATTTTCGTGAGGATCCCGAATTTTTGGAATGCTGATTATATTTATAGCATAGCACAGCAATTGGGACCCATTGATCCAGGTAAAACAAAGTATACAGTTAAAAATAATAATAGAAAACAAACCCAATAAATTAGGTACTTTACTAACAAAAACAGGTTTTTGATAACTAAAGTTTTTAAGGGTTCAATATTTTGTCTGTAAAAACCGATCTACTTCGAATTTCAGCCAAACTCAAATTTGATGCCGGTTTACTGAAAGGGTCCAGCAAAAGTTCGACATCTTTAACAAAAATACCTGATGCAACCACTTTTTCCGATCACAGCAAATTTTCGATGACCGATCCCAAAAAAACACCTTTAATAGTTAGGTACACACCATTGTAAGTGTTGTTATTTTTTTTTTTAAATTGGTGGAAGTAAAATATTCTAAATTTTTGACCCCTTTAATCAATTTAATTGGGTTTACATTACACTATGGTTTTTAAAATAGTTAAAATAAAGTTTACATTGCAAAAAAAATCTTTTTAATAATTATTTACCTATAAATATATTTTACTAATACGTATGTTATTTGACAATCAATGTTGTACCTACCCACGATACACAAAAACCGGTAAGCTGATGCGCATGTTATAGCTATCTCTCTCGCACCGTGTGACGTCATGTGCGAACCATAAGCTGGCGGGTAACTAGCTTGGAATGTTATATGCACTGCAAATTCACGTTATATTCGAAAATTTATAAATATGGGGACGACCTGGGTGCATGTATTAAGTGTAACAAATGTTAAGACAAAGTTAAATTGGAGGCAAGCGCTTTTAATACTAATGTAACATATGTTTAGCAACTATTAATTTCCTACCTTTCTATTATTATTTTTTAAAATATTTTATATTTAATTGAATTTAACTTACGCCAGACCGAATTTCATTTTTTTTATGTGAATGGTAACAAAATTATAAAAATGCATTTATACAGGTAAAAACAACGCACGCCCGCTTTAAATGGTCAAAAGTAGAAAAATCTCAAAACTGTTTTTAACATTTGAATCTGGTTCGCACGTGACGTCACATGCGCGGAGTCTGCGAGTTTTCGTTTCATAACCAGCATACCGGTTTTTGGGAATCGTGTACTAAACAAGTTGTAACATTTCAAAAATTATTATTAAAACATTTATTTTTTAGACCAAACTCTGCGCAATGGTTTCAAACTATTTTACAATCTAAAGTTGCACCTATTATGGACACTACACTCCATAATAATAGGTATATATTTACTTCTTAGCTAACAAAATAAATTTAAGAATTTTTGCTGTAAGAAATAATATGAGTCAAAAAAATATTTCAAGCTAAAAATACATATTTTTGGTCAAATTCAAAAAAAATATGAACAAAAATATGCATTTTTGACATATTTGGACTCCTCTTAGTTCTCCATTTAGGGGCCCAAAACTATATGTTATTACTCTTTTAGCACAAGTCAGCTGTCGATTAGCATACCGGAAACGGATGTAATTACGCACGAACTTCCTGTACCTGACTTAAGTATTGTCGGGGATTCTTCTTCATTATCCTCCATAAGAATGGAGTGTTATCCCATTATGGAAATATTAGACAATATTTCAAATTTAGACTTGGACAATGATAGAAGCGACACTGCTTCAGTGGCGTCCGATTTGACTAGAATGTGCGTGAGTGACGAGGAGGATAAAGTTTTAATAGTTTTAAAAAACAACGAAAAAAACTAATTATTCAAACCCAAGGTGAATTTGTTTCTACAACGATTGGTGTGATTTGTTTTGTTTTTGTGTAAAAGATATTATGTAGATTAAGGCTTCCTTTTTTTGTTTTGTTTTAAAACACGCCTTATTTTTGTGATGATTTTATTATTTTATAAAATGCACAATTTAAGATACATACTTAAAAGCAAAGATAAATACGAAAAATAAATAAACTATAAAAATACAGAATTTTCAATTTACTGCAGTTTTTAAACTAAAAAAAAGTATTTATAGTAGGTATAGTACAGTAAAAAACCGCGACATTTTGTGTGAATTTACCTTAGCTGCAAAAACAATTAGGAAAAGTCAAATTTACAATCTGCATGGTATCATTGTCATTTTTGTTATTAAACTAAATTCATACAAAATGTCATGTTTTTTTGACAGAGGAAGCCGAGCACATTTCACTTTTAGGTACAGTTCATTTTTTTTTATTTGGACTCCTGTTTTTTTAGCTCGTTTGATTTAGTATTTTTATTATTTAAAAAATGGTACTTCTGCTGAAGATCTTAATTAAATGCTCTGACACTGTCAAATTGACATTTATATTTATTATTGATAATTTACATGTTATGCCAAAAATAATATTACATTCTAAAGTAAAAGAACTTTTAAGGGCAAAATTTCATTTCAATGAAGTTATGGCAATTGCCTCAATGGCAGAAAAAGTACATCGCCTTGTGGACATTTTTGGATTAAAAAAGTATCGTTTTTGGTTTTACAAATATTACATCACACATTATTTTCAGCTAAGCAGATCAAAATTTAAAAAAATAAGGGGGAAATAAAAAAAAACAAAAAATAAAAATTATTTGTTAGGTTCAACCTTTTTGTGAAAAATCTAGTAGTTAATTTTCCTGTCTTTGAAAATAGCATCCATTTGGTTTGAAAAACATAAGCAATAATTACGAAAATTTTTCTTCTTTCAATTTGCAAGTTATTGATCATTAATAGTCCTGGACAATATATATATACATTATAATTATTATTAAGCCACTACAAGTATTAACGTCCAGTGGCTTTAACAAAATACCCATTCACCATTGGAGTACAATGATTGGACAACATTCACGTGTGTTCACATAAAATTTTAATTTCTTTTATATAATTTTTTTTGAAAGCGCTAGGAATACTTTATCTCTCCTGGGCCGTAGTCACCTATATTTGACTACTTTTTTATATGATTTTACTCATCTTAACTCATTTTAACTACGAATTTTGACAACTCAACTTGACAACCGTTCAATGTAACCTACAATAATTTAAAAATATAACCCACAATTACATATCGTCACCCTAATATTACAAGGTTGTATGTCATGTTTTTTGCACTTTCCGACTTAATAATATAACAAGGTTGTATGTTACCAAATCTTCCTTTTTCATGCAAAACATAGATGGAATTACCCATATTAAGAAAAATATTAGGAAAATTACGGAGGTGTATGTGCTTTAATATGTTTAATAAAACCAACAGAGGTGTATGTTTAATATCTAAAACATACACCTTTGTTATAAATACTTTGCACGGATAAAAAGGATTTCTTAGATATAGAATTTTATTTTTCTTAAAAATATTTATTTGAATAGAGTTAATTTGATTTGATTTAAGACGAATGATTTGTTACAAGAATGTTCAATTTCTTTTAAATAGTAAATATATTTCTTGAAAAAAACTCTTGGTTCAAGAATTTTTCTTCATTGAAGAAACGCATTGCGTTAATTCAAGAAAAATATTTCTTATTTTCTAAAAATTACCCTTTTCTTGGGACAAGAGAATCAGGGCTTGTAAATTTTACTTGAAGAATATTAAAATTTATTGTTCTTGTATTAAGAAAATCTGATCGTTTGACTTCGTTTCAAGAATAATTATTAGATAATTTCTTGTATTTACGAGCTGTCCGTTGGGGAGGGAATAAACTTGTTTCATACGTCCTACACCCTCATTTGAAAAGTAACCGTGCTTGTGTTTTCTTAAATGTTTAAAAATGAGTGATTATTCGAACGATTACAGTGCCGTAGACATTAGGACATTATTGACTGAATGGAATACTCCAGAACGTAGGGGTTAACCATTTTTAAACTTTTTTTGACACCATGTATATTTTTATTTATTTGTAAATAAATCTTTGTGTCAAAAAAGTTCAAAATTGTTTACTCCCCCTCTGCTTCTTAAAAATCCCGAATGTAGCTTAAATATTAACTATACTGAAGAAAATTTCAAATACTTGTTTGAAGAAGTACTTGTCTTAAATGAAATAAATATTATCTTTAAGAATACATTTTATTAACGCAAGACACAAAATATTTCTATAAAGAAAAGAACGGTTTCATTGAAGAATTCCTTTGATTAATGCGAAGAATAATGTCTTGAATGAAGAATAATTACTACTCCACCAAAACTCAATTATTTTTGTTTTTTTTCCTCAAGTAATTTTATTTTTTATTCAAGAATATTTATTCTCGACCCAAAATGTGACAATTTTAATAACACGAGTTTTTATCATTCGTTTAAGACTGCTTATGTTCTTAAAAAGGAGAAAATATATTCTCCGAGGAAAACATGTAACACAAGAATAATTTTTACTGCTGGCAAGAAAATATTGTTTCGAAGAGATAGGAATCATTTAGTATCTTGAATGAAGTTAATTTAACTTGGCTGAAGAAATCCTTTTTTACAGTGTGGAAATAAATTAACATTAACAAGGGTGTATGTCCATTAGGGTTGTCAAAGACATTTTGTGAGAATTTACCTTAATCACAAAAATGACACAATCAACAATACTTGTGTAACGTCAAATTTACAATTTGCATTGTTCTTTGTTTCTGACATACAAACATTTTAACGCAACTTTATGTGCTATTAAAGTGAGATTCTGAGTTCTGTGTGACATCTCATTTACAAGTGCTGTAATTAATTTGTTAATAATTAAATAATAAAAACATGGATGCCCAAGGTAGATCTAGAATATTACAAAGCGATTTTACCAAAGCAGAACAGTTTAAGCGTCCAGGCGGCAGTAGTAAATAAAACAGGAAAAAAAATGAAAAAGTGATTTTACCAAACGACAAACTAAAACGGCAGTAGTTAAAAATTTGAAACAAAAAAAAAAAGCACAAAAAACACAAAAAAATTGAATAATCATGCTAATTTCTATTAACTGTATTTTTTTATTATAACATTTGTTTAAAGTTTTTGTATTTTAAATATTTTTCTTTTGTAGTTTTTATTTTTTCAGTTTAGTTCTAATTTTGAAGTATACGGTAATTAAAATATTTAAGTTAATTAAAATGTCATAGTTCTATGTAACGTAAATAATCAATAAATATAATTAAAAAAATTTACAAAGTTGTATGTTTTTTTCAAAATTTTACTAATTTTGAATATAACAACAATTGAGTCAAAATAAACATAAGAATTTACTAAGATTGCATATGAAATCAGCTCAAAGCAAAATCACAAGTAAAAAATATTGACTGTACCTAAAGGCTGATGGGCTTTTTTTGTTTTACGTTTTACTCAAAATGTGTAAATAGTAACATGCAACCTTGTAATATTAGGGTGACGATATGTATAGGTATAACCAGTTTAGTTTGTTTTAATCAATGCAACCAATTTTGGTTCCGTATTTACCAACCAAACCCCTAAATTTGCAACGTTGCCACAGTCCAGATAAAAAAATGAACTACTATTTTTTTTCAAGCATTTAATTTAATATTTCTTTAAGATTCTGTCACATCATTTCTAGGTTATGTCTTATGTTCATTTTTGTACAGAGGTTTAAATTATTTATTTTATTATATGTATATACTAGTGTCAAGTCAAATTATTATAAACCTCCATACAAAAATGGAGCTAAAATGTCATCAGTTAAACTTAAAAAAATATTGTGGATTTTAGAACGAAACTGAACAACATTAAAGTGTTTTTGCATTTTCTTAAAGTTAAATAATTATTAGGCACGCTTTTTGAGTTGGTTGTTTAGAAACCTGTGGTGCTAGAAATGTGATAAGTTAAAAAACTACCCTACTACTAAAAAAATAATCACTTTGATTTTGGTCAGTAAGAAGCAAACTTGTAGTATATTGTTAGTTATAATCCATTTAAAATTTCTATCGTTCATTTACTATACTTATTTGGTGTTTTGTGTTTATAAGTAATAATTTGATTTATATTATTTATATTAATTAAAAATTTGTAAGATGGCCAGATACTACAAAAAAGTAGGTACTTTTATTTTTGATCTGACAACCCCATATTTGGGTACAAATTATATATATCCAAATATATAATTTAGATGTAATTAAAACAATATTGTGCTTTGAGCTTAATAAGCAAATATTGGCTTTTTGTACCAAAGTTTTTTAAATAATTTATTTTTTATTGTATATTATGTAAATTATGTTAGAAAAATTGTAATTTCAAAAATAATTTAAATTTAATAATATAAATAAATGCAATGAAAAAATATACGTTTTTCTACTTCCACCTTTAAAACGCACATTATGTTTCCATGACACTAAGTTGACAGTGACAAGTTGTAGCTTTATGGCGGTTTAGCAACAGGTTTTTCGTCACGGGCTAAAGTTAGTTTTAAGTTAGTTGGCAACTATTGTCAAGTCATACAATCAATAAAATAAAGTTCATTTTTTGTAAAATATTACTAAATATGAAAATTATTTTATTAACTCAATACAAAAATACAAAAGTATTAAATAGTTTCTCGACGCCAATATTTGAAAAGATTATATGAACTTTTGTACTTAACTAGATTTAAAGCGTTAAAATTTTTGCGTACAGTGCCCATAAAATATTCTCTTCTCTTTTACTATTAAAAACTGCTTCTATATCGATTGTTGGTCTATTTTCAAGGGATAAATTTTGATTTACAAAGAAAAATTCGAGATTTAACGACGGTAGATTCCCAAGTTAGAAATTCTAACGGGAATTCCAATAAATACCCGTGTAAGAATTTTTAATACTTTAGTACTTTGTGATAATATTTTGCAATTATGGTAATAAAAAAAGGATAATTTTTTTTTACATAATCATATTAAAATATTGTTATAATTGTTAAGTGTAATTAAAATAATAACAATTCCAGTAAATACCCGTGTAAGAATTTTTAATACTTTAGTACTTTGTGATAATATTTTGCAATTATGGTAATAAAAAAAGGATAATTTTTTTTTACATAATCATATTAAAATATTGTTATAATTGTTAAGTGTAATTAAAATAATAACAGGTAATGTTAATGGTGAAAATTACGTCAAAAATGTTTATTGAGATGGTTAAATATTATTAAAAATTAAATCTGAAGAACTAAGGTGGCTTTTATGTAAATAGTTTTTTCACTATTATTTAAGTACCTTCATAGCAAAATAATATAATTTTTCTTCCACCAAAATATCTTAAAGGGTTTAGGAAGTAAATATTTTAAAATTAATAAAGTTTATTGAGTAATATTTAATTTTAAATACATAACAAATTATTTTGCTTTTATTTGTAAATTTTGAAAAACAAAAATATAAGTATCTGTTGGTTAAAATATGGAAATATCACAAATTGTACATAATATTTTTCAGTTGGAACTTCATTAAATAAACTACCTGTGGTAAACCTAGAATGTCCAAAATGTATGTCTTAATTACTTAAAATAGCTATTTGTGTATTAAGAGCGCAAATTGATACATTAATGCAATTGCCGCTCTGAGCGAGAAGTTTGCCGGCTATCTTGCGAGAGCGGCAATGTCACTTTGCGCTCGAATTACACCCAGGATTTTTTCTACAACCGGTGTTTCTATAAAATGTTTGGTAAAAATTAATAATTAGATATTGATAACCTCAAATTTGACGTTTGTGTCAAAAGTCGTAAATACACTATACGTTTCTTTATTATGGTTTCCATGGAAACTAAGCGAGCGATAAAGTAACTTTGTCGCTCGGCGAACGACAAAGTAAAAAAACGCTCGCTCCTCGGAAAAGTGCAACTTTGCGCTTTCTTTTGGAAGCGCAAATTTGTACTTTTCGCTTGGTTGTAGAAAAAATATGTTTAACATGTCATTTAACTAATTTCTGAACATTTAGTACTTACAACAAACTCAGCAATATTATTATTCTTTTTTAATGTTGGGACCACTGGATTGTCTTGATATCGACCCCTTCTTGCACCATTTCCCATAGCGGGCTCATTTCTCTTAACCTAGTGACGTGTTGCACGCATTTTTTCGACGTGTAGTCGACCTCCTCGATCGTGGTGAATCGGCCGAGACCGAACCTTATCGAACTGTGCGCAAGATCCTCGTCGGTGCCGATGGCTCTTAAAACGTAGGATGGCTCTAGGGATGCGGATGTGCAAGCAGAGCCGCTGGACAAGGCTATGTCCTTAAGGGCCATCAGTAGGGATTCGCCTGAGAAAGGCGATTTCATAAGAAAATAGCGACCGACCGAAGTTTATTTAAAAATAGTGATTTCCCAATAAATTTGGCTCTCTTAGTTAATCTAATCGAATTGACAATGCGAAGAGTGTAAATTTTGAAGATTTTAATAAATACATGACAGTAGGCCTAAAAATCAGCAGTGCCAATGTAGTAAAAATGGGGTAGTTAAATTTTTTCTGACCTATATTTTTTATGGTTTTATTCAAGGCGTTTTGTAATATTAAACATTTCTGTGAAATCAGAATTTCAATTGAGTTTACCGTTTTCGAGATATTTACAAAAAATATAAATTTTTATGACATCACAAACCTCGCCATGTGACCAACATTCTAAGATTTCTATTGGTTGAAAATTACCCTGTTGTCAAGTTGTCTTGTTAATGATTTCATTCGGTTATGTCAGAAAATACCCGAAGAGGTTATGTACAAATACTGTCACTGTCAGTTGAGTGAAAGATGGTCACCAAATTCATTAAGTACCTATCTTCCTTATTACGAGGTATCATATTACTGTTTGATATTTTACAGTCCAAGATATATCAAAAAGAATATAAAGAACTAGGCATTATACTAATGAAATGCATTTACGACAAAATATAATTATAATTATAGGTACTTACTTTATTTGTTTAAAAGCTCTAATGTTCAATGTAACCAACCATTCTACAAGATTCCATTCTACAAGATTCCTCTGCTTTGGAGTCCGTTATTAATAAATCACTTATCTAATATCAATTACAAATAACATAACAATAACATTGATTTTCAATAATCTAAATTTAAAAAAAACAACCCGAAAAAAAGAAACGTCAAAAAATCAATTCTTCTTCTTCTCAACTAAAATTTAGATCAAGTGGTTTTAAAACTAAAATATTATAACGTGGCGCCATCTATCGTAAGATTCTTAAACTAAACACACTGGCAACCATAGAAAAAGCTGGCAACGTTGTCAATAGCCTAGTGACGTAATTAGGAGATTTTTTTTTGTAAATATCTCGAAAACGGTAAACTCAATTGAAATTCCGATTTCACAGAAATGTTTAAAATTACAAAACGCCTTGAATAAAACCATAAAAAGTATAGGTCAGAAAAAACTACCCCATTAAACGTTGTATTTTAATTAACAAATTAAAGTATCATTAAAAACTAAAAACAACATTTAATCTAATCTAATAATCTGTTAAAACGAATAATCGGTTACTATACGGTTTCGGCTGAAAATAGTGTTTCGCTCGGATATGTCTTACTTTTACAACATTGCATTTTCAATTTTAGTTGGATGTATTGGGTGTATTATCTTTGGTTGGATGTATTAAAAATCAACCTTTATAATCTGTGCTAATTTGTATTTGCAAGTCTTTTTTTAATAATACATGACAGTAGGCCTGAAAATCAGCGGTTCCAATGTAGTAAAAATTAAACGTTGTATCTTAATTAGGTAACAATTTAATACTTTATGACAAATTAAAGTATCAATAAAAACTGAAAACAACATCAAAAGTTTATTGCTATAATGGCAGAATAAAGGTCATATTTTGTTTCTTAATTTGGCAGCACATAATTTAAAATGACAACTGCCTAAAAATTGTTTCCCAATAAATTTAGCTTTTATTTAATCTAATTTCAATAAATTATTATGTCAGAACAAAATGGTGAATCGGAAATAAAAAAAACTCAAGCTTTTTTACAAAGAAAGCCAAATAGCGCCATATGAAGTATGGATGGAATCAAATAAAGAAAAGAACAGGAAGATACAACCAGCTTTCAATTGCCAGGGAAATATATAACCTTAATGTACAGGACATTTAAACAATCCAATCCAAAAGCGCTAACAGAGTGAGTATACATTTTAAAAATTACGAAGCAGCTAATAATTTCGTAAAAAACAATAATCCAACTTTAGACAAATATAACATAAACATTCCTTACAATAAAATATCCTGTAAAGGAGTGGCAATAAACATTGATAAGGACATTGGTCTAGCTGAACTAGCCAGTGCAACTTCATCCCCTTGCAAAATATTAGACATCAAAAGATTGAATAAAAGAATTAAAAGCGACCAATAAGATAAATCAGAGAAACCAATATATAATTACGAACCCTCCCAGTCCATCCTAATTATGTTGGAAGGGACCATATTACCCAGATCTATTAACATATATAACATAGGTATCAGAATTCTGATAATAAACCCATATATAACTCCGGTCACGAAATGCCACAATGGCTTCTGCTGGGTCACACACAAAAAAATGCTTCAAATGCAGCAAAATCCACGACAACACTTCTAAATGTCAAACCTTTTGCTAGTAAAACTTGTCCAGAATTCAATAAACAGAAAGAAATTTAAAAAAACATGGCATATGAAAACCTATCATATTTTGAAGCCTCAGAAAGGGTTACAAAGTCGTACCTTCCAGTCCCTGAATTTCGCCAACGGCCAAATGATTTCTCCACCCTACCCTTCAACCGGCCCAGACCAAGACTTTAATCACCCTCATTACCATTAAAAAAAAACCCGAACAAAAAAAAACAATCGTTTAATGACGATAAGTCATCCTATAAGTCCTGCCCAAATTTACCAAATGGCAGATTGGTGGAATCACCTACCTATACAACTCCCAGCACATCCAAAAAAACTAGTATGTCTATAGAATAATACATTTGAAAATATGATTGCTACTCAAAATAGTATGCTTAACATATCTACCACTAATTTAACTGAAATCATTATTGAAAATAATTATAATTCAAGGTCAGAAAAAACATTGTCTGATAGTACAGACAATGCCGACTTCTAAAAACTAAAATTATGAAAGTTCTTCAATGAAACATTCGCAGCATAAACTCAAATATACATAATCTGATTAAATTAGTGGAAGATATAAATAGATCCTGATGTTATCATTCTAAATAAAACATGGCTTAAACCTAACCACAATTTCAAACTTATAGGATACCAAATAGCAAGATAGAGTGGATGGCTATGGCTATTGCTCTTATCATTAAAAACAAATATAGCTTTAATATCATTGACCAAACCAATGGGATCAATCATTTTCAAAATATAGCAGTACAAATTAACAATTTAAATATTAAAATGAATGCAACACAATTTAAGGCTCTTGAGTGATAACAGGATTAATGAAATCAACCCCCACAAATGTGCTTGCAGAATGTTCTGAACTCCCACTAAATAAAAGACGAATATGGTTGACAAGTAAACTATTATTAAAAACTTTAAGATATACATCTCACCCTCAAATTCATTTACTTTACGCCTTAAATAAAGATTGCTTCCTCCCAACCACATACTGGACAAAGCACACCCTATTATAATCCAAGCCCTACCAATTGTAAAAAAATACGTTAACATAGGCAGAAGACATAATTTACTACCATGTTTCGAGATAAAATACTATTACCAATTTTCAAAAATTAAAACAATAAACCCAAACCTAAGTAAAAACAACATCAGCTATAAATTTCATGTCAGAAATAAAAATATTTAAAAATCAAAAATATCATATTATTTACACAGACGCATTTAAGATGGGAATAAAAACAGGCGTCGGGGTATATACTATATACCGATCTAGAAATACAATTCGATTGCCAAACAACATACAGATTTGTACGGCGGAAATATTGGCAATTTGCAAGGGGACTGAGATTGCACTGGGTAAAAACAGTAAAAAAGAATATAATATTATCAGACTCTCTTAGCGCTATTCAAATTTTAACCAACACCAACTACAACGCAAAGGATGATTATATATCGCTGGCAACGAGAAGATTGCTTGTAACAGCCAATGACAACGATTACATTTTCAAATTAGCTTGGATACCAGGTCATAACAGCATCCAAGGTAATGAAAAGGCAGACCAATTGGACAAAATTGCAACAAGCCTCAACATACCCTTGGATTGCGAAACAGACATGAATGAAATGATACCAGAGATGAAAAAACAGGAAAATGGTACAACGAAATCGAAGAAAACTTTCCAAACAAACCCTGGTTTCACACTAACAAAATAACAAATAGAAGACACATAACAATAATACGTCTAATATCCGGATTTGGACTCTTCAAATCACACTTGAATAGAATTGGAGTAGCAGAAAATATGCTGACCACTTGGCCGTCCTGTGCTCTGGCCCCAAAGACAATACCCTCGTGGACTCAATCAATTACACCCTCGACCATATCAACAACTGGCTACTAGATCATAGCTTGTATATAGCCCCCCACAAAAGCTCTGCCATACTCTTTAGGAAATTATCTACTAACCGCCCCTTAAATAACATACATAAAACCGGTCAAATAATCCCTTGGGCAGATTCTATAAAATATTTGGGTGCCATTTTAGACTACTCGCTAAACTGGAAAGAACAGGCGTCCAAGAGGCTAAACATTTTAAGAAGCTTACGTGGTAAAAAATGGGGGGCGGACCCCCGAACTCTAGATCTGATTTACAAAGCATGTATAAGGCCGTTCCTGGATTTTTGCAGTCCCCTCTTCTCTCGAGTACCCAAGAGCCACATTCTAAAACTATCAAAAATCCAACATCAATCATTAAGAATTAAAGGAGGATACATGAAAACTACCCCAGTGAATGTATTACTAGCGGAAATCGGGGAACAACCACCCAGACTCTTCTCCTTGGAAAACCACCCAGTCAAAGCAAAATTTATAGGCGTCTACTAGGACTACTATGAAGACGGAATATACTGGGCAAACAAATCTCCTTCCCTTATAGTCTACGCATTGGACTTTTTCCTCAACAAAACCGCCTCGATAAAAACTTCCCCCTCCTCCCCTGCTTCAACACAAACCTCAAAACAAATGGAAAGGCTGGGAAGCCTACTACACGGACGGCTCAGTCAGCCAAGTCGGAGTTGGGTCAGGAGTTTATAGCCCCTCCAATCAACTAAAATACTCCGCCAGACTCCCAAATCATGCCTCCATAGCGACAGCAGAATGCTTCGCAGTTGCTACTGCTCTGTTACACGCGACAAACAGCCATATCCAATTCGGAAGAAGACACTTCATCATCCTCTCAGACTCCCAGGCAGCACTTCAAAAAATCTGTAACACCAACAACACCGCAAAAAAAGACTCTCACATTTGAAGCTAAGACCACTCTACACAATCTAGAAGTACGGGGAGCCAAAGTAGAATTCTTCTGGGTCCCCAGCAACACGAACATCCCCGGCAACGAAATAGCGGACAACTTAGCCAGCAATAGGATGTAAGTTGAAAGACCTAACAGAAACAAGAACACACTATGAAGATCTCTTAAAAGTAATAATACATGACATACACAATAAATGCAAAAACAAATTTAAGGAAAACCTAACGCATCAGATTTTACTCCACACATACACCAGAACTTCAAAAGCCTTGGATCTCTCTAGACAGAAGACACATCACTACCTTCCGGAGACTAAGAAGTGGTCAGTCGCACAAAATCCCATCTACATAGAATTGAATACTAACCTCTGAATACAGAGATACTCTGTATTTAGATTTATTGAATTAAAATGTAAGTTTTGTTCGTTGCATTTTTTATTAATAAAATAAATTTGTTAAAAACACCTTTTCCCCGATTTTTTCCCCAAAGATTTTTAAAAGTGGGCCATTAAGAGCCATTTCCATAATTTTTTTACCGGGTTTTGTAAAAGCCCGAGAACGGAAACTTTATCAAATCTGAAACTATTTGTATAAAGCCTCACAAAATCATATATTAAAATTAAATTTTGAAGACATTTTATGGAGTCTATACTTTAGGTAGGTAGCTAGCTTAATAATTAAATATATTATGTTCACTTACCCTCAACATATGCAAAAGACAAGTTGACGCATCCAGGATAGGTTTCAATTGGATCACCATTCCTTATAACATGCGTAACCTTACTTGTAATATTCTCGATCAATCGTTTGCTTAGTTTTTCCACCCATTGGTGATCATATTTCATGTCTCTGTCGGCTATTTCGCAGGCAGCCCCCATACCGACCGCCAATGGTGTAGGTACTGTCCCACTTCTGATACCCCTCTCTTGACCGCCACCGCTTTGGATGGCCTCAACTCGTACTCTTGGTCTGCGGCGAATGTAAATTGCACCAACACCTTTTAAAACAAGTTGAAGAATTTTTCCAATTTCAAAAACGCTTTTAAAATACCTTTAGGTCCATATAATTTGTGCCCACTAATAGACATAAGATCGATATTCATCTCATTCACATTCAGTGGAATTTTTCCCACAGCCTGAGCAGCATCAGTGTGAAAAAACACTTTATGTTTCTTACAAAGCGCCCCAATATCCGAAATGGGTTGTTTAACGCCGATCTCATTGTTTACAGCCATAATCGAAACCAGGGAAGTCTCAGGTGTTATAGCTTTTTCTAACTCTTCCAAACATACAACACCATTTGTTTGTACAGGGAGGTATGTTATTCTATAGCCTTCGCCTTCCAAAGCTCTGCAAGAGTCCAATACACACTTATGTTCCTTAAAAAAGCAACTTTAAAATTCCTATTCTTATTCTTTAACAATGTATATTACTAACTGTTTGTGTAGTTATAACATGCTTCTTTTTGGCGCCATAAAACCTGCCCACTCCTTTAACAGCAATGTTATTACTTTCAGTAGCACCAGACGTGAAAATAATTTCCTTAGGATCAGCCCCTATTAAATTTGCTATCTGTTCCCTACCCTTTTCCACTGCCGCCTCAGATTCCCAACCGTACGCGTGAGTTCTAGAATGAGGATTACCATAATATGATGTAAGATATGGTAACATTGTATCCAAAACCCTAGGGTCCTAAACAGCAATTTTTAGTTAAGTTATTGTTATTTTAAGCAACATGTATTACCAAGGGTGTTGTTGCTTGTGCATCTAGATACAGTGGCCGGCCATCAAAGTCTTCTTTAATGTTAAATCTCGATTCTACAATTAAATAACTTTAGTGGGTTTCAACATAACCTACAAATTGTGCATACCGGTGCTTAAACTACGCTCATTTTTAGGTGACACTATTTTATTGATACCCTGCAAGCATTTTGGAATGCTTGGGTTGATTTTGGTAATGTAACGAAACATTATTAACACTTTATTAACGAGAAAACAACTATTGCATATTATTTGATAACCCCAACTTTTCTTCTTCTTCTGCAGTTGTCAAGTTAACAGTGTCAAATTGACACTGTCAACTGTTATTTTTGTTATTGTATTAATAATGAATTTCTATTCTATTTAAATTAATAGAAATCTACAGATAGAAATAAAAGAATTTAATTATAATTCTTATAAAATTTAAACTAATTTTGAACAATCCATTTCAATCGAACTACTGTCAAACAAATCTATACCGGGTCACCAAAAATTTAAAGAATTTCAACACTGAATTCCGTGCATTAACGTGACAAACAAGAATTAAATTAGCCAGCCGGACAAATTGCCAAGGTTTATTAATACTAAAAAAATCTAATATGGCCATTACAGAAGGTTAAACCATAAAAGGAGTTTATTATTTGTTTATTGTTTCTGCCTTAATTTGTGTGTAATTCTTTGTGTTTGTCAAAAACAGCTGATTAGTGTTTATTTGACATTTCTACCTGACGTTTGTGCGTTAAAAAACTAATACTAATACTATAGCATGGGAAATAAGTAAAAAATCGCGTTCGTTATTGAATTAAAATGGAAAATATTGAAAATATAGATAATTATTTGTGGGGCTATTTGCCGTATCCTGCCCTAATAAACATATTTAAGTATTTAAATTGCCAAGAACTTCTTTGTGTTAGTGGTTTGTGCAAAAATTGGTTTGAAGCTAGCAGAAACGATTTACTTTGGAGGGAACTGTTTTATAAGAGTTTTTTAGTTGATAGATCTGTTCACAATGTGCAAGGTAACATTCTATATTAATTATTATTATTTTTATTAATTGTTCTTATTTTTATAAGGCAAAACTTGGTATGAAGAGTTTAAACGGTTATGTTATAATATACCTGTTGTACAAACAGAAACTTTAACTGACCATGTGAATCAGGTTTTGCATGTTAGCTTTTCACATAATGGAAAATATTTTGCAACTTGTTCTAAGGATGGGTATGTTTTGGTAGGTAGTTTTTAATACTTAAATAAGTATTAAAGTTGAGGTATGGATTTAAGGTGTGGAATTCAGATTATCCTGCAACAATAAAACATCAGAAGGACATGAAGTCTTTTGCCTGGAAGTATACGCAATTTTCCCAATTTAATGAGTCAGATACTTTATTGTTGGTGTCTGGTGTACATTTTGGGACCCCTCACAGCACTTCAGGGGAAATTGCCGTTTTTAGCTTACAAGGTACCACATTTGGCCATGTTATGTCTTTAAATCATAAAAGTGCATCTTTTAGATGACTTTCAACTGCAATGTCGAGTGGTCAACAAACCCTACGATATATTTGGAACATGGTATAGTGACCAATACCTCTTATCTGGAGATTTGGCATGGCTCGCCCATTTGATCAGCTCTTCGTTTTTGTGGCTCAATAAAGCATCTCAGGAAACTGATTCTGAGTTGGTTCCGATCACGCATTGCCTGTTCAGGTTTTACAACAGAAACGCCAGTTCCATCAGGTCGATCATGATTGCCAACTGTCTGCCTAACTCGGAGAAAGTTACCAAAGAAGAGACTGATCGGGAGAGTGAGAGGAATATGAGGCAGGAGGCTGTTTTTGAGCATGGCAATCCTATCAGTCATAGGGATATTAACATGCCTTGTAGTAGCCATATACCAGGTAAAAAAATTATTTATTAAACATTTTACCAAAATAAAGTTGGAATTTAGCCAAAAATGTTAGGAGACTTTTTGTAGAGCATTTGATTTCCCATAAGAATATTTATCGGTTTTTTTTCGGGTACTGATTTTTATATGAATTACAAAATTCCAAAGTTAAAAGATATACCAATTTTTAAGGCATGATTGTAAGAAAACGGTTCATCTGACGGGAAATTCCAATCAAACCTTTTGTGTAGAACATTCAAAGTTCTGAGACAAAAACTCGCTCAGGAAAAAAAATCTAAAATTTCGATGATAGACCTCTTATTAATATTATGGACTCAAACTTTCACCATAATAGTTTTTTTGTCACCCCAAACAATATTTTCGATATACTTTACAAAAAAAAAATAGTCGATTTTTTTGGCCCAGTCTAATGTACATATGTAATAAAAATGTAATACACCGTTTGTTTCTTCTCTAAACATAATTAATCAAAATTTGCCCATAACAAACTCCTAATTAGTAAGTGTAGAAGATTATAACAATGATGTTATAATTACATTTTAATAAACAGCCCACACCGCTAGTCAACAATACTCGAGCGTTAGATTGTGCCTAGACCTTAACGCTGACGTCATATGCCGTTGATGACCTGCACCCATGCAGATTTGGCCGCGACTATACCACATATTCCTGAGACCAAAATATTGAGATATAACCTCTATACAAAAGTTAATAATAACCAAGATTTTATTAAATAACTTTGGAAAAAATATTTTAAGTAGACAAAATTTTGTGAAAACTTTTCGAGTAAATTTCTACTGCATGAAAAAATCTGTATTTATAACAGGTCCTACGGTCATACCTCTATTAAGAACTCTATCGGCGAATAATGCCGACCTGGCCAATCCAATTTGGTACAATTCCGACTATCGACGAGTCGAAACGGAGCTGAACGATTCGGCGAACGAAAACGATAGCGAAATGCAATCCGACGAGATGGGTAAAATGAATAACGAAGAAATGGACGATGATGTTTCCGAAACATCCAATGACGATACGGACGGTTGCGTTAAGAACGACAAATACTTAATTTTTATTACCGGGTATAAGACTTATACGCCGCACCAAATAGGTAAGAAAATATGCCAATAAATACCCCATATTCCTACAAAAAAACCTTATTTCTTTATAGGTATCAAAAGGATTCAGCCCTTTGAATTCCCAAAGAGAATGGACCCAGGCCCTTCTCTAAAGGAAAGGCTACTATTGCACGAACAAAAAAAGGAAAAATTGAAGTCCGGATCTCCTCCTCCCGACCCCAACTGGTTAAATTATGACGAAGTTGCCGACAAATTTGATAAAGTTGATCACATGATTGATCTGCATGGGCACATTGTGGGAATGGGACTGAGCCCAGATCATAGGTAAATGGAGTTTGGAGTATAGAGTGTGAAAATAGAAATGGTGTTTTTGTAGGTATCTATATGTGAACAGCAGATCCTGGCCAGTGGGATACCAAATATCGAATCCTTTGGACCCTCCTCCAATTGCTCAAGAAATTGATATCCATGTTATTGACTTGGTTACCCTCAAGCAAGTGGGGACCATGTTGAGGGCTCATAAAGCGTACACACCGAATCACGAGTGCTTTTTTATTTTTTTGGATGTCTGCAATGAATATGTTGCCAGGTAAATTATATTTAAATTATAGGTATTTAATATTATAACTTTTGTTAATTAATTTTGGCGTATTCAGTGGTGGGCAAAATTAAATTGTTGCTACAATTAAAGATTAACAATATATTAAAATCGTTATCTTAAAATGACAAGGCAGTTAAGCAAAAATGCCTTATCTGCAATATTTAAAATTACAGATAAGGCATTTTCCCTTAACTGTACTTAGAATCTTGTCAAATTAACAATTAATTAATTTTTGTCCAAGTGACAGGGGCTAAAATGACAGATTCCTAAATGACAGGTGCTAAAATTATAGGTGTCAAAATGGCAGTTGTAAAAATTACAGCTGTCACAATGGCACCTGTCAAAATGACAGCTTACTAAATACCAGCTGTCAAAATGCCAGCTGTCAAAATGGCAAGGTTCTAAGTGCAGCTGCACTGTTAAGCGAAAGTGACTTTATCTACAATATTAAATATTGCAGATAAGGCATTTTTGCTTAACATGTCAACTGCACCTAGAACCTTGTCATTCTAAGGTACCGACCTGTCAAAATGATAGCTGTCACAATATCACCAGTCAAAATGGCAGTTGTCACAATGGCACCTGTCTCAATGACAGCTGTCAAAATGACAACTGTCCAAGTGACAGATTCCTAAACGACAGCTGTTAAAATGGCAGGTTTTAAAATGATAGGTGCCTAAATGACAGCTATCAAAATGACAGGTTCCTAAATGGCAGGTGCTAAAATTGCATATGTCAAATTTACAGGTGCCAGAATGACAGCGTTAAAATGGCAAATTTTAAAATGATTGATGCCTAAATTACAGCTGTCAAAATGACAGCTTTCTAAATGACAGCTGTTAAAATGGTAGGTGTTAAAGTTATAGGTGCCTAAATGACAGCTGTCAAAATGACAGATTTCTAAATGAAAGCTGTTAAAATGACAGATTTCTAAATGTGCCGAGATTTCTAAATGACAGATTTCTAAATGGCAGCTGTCAAAATGACAGATTTCTAAATGACAGCTGTTAAAGTGATTGGTGCCTAAATTACAGCTGTCAAAATGACAGATTTCTTAATGACTGCTGTCCAATTGACAGGTGCTAACATGCCCGCTGTCATAATGACAGGTGTCAAAATGATAGGTGTCTATTTGAAGTAAACTGAATTTAACTTAATTTTGTGTGGAGACTCCACCGAGGGGTGCACATAAAACATTTTCTTCACTTTCACTGTGAAAAACTGTTGTTGGTCCATTTTCAAGAGATACATTTCAATTTACACATACCAATTTGACATTTTGACAGCGCGCCGGTAATACAGATTCCAAAGTTACCAAATTAAAGTTAGAATGCTTACTCTATTGTTTTATAGATGTCGCTCTATACAAATATTTAATTTAAATTATTTTTAGATAACAAGTATTTGTCGTAGAAAAAGTATAAACTCGTTTATAAACTTTTCTAGACACTCATTTAATTAAAATTTGTGACTAAAATGGAGTGACCTTGATACATAATATACTATTTTTGGCACCATTCAGTTTTATAAAGGATTAGGATGGACAGGTTAATTGTTAGTTTTAATTGTTTTATATAGGTACTTAACTATTAAATTGTGATCGATTTAAGTCACAATTGTTAAATGCAATTAACAATTGTGACAAATTTTAATTGCCATTCAATTAAAAGCAATTACTTCTTTGAACTGATTAAATATTTAATTAATTGATGAACAACACTGCCTGTATTTTTTAGAGAATTTATGAATTTTAAAGCCATGTTAAAATGTCTACATATAGGATGAAAATGCATTTTAAAAATTAAAAATACATATAATATACGCTATATAACTAAATTTACTTCTAAACAAAAGTTAAATTATTCTAGCGGGGCAGAAGACAAACACGGCTACCTCTGGGACCGACACTACGGCGTCTGCCTGGCCAAGTTCCCGCACCGCGACGTCGTCAACTCGGTGGCGTTCAACCCGAAGGATCCCGAGATGCTGGTGACGACGTCGGACGATCACACGATAAAGGTGTGGCGATCGCGCTCGAAAATCAAGCAGCTCGGCCTCGAAGAGGCGCAACTTCAGATGGGCGTCGAGCTGAGGACGGAGGGGAAAGGGAAGGGGAAGCCGGAGGCGAAGAAGAGGTTATGACGACACGCGACTCGCAGGCGAGGGTTCGGATGCTTTCCGGAATCCTTTCAGTAAGTACAAATATATCAATTTTTGATTTGCCATGCAGTATAATATACATATTATGTATTTTTGGGTATACAAGTCTTAATTTAGAACACAAAATATACACAAAAATTTTTAAATGGGTGATTCTACAAAAGTGGGACAACTTGATGTCATCAGTCAATACAGTAGGTATTTTAATATTTTTTGTAAATATTTTAGTAAGTATATTACAAAAGATCCAGGTTTTTTTAACTTCTCCACCCAATTTTAATGTATTTTTTCAAAAGCACGTTTGTTGAAAAACATAATAAATATTCAAAACATCAGTGCCTTGGCATGTCAAAACTCCTGAATCAAATATTTGAGAGGTTTTATTTTAAAATATATTCAATTTATCTTAAATTTTTCAATTCCACTACAAACTATAAAACATTAAATAATGTATTTTTCATATTTTATCATAAATTCGAATAATAACAATTTAAAAAAAATTGATAATCTTTGTACTCACTTTTACCCGTCACTGACGGGCCGTCAGTTCTGTGTCCAATGTTAAAATTCAAAATTTCTGCAAAATATTGAAGTTTAAACGTCAAGTCCTCGTTTTAACTCACGTGTTGGTAAAAAATTACCTACAGAGCCCGCCCTTTGCACGACACTCATATTGAAAACAATGCAAGCGGCGAAGTTGTGGTGAATGCACGTATAGTTCCAGTCAAAATTTCAGTACTGTGGTGAGTAGTTATTTTCTTATGATTTGTTGATAAGTAGCATCCACTAATAAAAAATATCAGTAAAATACCTAATTCCGAATTATAATCTCAAATTTGTATCCCATTCATCAGTACCGTGTCGTTCGATGTTTCGGTTATCTTTTTTTCGCAAACTTCAATTTAAATTTTGCTTGCGCAGAACTTGTTTATTTAATGTCATTATAAACTCATACATTAGGTGTGGGTCCCATATCTAATAATTGAGATATCAATATACCTAAAATCCACCAGCCGTCACTGATGTGTGGTATTATTTAATTTAATAGTATATTATGTATCAAGTTTTGTAAACGCCATTTTAGTTACGAGTTAATTAAGAACGAGCGAAGCTTGCAAACGAGTTTTTAATAAAAACGAGTGTCTTTATAAAGAAGTTTATAAAACGAGTTGCATACTATACTTTATCTACGACGAACATAAATAAGATTTTAAAGCCAATTTTATTTGTTAAACATTTGACATCCGTCAACTGTCAACGGATTTAACCTCGCTTTTTCCCAATTAATATTAAAGCTAACTTCAGCCCGTGACTAAAATGACCAAAAGAAAAGCCACTGTTGCTAACTTCAGCCCGTGACTAAAACGCCATTAAGTCACAGCTTATCAATGGTGGAGTAGATAAAGATATTTAATGTATAATATGCTCAAAGTTGCAATAAATCTTATATTTTTCAATAAATTACGTACTTAATTATAATAATAATAACTATAGTACCCTGGTATTCTTGTCACTTCCCTTGCATTCAAATTTAGAAACACAGATATTTCTGAAAAAGTGACTAGCCTGGTCTGGAACAGTATATTTATTATATTATAATAATTATCTATGTTCTCATAACATAATGTTTAATTTTCTCCGAAAACTATACATGTATAAACAAAATGAGGTTAAAAGTTGCCCAACTTTTGTAGAATCACCCATATATTATTTTTATAATAATTATTATTATAATTTATTCTTTATCTTTGTTGGTTGGTGTTTTTGATACTTGGAACCTTGTCATTCCAAGTTATTGAATGAATAATTAAATAATTTTTGTCCAAGTGGCAGGTGCAAAAATAACCCATGTCAAAATGACAGGTGCAAAAATGCCAACCGTCAAAATGACAAATGTCTAAATGACAGCTCTCAAAATGACTGGTACATATGTAAATTCCAGCTGTCAAAATGACAGGTGCTAAAATGTTGCAAAATGACAGTTGCTAAAATTAAAATTTCTAAAAAAATAATTGGGTTGAAGAGGATGCTGTACCTGTCATTTAGAAACCTGTCAATTTGACAGCTGTCCAAATGACAGGTGCTAATATTGAATTTCTTAAAAAATGTGGGTTGAAGAGGGCGCTATATCTGACACTCCATTGGTTATTACCAAACCATTTTTTTGTAGGTACAATTATGATGATTCTATGATACGCGATTTGTACTTTTAGTAAATAATTGCACATTTTCTACAAATACCTACCTATAATTGATGAAAAAATATTTCTGGACATTATAAGGAGCAATGACAAAAAAAATAAAACCAACTTTATGCACAATATTAGATGTAATTTTTACATACTATAATATTTACATGTTACGCCAAACTAAATGTCCGTCCATAGTTCGGATTGTTTAAATTATATAAGCAATATTATTTATTCACTTATACATATTTATTGTAAGAAAATTTGAAAATAATAAATCTTTTATTAGTCCAATTTTTAATATATTTTATTTATGCTAAACCAGAGAAAAAATCCGAGGCATTTTTAAGTTTAGAAGATGGTAAGTTGTTTTCCAAATCTTTTTTTCTCTCATGTTTCTTGTGTTTGTGAGAAACTTTTTCGAAATCTTCAAAGTACTGAATATTCCAGAATTTAACATCATTATTATGGCTACTTGAAGCAATGAATTTGCCTGTGTTGCAAATGTCCACATTTTCAACTGATAGTTGATGCTGACCAACAACTCCCAAATGTCTAAAAAAAATATTTATTATTATTATTAAATTAAGAAAATAATTACCTATGTGGAAATAAATGTGTAGCTCTTAAATTTCCATCTTCACAGGCTGTGACAGCAATATTTTCTGTAATTGGTACCAAGGAGTTAATTGTAGTTTTTGGTCCTGGGAAGGCATCACTGTGTAGCCCAAATTCGTTCCAATTATATAAATACAATTTCCCTTTAGAGGAACCTGAAACCAACTTGGTTTCTCCCCTAAATATTCCAAGACATGTCAGTTCTTCTTCATACTCTTCAGATTGCATATGAAACTTTCTAGAATAAGAAAAAGTGTAAAAAAGTTATTCAAACAAAGTTAAATATACAGGGTGTTATGTAATTAATGTAATATATTAAGATGGGTACTTCCTTAGGGTCCATAAAGAAGCACCTGAAACTATTTTTTTCTAAATTCTAAAGACTAAAAATAATTAATAATAACCTTTATGCTACCAAAAAGTTCGCCACTGATCGACTAGGAACTTTAGGGTAATCTGGTTGTCTAATTTAATTTATTATGTTATGGTTGGTAACAACCACCGTTTCCAGATACTGTCAAAAAAGTTGCCAAATTTTGTTTAAATTTAGCTTAATTGATGACAATGACAAAATCAACAATGAAAATTGTTAATTTGGCGTTTTTATTAATTGTTTATTTTATCATTTTTGTAATGAAGGTAAATTCAAACAAAATCTGGCAACTTTTATGACATAATCTAGTGCATTTCTTTCAAATTTTAGGTTATGTGCTCAAATTGTAAATATCTTAACTAAGGGAAGTGCTTTTGGATTTATTCACACAAATTTAATGTTTAAAGTTTAACCTGTAAACTTGTCCTAATTTCATCAAGTAAACAGAACCGATGAAAAAGTTAATTTTGTGGTTATGGAGTTTTTAAAATACTAAATGTTCTAATCATTGCTTAGGCAATAGCTGGATGAGTAAATAAATACAGAAGGGTATTAGAGCCTTAACTTTTGTATTTATTGTTTTTATTTATTTTTTTTGCAAGACAAATTTTTAGTACCAATTTTTTACAACTGGCAACGAGCAGCTTCATTGTTGGTTGGTATCAATGTACTCACAGAACAAAAGTGTGTAACCAGTGGCATATCACAAAAAATATGCATATTTTTTCTTTATCTTTGGGAAAATATTTTTTTAAATATTTTTCAATTACACCTTAGGTCAGTCTTTTAATATATTACATTAATTACATAACACCCTGTACAAAAACCATACCGGTTTTGTAAGTCCACTGTTAAAAGCGACCCATCCCCACTGGATATTAATAAATATTTTTTACTCTCATTTGTAATAATATCACTGATATAATCCTCATTCCTCTTTATCCTATAAATTTGTTTGTCTGATCTTTCCCTTAAATCCCACAATTTCACCATACCGTCATCATCCCCAGTAGCAAATAAATTTTCGTCCAACACTGTAAGACAATACACAGGCACATCATGTGAGTTCTCATAAAATCTGTTCAATTTCCCTGTTTGCACATCAGTCAACATAATACTTTTATCTTTAGACGTGGAGAACATAATTTTACCATCATAACTGAACTCAACATCTCTACAAGCCTTGGTGTGCGATTCAAGCGACTCCATTAACGTATTCTCCTCATTTGTGTACTTATACAAACCCACGTCGCCCACTATATTAGCAATGGCAATAATATCCTCATGGGGATGAAACGATATGTCGGTAATGAAATCCTCAGTTGTAATCGGCGGTGGGTGATCTCTTTTGTTTTCCGCATTCCTTCTAATTGCTTTGATTACCTCGTCTTCTTCCTCATCTTCAACTGGTTCGTCTTCGGATTCGATGGTCTCATTTTGGTCGTTTATAGTTTCCTCGTTATCAGAGCTTTCCGAATCTGTCATGCTCACATCGCTGTCACTATCGTCGGATACCATTTCGACGCTTTCGTCCTCCGGGTTCGTATTCTTTTCGCACATTTTACGCCTTGTTTTTAACAATAATAATAAAAAACATGTGAGAATTACGGTTTGACAGCTCACATAACCTCACAAAAGTAGTTCAAATGCCCCAATCGACGTACGTGTCCGTCAAGTTGGCATTTCTGTTGACTTTACTTTTGACATTTGTTGACATTTTTCATTCGCAAAAGCTTTTTGTTCGTTTGCTGTTAAATTTTCAGGGGTATTTCAAGTGTATCGAGTAGTTCGACGTTCAATAACTTATCGGAAATATGACAATGGGCGATGAAACTCCATTAACCTCATTAATTTTGCCTGTATTAATACGCCCTATTTTGTCTCAGGTATGGGTTTGTGGTTTTGTGCTGTGTATATTTCTATGTGTGGGTTTTTTAGCTGGAAAAGCAGGATGTCTCTGCCTCACAAACGCTCAGAGCTGCCCTGACCAAGGCTGAGGCTTCACATCCTGGTTTGACATATGATTTAGTTGTTGGGATAATGAGACGAGGGGAATTGGCTGTGAACATGCATGAGAGTATTTTGCGTTTGCAGGCTGGAGCAGACACAGATGGTAAGTATGCAGCGCATTAGGTAAGAAGTTGATGATGTGGTTTTTGCTATTTTAGTTGTAGAATACAGACTTTCAAGATCAGAGGATGCCTTCCAAGAACTAAACAGAAAATCTGCATCCTTAAAGAGGATTTTAAGCAGAATACCAGATGAAATAACCGACAGAAAAACATTTTTGGAAACTATAAAGTACTACCTATAATAATTATTTATAATGTAAAAAACTATTAATTTTTTATTTTAGGGAAATAGCAAGTGCAATTAAAAAATTATTGGATGCAGTAAATGAGGTTGGCGGTTTTATACCAGGAACAAATGGTAAACAGGCTTTGGAACAACGAAAAAGGGAGTTTGTCAAATACTCAAAAAGATTCAGCAATACTCTGAAAGAATACTTTAAAGAAGGACAGTAAGTATTAAGTTTTTTATTAACTTCCACATTTAATATATTAGTGTATTAAGTTACTTAATGCACTGCTTTATTAAATTGGAAAAGTGAGGTTAAAACGTTTGACAGATGTCAGATCGGGAAAAAGTGAGGTGAAACCCGAAAATTTTGTATTTTAACAAATTTTTTGTTACTATTGATTCATGAGATCGGTAAGAGTAAAATACAAGTTCATAGCAGTTCAAAAGGGAGCATGCCAGAACTGGTTAGTCAACATTGGTGTTAATATGAGAAAGACTTTTTCAAACATTTATATTTTTGTATTTAAATAAATAAAATAAAAATGATAATTCAACTGTTAATTTTGCTTTTTTTGTTGTAGCGCCGACTCTGTGTTTCTTAGCGCCCTCTATCTAATACACCAAACAAACATGATTATATCAACGGTCAAACATAAGTGCGAATAGCAATTGTTCCATTGAAAGTTCAAATAAGTTTTATTTTAGTTTTAGTTGAAGAGCCATTTTAGGTTTTATGTGCAAAAATATTAAAGGTGGATATTTTTTCAATAAATAAAAACGTCATGACAACTTCCATTACCAACTTTATAATGTTAATTACTGAACATACAGCTGTATATTTTTGCAAATAAAAACTAAAACAAAAGGTAATTTTTAGGTAAAAAATACTTAAATATTGTTACTTTTTGGCCTGTATTTAGTGTTTTAAAGGACCCAAAAATTATTTTAGATAGTATTAATATTGTAGTATTTAAAAGTTTGTTTATTATTTTTAAAAATAGGTCCATTATTATGACTTTATTTTGTATTGTTTTGGTTAGGGATGATGGTTAAATGTAATATAAATTTTGAGATATATTATAGTATTATTGTTGAAATTTAACACAAATTGTGTTATTATAAAATCTAATAAAGTACTAAAAGGTTTTTTATTGTGTTATTTATGAAATAAATCACAGTTTAAACAAAAAAATTGTGCTTTTATTAAAATATTCTTAAGAAGAGTAGAAATAGTTTTAGGCAAAAAATATAGTTTTTGTAAAATAGAAATTTTTAAAAATAAAATCTTCATATCACAGAATGTCCAAAAATGTTACATAACTAAAAGTACTCTTAAAAAATAAATATTCATGTATAATATATTTGTACCTTTTAAATTACACCTATGGCTAAGCTTACTTTCAAATTAAAAGCAATTTTAGGTTTTAAAATTAATTTTTCTCCTTTAAATTAATAATAATATTTGTCAAGTCTTTTACTTTCTTCTCAAGTTTTTGGTTTTGCTGTTTCAACAACTTAACTTCAATTCTACTATTCAAATACTTCTGCCTCATCAATTCATACCTCTTTTCGTCTAAAAAATCAAAAACTATTTTTAACAAACTACAAAAATTAGAAAACTTACCATTGGAGACTTTATTTTTATTTATTGCTGAATTGTGGTTGCTTTTCTTGAAATCTATCCATTTCTTCACATAGGAATGCTCCAATAAAGGATCAGTACTGTAATTTTGTAGGGTTAAACAAGGTATTGCATCCTTTTTTAACTGTCTTTTAGAATTTTCCTTTGATTGTAAAAGATAATCAGACCCCTCAAAATGCTTCGAGCAAATTATTGCCGAGCTCATTGCAACGCTGTCCTGCAAATCCAAAGCCAACAACCACCTTCTTCTCAACTCAGGGATTTTTGGAATACTAAAATAACAATAGCATAAATCCTCAAAATAAATACACAAATGTTTTACTTACGTGTGAAATGAGAAGGTGGACGATTTCGTGAAAGGTTGCTTGCAAATTTTGCACGATTTTACCATCCTGTTGTCGTATTTTGCCAACCAATTAGTAGGTAAGTTTAGAAAATGAGTTCATGAATTCACACCTTCTTTATCTCTGTTCACAATTAGACAAAAGAGCTGTCAACAAACAACAAAACGTACGTGAGTAGTTCATTTAACCCACATACACTGAGAAACACAAATGTTTGCTTAGTTCCACATATACTACCAAAGAACACTACGATGGAGTAACCTGGGTACTGGGAATCTATAAACAGCACTACGGTTTTCGTATTGTTCATCTTTTACGGGAGGAAGGCAATCTATAAATCAGGCTGTAAGGATGTGAACGTAAAAAGAGGGGCGCATTTATTACTAATAAAGAAGAAGAAAAACCCTAAACCTATAACACTTATGTCTATTAAACTAATGAAAAAATCCCTTTTGAAGGTATGGATAGTTCCACTTAACCATAGATAACAAAGCCTTAACTGGGACTCCCAGTCTGGGAGTCCTCAAGATAATTGGAATAACCAGCGCTGCCAACTAAAAAAACGGTTTTCCCCACATTATGTGGTAAAATTCCCCACAGCTTCCAAAAATTCCCCACACATACTGAAAAACATAAAGTTTTTATATGGTGAAAAACAAATAACTGAACCTGAAACTGAAAATTTTTCTTTTACCTTATCATGTAGTTCAGAATTACAAAAACAGAAGCACTGGAACATTTGGAGCAAAAATTAGGGAAAACCACAGACCTGTGGTCTGTGGGGAAAACTATAAATTCCCCGAAATTCCCCACACTATTAAATTCCCCACACATTACCCGTAACAATGCTAAATTCCCCGCAATTTGGGGAATTACCCACACATTGGCAGCGCTGGGAATAACATCATGAGCTGGCCAAAAAGCTTTCAAATTAGCTAAAGGCCAATAAATTTTGAAGAAGAAGAAGAATGAAAAATCTTTCAAACTCTTTGGTTTATTTATAAATTGTCATAATACTAAATAAATTTAAAAGTAGCGTTGAATTAATATGTCTTTATTCAAATTGGAATGCTTAAGAAGGTTTTACATTTAAATTTTGACATTTACAATTTTTAGGTTATCCGATTCAACAATTTATCTACAATCGCCGTGTTAAAAAGATGTGAACATAGTTAAAGTTAACTTTCTCTGTGGATGTGATTTAGTTGTAGAAAATGAGTGTTTTTATTTAATCAAAATGATAGGAACAGATATCAATAAAGACTTTTGCCACTGGCTAGCCCACATAAAGATGTCTCGATTAGTGATCCTGGTTTTTGCTATGCTTATATTTATCCCACTTATTATGCACTTTTATTTATCTAAAGTGGAGAGATCCTCAATAAGCATATCCAGCAACTCTCACTTTGATATATCAGAGGATTTAAATTTTATACAAGATTTCGATGTTAAAGATGGTGTGGAGGAGTTAATTAGAATTAGAGGGTCTGTTTTGAGTGAGTTAAGAGATATGGAGCAAAAAAGACAGAAATTACTAGTGGAAATTCAGGGCTATACAAAGAATATTGAAGAGTTAAAGCAGGAGATTTTTCATTTACAAACCAACTTAAATAGACTTAAAATATCTGTAGAACAAGCACAAGTTGCACAAAAAGAAGCTGTACAACAAAACACGCCAGATTTAGCGTTACCCAAGAAATTAACTGCAAATTTCTTTCCAGAGAAATTACCTTCAATACCTAAGCATTTATCAAGGAACTGTAAAATGTTTTCTTGCTTTGATCACTCCCGTTGCTCTCTAACATCAGGATTCCCTGTTTACTTGTATGATCCTGATCAACACCCAGTAATGAATTATGGTTGGGACGTGGACGGTTTCCTTAAAACAACCCTAAAACAAACTTTGGGCTACAACCCCCATCTAACGAGCAAACCTGAAGAGGCTTGTGTTTATTTGGTTTTGGTTGGAGAGGCTCTCAGAGATACCGGTGATGTGAGTGATAATGTGGGGAATCAGTTAAATTTGCCACCTTTGGATTCAACAGCTTTAAAGAGATTGCCTTTTTGGGGTGGCGATGGTAGGAACCATGTGCTGTTGAATTTGGCCAGAAGGGATTTGACGGCTGGTTCTGGGGATATTTTTTCCAATGTTGATACAGGTAAATTGTTGTTTTGAAATTATTATAATTTACATTCAATCTGGTAAACCATTATTATATTTTGTTAATTGTAATTGACAATATTTGTCCGGGGGCTATTTGCGCTGTGCTTGAACAGCTGACGGCCGGACGAATATTGCGGTGACTATTTGCCCGGGTGAACGTTCAAACATTTCCGTCGTAAATTAGCTGCAACGGAAGTTGTAGTTTTTGTGCAAGTGCTTCACTAAGCACCTATAATAAATTATTTCCATATGATGATGTATGACTAGACTAACAGTTTCTTATTTTCGTAAAATTCAGACAAAACGGGATTAAATAAAAAAATGGCGGCTGGTTCTAAAGGGCACAAGGGCACGTGCCCACCCAACCGCCCAGATAAAAGGTAATAAAAAAGTAAAAGTAAATAAAGTAAAGTTATTTGTTGCATTGGGCATTATTTTAGTTATACGTAACACCATTGTAATTACTATTTAAGGATGGTCTCAAACCTTCTTTCTGCCCGCTAAAACGGTTGAATTTAAACCTTCTTTCCGCACTGCTGCCGGGGTACAGTTTGAAATGTACCTATTCCGAGTATGATTCGGTGATCTTCGGTTATCCTCTCAGTACGGGAATATATCGTCAATTTGGGGCACCGAACGCAGTGTCTCTTCAAACGCTATCTGTGTCAGTTTGTTTGATTTCTAACATTTTTAATTAAGAAAAAAGGAAGACATATCTTCGAATACAATACACTTCCACAGGTAATGGCCGAACTTACAATAGAGTAACCAACAGAATTATCTATGAAAAATACGAGTGGATATGCGGATGTTCAGTAACCAATAAGCTTTTTTGTTTTATGTGCTTAATTTTCAAAAAAAAAATTACGTGCGTGGAATAAACATGGGGTAAAGCCGGGTCTACAATTGTCGCAGGGGTCCGATCGCAGAACATAAGCTTGCGCAAAGCACCCCGCGACGTGGCGATGGAGCAAGGTTCTTTTGTAAGCTGGGTGCTTTGCGCAAGCTTATTTTCTGCGATCTGCGACCTGCGACAATTGTAGACCCGGCTTTAACCCATGTTTATGCTAGATGATTTAAAACACATCGCAGAGAGGGCTAAGGAACACGAAAATTCAGTTTTTCGCATGAAAAATAGGAGAATGTACAAAAATTAGTAGGAAAGTTTTTTGTGCCCACCCTCTTCCAGAACCTACGAGCCGCCACTGAAATAAAGTAAATATTTTTTAGTGTGTAAGTTGGTATACCTATCAACAAGCAGATTTACGTAATTGCTCTATCAAATACTTCGTTTCCAATGCCTTCTAAAGGCTAAATATCCGAGTACCTGTGCAATAAACTGAAGCAAAAGCTAAATTTATTATATTTATACGAGTACTTTTATTATATTCATATGGGTCATATGAAGAGATTCTCTATATTTGTGCTTAGTTTTTAATTATTGCTTGTTCTATCAGTGCTGTCATCCGTCAAATCTCAATTTTAACTTAAAATTTAACTTAAAATTTTTAAGGTTAATTTACCATAACCCACAAAGTCAGTCATGTGATATAAAACCACCAATTACATACATACATAATCACTATTTTTAGGGAGAGCCATTTTGGTGCAGTCGACATTTATGTGGCACCAATTTCGTCCAGGCTTCGACCTGATAGTATCCCCAGTGCTGGGCCCCCCTGGGGGTGACGTTTGGCAAGAATGCCCCTTCATGGTGCCAAGTCGTCGAAAATATTTGCTAACGTTCCAAGGCGAAATGAAAACAAACCACAAATCCCCGTCGACGCCAAATTACGCGCCGGACGATTCGGATTTGGCCAAGGAAACGCAAGAATTGGACAAATTCGTGTTGGAGCACCTAAAAGATTTACAAAAAACTAACACCTCCGATAAGTTTTTGTTCGAATTCGAGTGCGTTTTGGCCAGTGACGACAACGTGAACGCGGCACCCCACGATTGGGCCTTGTGTGGCACTGACAGTTCTAGACGGTCGGTACTGAAGGAATCTACGTACGCGCTGATTTTTGCTCCGGGATCCCCCGATTTAATTACCACCACACTGTTGCAAGCCAGGATTTACGAGGCGCTGAGATCGGCTGCCATTCCTGTTGTTTTGGGAGGGGATCAAGTCACTTTGGCTTATAATGAGGTAAGCAAAAACTTATGTTAACAATAATCCAGTAAATATATTTACCAACTATTGTTAAAATCAGGTTATCCAATGGAGAAGAGTGGCAATATTCCTGCCAAAAGCCCGAATAACGGAACTTCACTTTCTATTGCGCGCAATACCAGACGAAGACGTTCTGCTGTTTCGTCGTCAAGGGCGTCTGGTGTGGGAAAAGTACCTTGCTTCTGTACAAAGCACTCTGGACACTATAGTGGCAGTGCTGCGCAATCGCTTGAACATCCCTGCTTTACCGGCCGAAACTTTTACGGCAGTTAGCGTGTTCAACGACACCTTCCAACCAATCCAGGTAACAACACTGTCTATTTTTTTTCAATTTTTTTTAAGATTAAAAAAACGTTGAAATCATCAGAATGACAAGAATTATTTATGAAAATAAAAACGCAAGAAATGTGTGAAACAAGTTATTATTATCTGTATATATAAAAATAAATCGTCTTGCGTTAGTCTTGCAAAAACTCGGAAATGGCTCAACCGATTTAAATATATTCTTTTGTTTTGTTCGCCTCAATACAGGGGTGATTGAAATAAAAAATACATAAGGAAAAACCGAAAGGAACAGCCGGAAAATCAAAATTCGTTCAACTTTGGATTAATTTGAATAGATGGCGTTCGTAGCTGCGCTTCAGATTAAATTTAAAAAAATTAACCACAAATTCATTCATTCAATTGTTTTAGCGAGAAATTAGTTTAAATAGTAAAGTTCTCAATTGTTTAAATTAGTTTAAATAGTAAAGTTCTCAAGGTAAGTTTGGCAGATTTGAGCGACTGTGAAAACAATTCCGTGTCGTTTTACAGTAACTTAAAAAATAAAACTTTACAGAAAGAATATTTATAATACAACTTTAATTTTTAAAAGTCAGTTTTTATTAATAAAAATTTCTTTATACTGTTCATTTTTTTTATTAAATTGGTAGCATATTGATTTAATATTTGACAGTAAATTGACAGTAATTTTTATTATTGATAATTTACTTGTTAAATCGATATAAAAAGGTATGCCAAAAATAATATCAGATTGTAAAGTAAAAGAACTTTTAACGGCAAAACTTCATTTCAATGAAGTTATGCCAAATGCCTCAATGGCAAAAAAGTAGGTACATCGCGTTATGGACATTATTGGAGTAAAAAAGTAACGTTTTTGGTTTTACAAATCACACATTATTTTCAGCTAAGCAGATCAAAAAATTTTGAAATTTTAAAAAATAAGGGGGAAATAAAAAAATAAAAATTATTTGCTGTTAGGTTCAACCTTTAAAGGTTGAACTTAACAAAAAAATCTAGTAGTTAATTTTCCTTTCTTTGAAAATAGCATACATTTGGTTTGAAAAAAAAAGCAATAGGTAATCCCGAAACTTTTTCTTCCTTCAATTTGCAAGTTACTGATCATTAATAGTCCTGGACAATATATACATTGTAATTATTATTAAGTCACTACAAGTCCAGTGGCTTTAACAAAATACCCATTCACCATTGGAGTCCAATGATTGGACAACATTCACGTATGTTCATATAACATTTTAATTTCTTTTTTCTACGACTACTATGTAAAAGTCACTTTTCATGATGGCATCGTTGCTTAGAAAATGAATCTTTTCATTGGCAAGGCAAAACACGAATGTAAAGTGACATTTCTGTGTGAAAAGTGACAGGTCTGTGTGAAAAGAACCGGAAAGCATCGTTTGACATTCAACTGTCAAAAAAGTTTTTAGGTTATTTTGTTTTGTATTTAAAAATAATAAAAAATAAAAGGGTCGCAGAAAAAACATTGTGTTATACTTGTGAGAAAAGCTTTCTTCAAGCTCGTGTTAATGCACACTCGGCCTAACGGCCTCGTGGGCAACTTAAAAACTCGCATGAAAAAGTCGCTTTTCAACACTTGTAAAACAAATAACTATTATATAAATTATTTTTAAAGCGAAGATTATTATCCGCTAGAAATACTTTGTCTCTCCAGGGCCGTAGTCACCTATATTTAACTACTTTTTTATATGATTTTACTCATCTACGCACCACCAAAGCCAAATTAATTGCATTTTTAACTACGAATTTTGACAACTCAACATGACTCAACTTGGCAACCGTTCAATGTAACCTACAATAATTTAAACATAACCACAATTACATTATAATTACATTTGTGGCTATTTTGCAAGCGGGCAAATAACACACGGTTTAGATCAAAAATAATATTTAATTTACACTAAACTATCAAAAGAAAATCACAGATTACATTTTAAGTTCGAAGCGTCGTAGATGCCGAGTCGTGATTGGCTCTCTCCTATTGGCCGTCAAAATGTCAAAAACCCTGGCCGTGTTGCCGTTTCTCTCCATGCAATCCCGGCGGTGTTGCCAGTTCTATTTTCAGCGAAGTCAATCGATCTGTAGTGTGATTCCGCCACACATTTATAACACAGTTTAGTTTGTTTTAATCAATGCAACCAATTTTGGTTCCGATTTACCAACCAAACCCCTAAATTTGCAAAGTTGCCGTAGTCCAGATAAAAAAAATAACTTTACGTATCTTAAATTTTTGAAACCTTTTATTTTATTAGTAAGTCTAGTACAAAAATTAGGTGCATAATAACTTGAAGCTTCTCTGGATCTATAAATCCTATGAAATTCTATAAATATATTATTAGCAGCATTTAAATTTGTATTCACATACAACAAAGAATTTAATAAATATTGAATGTTTAAATCTTTAAAACTGATAAAATCTTTGTCTGATTTATTATTAATGCGGCAAGGAGTAAGATTTAGTAAAAAAATTCATAAACTACAAAAAAAGTTTTATTTATATTTCTATGGTAACATTAACTCTTACTTATTTTTTATCTGTGGTCCACATTTAAAAATTGATTTAAAGTAAAAATTTGTTTCAAAGTTCTAAAAATCGATTTTTGACATATAGGTAATGCGATTTAAAAAATAAAAATTTCTCAAATTTCATCATCATCAGATTCTATCAAATTGTAAGTTAAAAAATATCGAATAGGTGCCTGTTGCCGTCGACACGGAACAGGAAGAGAGTTTGGGTCCGCTGGAGCCTCCGTACAACAGTCCCGCCTACAGGCGGAACTACAGTTTGCCCCTGACGCAGGGTGCGGAGATGTGGAACGATTGGGGCGACCCCTTCAGACTGTACGCCGCACTTCCGATGGATCCGGTGTTGCCATCCGATGCCAAGTTTATAGGCTCGGGGAGGGGGTTCAGGCCCATCGGACAGGGATCAGGAGGTAAGGAAAATGAAAGTTTTAAAAACTTCACCGAGGCGATTTGTGTTCGACCAAAAAGTTCACTTTTTAATATAATGTTGATGGTTTTGCAGCATTTTCAGGTAGATACATTTTTTTGGGTTTTTGTAATTTCTTCAGGTAACATGTTATATGTTTGTAAACTTCTGTATATTGGAGAGTCTTGCGTTTTTTTGTTATTGTTTTTTCATTTCTGAAGTCATAATTTTTCCTTATATTAGTTGTTTTCCTTGCAAAAGATTGACGTTTGTTTTGATATTTTGAGCCTGCTCAAATTTTTTTAGTTACCTAATTTGCAGAATTTTTGTTTTTTTAAAGACGGATATTTTCTAAATCCATATATTGTTTTCACAGCCTTGTTTTGCATTTGTGGTTTATTTAAGAAATATTCAACAGCATTTCCCAGCATGGAATTGAAATGGAATCTTTTCAACATGGTCATTCCAACTAAGTTTTTCATACATTATAAGTCCCAAGTATTTAATAGTTTAGGCGCATTCATGCTCACTAAAATAAGAATAAGAAATAAGATAAAAAGTTAAAACTGTGTAAAGTAATGGTTGCGTTCATGCTCATGAAAATAAGGAATAAGAAATATGAATAAAGATTAACAATTTTTAACTTTGGTTCTTATTCTTGCGTATAAAACTGCGCAAAGGGCCAAAATGGGTCTGTGAATTATTTTGATGGGTTTTATGTGCTGGCCATGGAGCCATGGTGTTGGAAATCGCGTTGAGTGAGGCTGTCGATTGTTTACGTTTATAGCCAATATAATCCACTATAATAAAATATAATTGTGTGACAACATTTTTTATTTCTTATGTTATCAGCATGAACGATCAATCGCGATCTTATTTCTTATTCCTTATTTCTTATTCTTATTTCTTATTTTAAGTGAGCATGAATACGCCTTTTGTGCCTGTTTTATAGATATGCTATTGATTTTATTATCCAGGTTGATGGCAGGTTTATTTTTTTGTTTTATCATCATAAATTCATTTTTTTGCATATTAAGACTAAGTTTATTACTATTTAACCACTTCCAATAGGTTTTTATGACTTCATTAATATTATTGGAAATTTCCTTTAATTCTGTTCCGCTATATAATAACAATGCTGTGTCATCTGCAAACACATAGTATCTTCCTTTATTGCCGGAGTATTTTAAGTTGTGCACATAATAATAATAATAATAAAAATAATAATAATAATAATAATAATAATAATAAGTTTAAAAACAAAAAGAATCATAATAGATATTTAATAAAGAAAAAGTACTTAATAATAATAAAATAAAATTAATAAATAGGTATCCCTAATTTGTATTTATTTATATCGCTAAGTTAATAAACTGCTTAATCCACTGAGGTACAGAGTGATCCCCTATAATGTCGCCCCCCTTTAACTTTTTTATTTTAAGTGTCCCAAAAAAATTAAAAGTGTGGTTATGTAGGAACTAAAAAATACTTTTTTTCTACGTATAAAGAAAATTGGAAAATTGATCAGTATACAGGGAAAAACAAAAATTTTTTTTTTTCAATGGATCACCCTATATATGAATTTATTTTTCGATTCCTTGTAAAATTCTAAGTATATTTCATATATCATACCATATACCTAAATTCAACCGTTTCTGAAATATTTAAATTAATTATTATAATTATAATTATTTTTAAGATAATAAGTTGAAATAGTTTGTCTTTCTCTGTCTGAGTACGCCATTTTTACTTATTTAACAACACTTATTGACATAATGTCACTATAGTAATTTATTTTCAATAAAAATTTTGGTATACTGGGGCTTCTTGATTTTTAACAGTTTAAAAAAACATTTAATGATGACATTTCGAATGCGAATATTTCAGAAACGGTTGAATTTAGGTATATGGTTTGTATATAAATTATGCTCAGAATTTTACAAGGAATCAAAAAATAAATTCAAATATAGGGTGATTCATTGAAAAAAATAAACTTTTTGTTTTTCCCTGTATACTGATCAATTTTCCAATTTTCTTTATACGTAGAAGAAAAGTATTTTTTAGTTCCTACATAACCACACTTTTAAATTTTTTGGGACACTTAAAATAAAAAAGTTAAAGGGGGGCGACATTATAGGGGATCACCCTGTACATGTACCTGTGCTTGGCTAATAAACAAACAATTTTTTCATGCTATTTAAGTATATTAAATTTTTGTTGGGTTATTTTCTATTACATTTTTTAGGTAAAGTAAATTATATTGCTTATTTTATTACTTCATACTGTTTGAATCCATTTATTTATTTCTTTTAGGTAGTACTTAAATCGTTAATTTCTTTTATATTTTTTTTGTTTCAATTTTTTTGTATTAAAAATCTATTACAATCTGGTCCATTTTATTATTTTGTTTTACAAACTTATTATCAGAAACAGACAAGAGAAAATTTTAGGGATATTTATCTTACATTCGTTAAAGTCAAAAGTTTTAATAAAGGTATATTAAATTTAGTTTAGGATAATTAGAAATGTATCAAATATTCAACCTAGCACTTATCCCTGGGGTACACCCACTTGTACTTTAGCTAGTTTGCTTTCCCCATTTTTTACAGTTGTATATTGTTGTCGATTTTATTAAACTTTGACCCACCCCACGGATTCCTAGATTTTAAAGTTTTTTCAAGAGTAATTGTATATTGGATTTGCAGGTCTATAAACAGTACAATCTCATATTTATTCTTGTCTAATTTTGATGTAATGGTCTATAGCATATGGAATAATATTTAATAATGGTTTAAATTGGTTTAATAATATTAAATTAAAAAAACTTAATAAAATATGAAAAAATTGTCATAGTTATTCTTCATTTTCTAATAAAAGATTAAATCCAAGAGGGTTGTACTTACATACATTTGATTAGGAACAATTTTATTATTATTATTAGAGGGACCGTCTTTATTATTTATAGGGACCGTCGTTATTTTTTATAGGGGCCGTTGTTTTTAGCAACTATAGCAATTATAAAAAGAATAATAACATAATGATTTGTGATTTAGAAAGGTAAAAAAATTAATTGAAAAGTTTTTATTTATAAAACAATTAAAGTCGGATTTATAGTTCTAAAACGTAGCCGTTGCAGTTGCAGTAAGTAAGTAGCTAATTTTTACAATTTATAGTGCAGTGCGTAGCGGTTGTAGTAGTGGCCGCCTAGTGACATTTGTTCTGTTTATTTTGTTTATTTGGTTTAGTTTACTTATAAACATGGTTTGGGAGCCTTGTTTTTGAGTTTGACAGTTTGTCTGCAATGTCTGCAATTTGATTGGCTGTAGTAGTCGTTGCCGCAAGAAAATATTAAAGTTGGTCATCTCTTACGACAACTTACGACGTCCTTGGATGCTACTGCAAAGATCCTCCAGCCAATCACAGACTGTTTTGCTCCTACTGCAACTGCAACTGCAACGGCTACGGCTACGTTTAGAACTATAAATCCAGCTTAAGCACATGGTCTCTGCAGCATAGATAAAAAGGCCTCTGCAGAGATCAGTTTACGAAAATTTGGGGTTATGTATTGTATATGTCATTATACAAATCTAAAATGTTTAGTCAGGGAAATAATTAAAAACAATTAATATATCATTGGGGACCGTCGTTATTTATTAAAAAAGTACGCATTGAAATATCAGGCTTAAACTAAATTTATTAAATTAATATTTACAGAAGTACTTACCGCTCTTAATACATAAGGGAAACACTTGTCACTTGTCATCTTCTACCAATATTTTTAACATACCACGACCGGCCACTTAGCGGTGTCATATTTTACTAATATAAGAAGCGCTCGATTTAAATTGGGAGACATATGATATTATTTTTTTTATTAAGACCAGTATAAGATTTTCCAAGTAAATAAGTCTTATTACGTAAGTTAATAGTTCTTATATTAACTAAAAAATATTTTGCAAAGATCAGTTAAGGTAATCCACATACAAGTATGGATTGTATGTTAAAAAAGGCGGCGGGAGACAAGGGACCGTCGTTACGTTTTTTGGGTTATTATATCAGATTTTTAAAACACACGATATTTATGGAAGCTATTAGTAACTAAATATTAAAAAAAGTTAATACTGAACACATTTCATTAAGTAAATTAAGTTTTTTTGGAGCTGTCTGTTTTCTCCCATTACTGAATTTTGTCCCATATCTGTTGTAGTGCTCATTGTACTACTTTGAGTTTTGAAATCCATATTGGTATAAGTCAAATCCATAAGCATTTTGAAAACTTTTCAAAACTTTTAGGAGCCGGTAAAGAATTCTCGGAGTCGTTGGGGGGAAACAACCCCCGCGAGCAATTCACAGTGCTCCTATTAACTTACGAGCGCGAGCAAGTGCTCATAGACTCCATAGCGCGCCTAAGGGGCCTGCCCTATCTGAACTCCGTGGTGGTGGTGTGGAACTCCCCCCGACCCCCCAACGCCGAGCTAAGATGGCCGGACATCGGCATCCCCGTGCACGTCATAAAGGCGGCCAGGAACTCCCTGAACAACCGGTTCTTGCCTCTCGATATCCTTCAGACCGAGGCTATTTTGTCGGTCGACGACGACGCCCACTTGAGGCACGACGAGATATTGTTCGGGTTTAGGGTGTGGAGGGAGCACAGAAGCAGGATCGTGGGGTTCCCCGGGAGATACCACGCTTTGGATGTCAATACAAAGAACACTTGGTTGTATAACTCGAACTACAGCTGCGAGCTCAGCATGGTTTTGACTGGAGCAGCGTTTTTGCACAGGTATGTTTGCATGTTAACATGCAATTGCAAGTCACTTTCAAAACAATTACTTTTTCATAGGCATTACTTGCATTTGTACTGGAAATGGCTTCCACAAGCAATAAGAGACAAAGTTGACGAATACATGAATTGCGAGGATATTGCAATGAACTTCTTAGTTAGTCACGTAACCAGACAGCCTCCTGTAAAAGTGACGTCCAGGTGGACATTTAGATGTCCTGGGTGTCCTCAAAGTCTTTCTGAAGACGATACCCACTTCCAAGAAAGACATAAATGCATTAACTTTTTTTCACAAGTAAGTACCTACTTTAAAATTACATTTAAAGACTTGGGTACAAAAAATATATTTTTAGGTTTTTGGTTATACACCATTACTGAACACTCAGTATAGAGCAGACTCGATATTATTTAAGACTCGAATACCGCACGACAAACAGAAATGTTTTAAGTTTATTTAGTTTAATTAATCGAATTAACATGACTTTTAATTTATTTATTGTAAATATTTTATAGATGTATGTACCTACACGCAAAATTATTATTGTGATATTTTAATTGTGCCATTTTATATTTTAATATTATTTAAGTTTTTATACAAAGATTTGTTTGACCTGACTTTAATTTGTAAATAATAAAGTAAAAAACAAAAATCTTTAGTTTTATTTAAAAAAACATCCCAAAATAATATTTAAAAAATGGCGAAGGATTTCCGGTAAAATATCTGGTAAAATTCTTATTTTATTTAGGGTGTCCCTTATTTTTATTTTTTTTACGCATACCCTCTAATTATATTTATTACGTGTTTATATACTCCCAGTAAAAATTTCAGCTCATTCTATAAACGGGAACCCGTGCCGACTTGCATCTGAACCCTCCGTTAGCCAACGTTAGGCGCGCGGTATTTTGTAACACGGTTGGTCGCGAGGTCTTCGATCGTAAGTCATTTTGTGTTTGTTATTATGTGACCCTTATATTATAAATTATTGACAAATGTTAAAATATAGTTTTATTTATATGTATACTTTAATAAAAATGTATATTTTCACAGGGAGTGGCTAGTTACCCGAAAGGTCTGGTGAATAGGCCGTAAACTCTGAAATTGATAAACTTAATGGGTTTTACTCTAAATAACTAAAAGAGTCTATTGTGAGAAATGACTACCGAAAACTTATTGAACTGTCTGAAATATTTTTGGGAGAACATCAAGAAAAGAAATGCTTATAAAAAGCTGAAATTTCATATAACAGTATATTTTAGCAATATTGGGCCATTCCACGCTTAACGGATAGGACAGTTACCGTGTTTTTATTTACAAAATAATATTGTTCTATTATATTACCAATGTCGGGACTATTACAAAGTCCCGTCCGTTACGCTTTAAATTATTAGTTTTTAAGGAAATAAACAGTCAACCACGATACCTTATTTTGCCAAATAAAAACCTTGTTAAACAGCTTTAGTTTAGAACTATTTATAAAAATTTGACATTGGTAATATAATAGAACAATATTATTTTGTAAATAAAAACATGGCAACTGTCCTATCCGTTACACGTGGAATGGCCCAATACTAATTATATTAATATATTTAAGGGATAAAATCAACTAAATTAGTGAAATAAATAATAGAAACAAAAGCAATAATATTAATTAGTAATCATATTTAATAAAATCATTAGAAAAATACAGTCATGAAGTATATCTTCTTTTTAAAGTGTTTCGTGTTACAAAATACCGCGCGCCTAACGTTGGCTAACGGAGGGTTCAGATGCAAGTCGGCACGGGTTCCCGTTTATAGAATGAGCTGAAATTTTTACTGGGAGTATATAAACAAGTAATAAATATAATTAGAGGGTATGCATAAAAAAATAAAAATAAGGGACACCCTAATATATATATAAAACTTAAGAATAAAAAATAAACAAGGCATCTGCAGGTAGCTGAAGTTAACATGGCCTTTTGATTTCGCCGTAGTAGTGCGTACAGTGCCTATAAAACATTCTCTTCTCTATTACTGTGAAAAACTGCTTCTATATCGATTGCTAGTCTATTTTCAAGATATAAATTTTGATTAACACAAAAAAATCTGACTGTCACTTTTTATACGTTTAAAATTTTCCGTGTAAGAATTTTTAATACCTACTTTGTGATTTTGCAATTATAGTAATAAAAAAAATCAAAGCATAAAATATTTTCTTAACAAAATCATTTTGAAGTTATTTTAATATTTTAAAGTATTGTTTAGTTTAATTAAAATAATTAGGGGCAATGTTAATGGTGAAAATTCTGTCAAAAATGTTTTTTGGGAAGGTTACTTTATTTTCGTATAGATGCAAATTAAAAGAATCGCATTTTATAGTATCTGCGTCAAAATTAACTGGTTAATGTATTTTTTTCAATTCAGGTGATTTTTTTGTCTATGATGACTAAGAGAAAGTATTATCATGGTTAACAATATAAATATTCAAAGATTACCAAAGGTTTGTAAAACCAGTTTATCGGTTGTAGTAAAAAATAAGCGGCGGATTGTAACAGTTACTTTAAAATACAAATTAAAAAACATAAAAATGCTGTTTAATTTAAAAAACTGTGGTAAAAATGGTTTGTTGCAAAAATTTGTGAGGCAGGCTAGTGCTCATGCGTTAAATGTTGCGGAAAAAATTAAATTGAAGAGAAGTGAAGCCTTATTGGGGGGTGGGATAAAAAGGATGGATGCACAGCATAAAAAGGTAAGATATAGGTACCTATAAAAAGTTTTGGTTTTCTTATAATGTGTTATTTCTTCTATATCAAAAAAAATAGATAACTGTCAGATATACCTAACCTCACTCTATTTTTTAATAATTATTATTATCGTTAAACAAACAAGGAAAAGTTTATTTGAACTCAACATAAAAAAAATACTTCTTAGCATACAATTATAATAATTATTAAAAGGTATTGGTCCAAACGTGTTCTAAATTTCTTCTACAATCTAAGCAATAATCAATTACTTATATTAATAATATATATTATATAAACGAAGAAAAAATTCAATTATCGTATTCCTAAATTAATCGATATTTTTCGGTCGAACATTTATCGTATTGTATAAAAAATAATTATTATTTTAAAAAAGTCATTTAATTTTCAAAAATAGGAAATGATTTGATAACGTTTATAGGTAATTATTGGTATAGCACATCATGCATACAATTAATAACTTGTTCCAGTGTGTCCTTGAATTATTTTATTGTCACACAATTTTTGAATTGAAGGAATTGAATTTTTATTAAAATCATTCGCGATATAAAACGATGTTACTTTTACTCCATATATTCATTTTTGTGCTTGTATTTGATGATACTAATAAGTACTGCAGTAGCCTTCCACTTTCCAACACAATTCAAAAATCAGATTTGTTAACATGAGTATGTAGTTTAAACTTAACTATTGTTAATTTTATTTTGTAAAATTTTAACATAATTTTTTGTACCGTAAACACGGGTGGCTTTGGCTCACTTTCAAACTTCAGCTTAAAATTGTTGTGGTTTTAACAATCATAATCATTAAATTTTGTATACCAAAATTTGAGTCTTGAATTGTTCTTTCATAATAACTATGTTATAATATTACATAGGGCTGAGTTTCAAAAATAAACATTAAAAACTGGGTGTGCAAAGTTACCCCCTGGTTGCGGGTTATTTTGTCTCACAGTGTTTTTTCAGTATAAAATAAATGTAATATTATATTTTATTTTTATTAGACACGTTTTAGCAGCGACATATATCTATTGCAAGGGATTACCAATAAAAAAAATAAAAAATCGACCTGTAGTTAACCAAGGATCATCATTCCAATGGATTGCGCATAAGTAATATAGAAATTGTAACGCGTGTATTTCTAAGAGTTTTGCACTGATACGATATATACAATTTTGAAGTGTAATAGATCCCATTTCTTTCTTCAAAACACTGATTTTCCTGTACTATAAACTCAATAGAATCGCTCAATTGACAGGTTTAGACCAACAAATTATAAATGTTAATTTTATCGAGCGCGAAAAGATTTTTCATAAATGGGTTAAAGTCACCCGTATTTACGGTAATTATTTTAACAAAGAAAAATATTGTACCGAAAGTTTTATAAAGGTAATATGAAATTTTGTAAGCATTTTGTTAATTTCAAAGATTATTTTGTGAAAAAGTACACGTGATTTCAGACAGTCAATCAAAACATTTTCCACTGACAATACGCATCAACAAGTTCAACTGACTTCAGCGTCTGCAACTTATGTTTCTGATTACTTTATTCTAATTCATAACGTTTTTGTAACAACTGTCCACAGTGTTTATAATATATAACCAGAAATCTGTTATTATTGTTATTTGGATTCCTTATACCTATTTAACGAGTGTGCGAGTGTGGACCTAAATTGACGTTGACTGTCAAATACTACAAATTTACGGTTTTTTTTATAGGTATTATGAAAAGTATAGAACACTCAGATGATTGTTCGTCATATGCCTAATATCGGCCGTATGTCGTTATATACTAATTTTAAATTCACTTTAAGATATCTAGTAAAATTTCAGTGTGGAATTTTGCTTATAAAAAAAAAACGTTGTGTTCCACTACACCAAGTTACCCGACACTGATGAAACCCAATATAGGTCGAAACAGCTGTCTGTCGGTATTTGAAGTTGGTGGAACGCAATCAAAACAAAAAACTTTGGCGAGGTGTAGGTTCAATTTATTCTTATATTAAAACTTTGTTAGGGTAAACTCACAGCTAGAGAGCGAATACAGTTATTCTGCGATGAGGACAGCTTCGTCGAATATGACATGTTCGTCGAACATACTTGCACAAACTTCGAAATGGAGAAACAAAAAGTAAGGAACTTATTGATATCTTTCTTGCAAATTAAACAAACCACCTCTCACTTTTCTTCCAGTTCCCTGGAGATTCGGTAATAACAGGCCACGGCCTGGTGAACGGCCGACCAGTCTACGTATTCAGCCAAGACTTCACAGTATTCGGAGGAAGTCTGTCAAGTATTCACGCCAAAAAAATCTGCAAAATTATGGATCAAGCGCTCATGGTGGGAGCGCCAGTTGTGGGTTTAAACGATTCTGGCGGTGCTAGGATCCAAGAAGGCGTCGATTCACAGGCTGCCTACGCAGATATTTTCCAACGAAATGTTTTGGCTTCAGGAGTAATTCCTCAGATATCCATGATTATGGGACCATGTGCTGGAGGGGCTGTATATTCGCCTGCTATGACCGATTTCACTTTTATGGTGGAAGACACTTCCTATTTGTTTATCACAGGTCCAGATGTTGTAAAAGTAAGTTTTTTATCATATAAGAAGATCAATCAAATATAAGAAATTGATTTTTTTATAATATTTACTCCATGGCGATAATTTTTTAGTCTGTTACAAACGAAAATGTTACTCAACAAGATTTAGGGGGAGCCAAAACACATACATCGGTTTCTGGAGTAGCTCACAAATCTTTCAATAATGATGTTGATGCTTTACTACACTTAAGAGATTTTATGGGATATCTGCCACAGTCCAATAAAAACTCTTCAGTTATTAGAACTTGTGATGACCCATGGTACGTTGAATTCTTTTGTAAACTTCTTATAGAGCCTCTATAATCGAGGTAATATTTTAGTGATTTAGATGTTCCTCTGTTGGACAATGTGATTCCCCCAGAAACCACCGCACCCTACGATATGTTGGACATAATTAACGCCATCGTGGATGAGCGAGATTTCTTCGAAATAATGCCGAAATACGCCAAAAATATCATCATAGGCTTTGCAAGGATGAATGGCAGAACTGTGGGAATAGTGGGAAATCAACCTAAGGTGGCTGCCGGCTGTCTAGATATAAACGCATCTGTAAAAGCAGCACGATTTGTGAGATTCTGTGACGCATTTAATATTCCACTGATAACGCTTGTGGATGTTCCTGGATTTTTGCCCGGGATAAATCAGGAACATTCAGGGATTATAAGGCATGGTGCTAAGTTATTGTATGCTTACGCTGAGGCTACGGTTCCTAAGTTAACAGTTATCACAAGGAAGGTATGTTTTAAATACAACATGCTGAACAATTTAATATAAAGGTTTTGTTAGGGATATGGAGGTGCGTATGCTGTAATGTCATCAAAACACCTACGAGGCGATGTTAACTACGCCTGGCCAACGGCAGAGGTCGCTGTAATGGGAGCTAAAGGTGCTGTTTCTATTTTGTTCAGAGGAAAAGGTGATGTTGAAAAATACGAGGCAGAATATATGGATAAGTTTGAAAACCCATTCTCGGCTGCCCAAAGAGGTAACCTCATAAATATTTGGGATTATTTTTAGGTATATATTTCATTTTTAGGTTTTGTTGATGATATTATTGCACCAAGAACTACGAGGTGGAGATTGTGTAGAGATTTAGACTTACTGCAAACCAAAGAGTTGAAAAACCCGCCCAAGAAGCATGGTAATATACCATTGTAAAATGCATTTTAATAAAATGTTATACTTACTTTTTTGTATTATTTACCTACTGTTAAATATATTTATATAGGTATAAATTGATAAAATAATGAAATTGCTTTTAAATTTTTTTTAGTCTTATTTAATGAACGAGGCATTACATTTAGACTAAGCAAAAAAAGACCCAATTTCTTAAAATCCAAAAGGTTTTCAAAGAACACTGAAATGCTGAAACAATAAATATATAATTATATTTTATCTACATTTTTTGAGATTAAAGTTTGATGAATAATTATCATAAATAAAATTACCTCAACATAATTTTTTTGATATTTTAAGAAGAGGTAACTCCTTTTATACCTGATGCATCTTAAAAATTGATTTAAACCTCATTTAATGGTATAAGAGAGAGTATAATCATTGTTTACATCTAACTAATTAAGGTCTCGGTTTGTAAAACGAGTTTATCGTTTCCATGCAGTCAAAAATAAGCGCTCGATTGTAACATACACGCAAGATAACTTACTTTAAGTATTAGGAAAAAAAATACGAATTAAAAAAGTACTAAAATGTCAGTGAATGTGTTAAACAGGACTTTACTGTTTAATTTAAGAAACTGTGGTAAAAATGGCTGGTTTCAAAAATTAGTGAGGCAGACCAGTACGGCCACTCATACGTTGAAAGTTGCAGAAAAAATTAAATTGAAGAGAAGTGAAGCCTTATTGGGGGGTGGAATTAAAAGGATCGATGCACAACACAAAAAGGTAAGATATATAAACAATTTTTTAAGTTTTGGTTTTGTATAATTTTCTATTTCTATTTCTATTTTAAGTTTATCAACAATATTAAGTTTGGCCTTCATAGATAAATATTGTAATTTAGATCAATGTGTTATTATGTTTTATTCGGTTTTTTAGTAGAATTTCATCTAAACAAAAATAGTTTATTTTATTAATTTTTCACATACAATATTTAAGTCATTTTATATATTTATAAGTACTTGGTTAAAATATTTAAAATAACAATTTTGAAATATTTGTTTATCTTAAATGACCTTTATACTTTTATTATTAAACGAGTAAGCATATTAAGCCACATATTTTTTTTTATTAAAACACTAAATTTGTTTACATAAATTATATATCAACTTGTAAAAAATAAACTATTTTCTAAGCTAGGTGTTATTGCATATATTGTATACAGTCCCTATAAATATAAATTTTACCTATTAGATACAATAAATACACATTTTAGTAATGATATCATAATATTATACGTGAAAATTGTAAACTTTTTAATTCAGTAAAAATTATAAAACAAATAAGTCGTGTAAATTCAAATAGCATTTAGCACTCAACGGTAAAAGACCAAAAACGGGTATTATATTATGTAGGTATTAAATATAATATTATGTTGCCATGAATTCGTAGATATATTTATTCGTTTTTTTAGAGGATTTAAATTTAAAAATGTTTGATTTTAAGGTTATGTTAGTACCAGGGATGTTGCGGATGCCGATTTTTTACATCCGCGGATGTGAATGCGGATGCGGATGTTTGAAGGCTCACATCCGCGGATGCGGATGCAGATGTCCAAATCTATGCGAATATTCGCAGCATCCCTGGTATACGATAAGTAATCCACAGCGAAAACAAACACGTAATGATTTATTTACAAGAAACAAATGATGCACCACAACAAATGCTCCCATTGGTCATGATCACGTGCGCACTGCGAACGGCACGCGCTATTCGCCGGCCCCGCCCAATTTCTTTCTTGTGGCCTTGTATAACATTCGCATCCGCATGAACATCCGCATTGATTATTGCGGGTGCAGATGCTGATGTCTTAATCAATGCGGAAGCTCCGCATTTGCGGATGCGGATGCGAATATTCGCAACATCCCTGGTTTGTACAACATATATTTTATGTTAGATTTCTTAAAAATGTCTAAACTTAAATATAAATTTATTAGGTAAAGTTATCATTAGTTAATTCTGCACCAACAAATATACTTACCGAATTGGATCCTTTGCCAAAACATGAAAATGCAACGATTTAGTTCTTGAATTACATTTACAATAACTATGAAAAACAATAATTTACCAAGATCACTTGGATAAAATACACACCAACTAAAAATTACTTATATACAATTAACAATTGAGGAGCGATTTTTCAAAAGGTCGTATTTCCATTTGCAACAATTTTTCAAAAAAATGACTATAACCTGTATAGGTTAGGGCAATATAGATTATTTAAAAAAAAATCTGATGAAAATTTAATAATACTTCAGACCTGCTGTCATATTTCGCCGTTAATATATGCCTTTTAACCACACCTTTGGGATTTTGTCAAAAAATTACATTCAAGTAAAAATGGAAATAAGGCCTTTTGAAAAATCACTCCATAATTATTATTGTTATTTGCATTAATTAACATGCACAACTCGTACAATGTTTAGGTTATGAGATTAAAAAAAAATGGTACTCTAAACTGCCAAATTCATGCTAAAACGCACGTAACCGTTTTCCCGAGAACTAACAGCTTTTTTAAACGTCGCAAGAACAGGACCAGGCATAGATGACCAGGACCACCCTGAACAGGACTACCGCAATAATAAAATCTTTCTCAACTGTCAAATGCAATTGGGTTTGCTCGGGTTCACGAAATAAACGGTTCAGAACTGTCCAGAACTGCAGAGTCATGCGCATAACTAAAATGATGTGTTTAAAATTAAAAAAACTGTTTATTTTATTAATGTATAATATATTATTATTCGAGTTTAACATAACACAAAACTACAACTACAATAGAACAACATTTTTTTGTTCTACAATTTAATAAAAAAAACAGTGACCTGTATGTTTACATTTTTTTGCTATGTAATTTCAATTTCATTTCAATTTTCATTATTGACATTTGCTAAATTTTTTTAATATTTTTGCTTATAATCTTGTAGATTTACTTATATTAATATAAACCTTTTTAGGGTAAACTCACAGCTAGAGAAAGAATACAGTTATTTTGCGATGAGGACAGCTTTGTCGAATATGACATGTTCGTCGAACATACTTGCACAGACTTTGGAATGGAGAAACAAAAAGTAAGGACTTATTAATATCTTTCAATTGTAAATTAAATAAACCACCTCTCACTTGTCTTCCAGTTCCCTGGAGATTCGGTCATAACAGGTCACGGCCTGGTGAACGGCCGGCCAGTCTACGTATTCAGCCAAGACTTCACAGTATTCGGAGGAAGTCTGTCAAGTATTCATGCCAAAAAAATCTGCAAAATTATGGATCAAGCGCTCATGGTGGGAGCGCCAGTTGTGGGTCTAAACGATTCTGGTGGTGCTAGGATCCAAGAAGGCGTTGATTCACTGGCTGGATACGCAGATATTTTCCAAAGAAATGTTTTGGCTTCCGGAGTAATTCCACAGATATCCATGATTATGGGACCATGCGCTGGGGGGGCTGTGTATTCGCCTGCTATGACCGATTTCACTTTTATGGTGGAAGACACTTCCTATTTGTTTATTACAGGTCCAGATGTTGTTAAAGTAAGTTTTTCATCATATAAGAAGATGAATCAAATATAAGAAATTGATTTTTCTAATAATATTAATTCCATGACGATCATTTTTTAGTCTGTAACCAATGAGGATGTTACTCAACAAGAATTAGGAGGAGCCAAAACTCATACATCAGTTTCTGGAGTAGCTCATAAATCCTTCAATAATGATGTTGATGCTCTACTTCACTTAAGAGATTTTATGGGATATTTGCCACAGTCAAATAAAAACCCTTCACCTATTAGAGCTTGTGATGACCCATGGTACGTTGAATTCTTTTGTAAACTTCTTATAGAGCCTCTATAACCGAGGTAATATTTTAGTGATTTAGATGTTCCGCTGTTGGACAATGTGATTCCCCCAGAAACCACCGCACCCTACGATATGTTGGACGTAATCAACGCCATCGTGGATGAACGAGATTTCTTCGAAATAATGCCGAAATACGCCAAAAATATCATCATAGGCTTTGCAAGGATGAATGGCAGAACTGTAGGAATAGTGGGAAATCAGCCTAAGGTGGCGGCCGGCTGTCTAGATATAAACGCATCTGTAAAAGCAGCACGGTTTGTGAGATTCTGTGACGCTTTTAATATACCACTGATAACGCTGGTGGATGTTCCTGGATTTTTGCCCGGGATAAATCAGGAACATTCCGGGATAATAAGGCATGGTGCTAAGTTATTGTATGCTTACGCTGAGGCTACGGTTCCTAAGTTAACAGTTATCACAAGGAAGGTATGTTTTAAATACAACATAGTGAACAATTTACTATAAAGGTTTTGTTAGGGATATGGAGGTGCGTATGATGTAATGTCATCAAAACACCTACGAGGCGATGTTAACTACGCCTGGCCAACGGCAGAGGTCGCTGTAATGGGAGCTAAAGGTGCTGTTTCTATTTTGTTCCGAGGAAAACCTGATGTTGAGAAGTACGAGGCAGAATACATGGATAAGTTTGGAAACCCATTCTCGGCCGCACAAAGAGGTAACCTTATAAATATTTGGGATTAATTTTAGGTATATATTTCATTTTTAGGTTTTGTTGATGATATTATTGAACCAAGAACCACAAGGTGGAGATTGTGTAGAGATTTAGACTTACTGCAAACCAAAGAGTTGAAAAACCCGCCCAAGAAGCATGGTAATATACCATTGTAAAATGCATTTTAATAAAATGTTATACTTACTTTTTTGTATTATTTACCTATTGTTAAATATAAATTAATAAAACTCCTTTTGAATTATTTCAGTCTTATTTAATGAACTTACAACAATATCTTACATTTCATTTAGACTAAGCAAAAAGATAATAAAAAACGAAACTTAATGGTGTTAGACACGTGTAAAATCTTAAATGTCAATTTTTGTTATACCTATGAAGTGCAAATGTAGTGTTAAATGAAACAATACAGAACAATTTGATTATGAAATACCTTGTAAATGTTTTCTCTTCAAATTTTCTCTATATAGGCCAAGGGATTTCACTAGAGCTAAATCTATGTTTTTTAATAATATTATCAGTATATATCACATTGGGGGATTTAAAATATTCGACCGCTTCGAATATATAAAAAGCCATTTAAGACAACTATTTGCTACTTAAAATTAGGATTTCTTTAAAAATACACAATTTAGTGTGTTTTAATTTAAATATCTCGTTAAGAAAATGGAATATGTTATTGGAAGGTATCCTGCAGTTTTTACTCAATAAACTTATAAAGACGGCAAACGTTTTTTCATTTAATTGAACTGTTTTAAACTATGTTAATAAACATCTATTTCACATTTAGGGGCGTCTTTAAGTGCCCGAAACTATTTGACAATTTTTTTTTGTACCATAAAACTGGTAAATTAAATAATCCGACACTTAGAGAACGCCCATACATTTATATTTAGGCATAATTATTATGTATGTATATATTATCAGTCACAACAATATTACAGATTTTTAATTAGTATTTTGATACTTTTATCGTATTATAGAAGAGCATCTAATTTATCTAACTGATTGTTCTAATAATATTAATGCACATCAATATTGTTATTACGCGCGTATAATAGGGTGATTAAAAAAATAATATTTTTTTTACCTTTGACACTGAAACATTCTATAAAGTGCCCACCAAATTAACCTCTTAATATCAATAGAAAGATCCTCCTCATCACAGTTTTCCATTTTTTCTTATTAATCAATCAAGTTAATCAATTAATCAAATTTTTATACATATTTTTGGAGAAAATTTAACGCTCTACAAAAAAGCTCTGATGTGTTTAATTGATTACTCCAACCGTTGAGAAGATATTCGTATCCGAATATCAATGCGTACTGATACGAATATCTTCTCAGCGGTTGGAGTAATCAATTAAACACATCAGAGCTTTTTTGTAGAGCGTTAAATTTTTTATAAAAATTTGTCATACTCATTGATATTATATTATTATTATTATTATTATCCTCCTCATCACAGTTTTCCATTTTTTCTTATTAATCAATCAAGTTAATCAATTAATCAAATTTAACGCTCTACAAAAAAGCTCTGATGTGTTTAATTGATTACTCCAACCGTTGAGAAGATATTTGTATCCGAATATCAATGCGTACTGATACGAATATCTTCTCAGCGGTTGGAGTAATCAATTAAACACATCAGACCTTTTTTGTAGAGCGTTAAATTTTCTATAAAAATTTGTCATACTCATTTGACAATAATTATTTTTCAATGAGTTACAAAATTATTAAAAAAAATATTTTTTTAAATAAATTCTTCAAACTTTGATCTGGAATATCTTTTAAATGGTTAGAGTAATCGCTTAAACAAATTAATTTTTTTGTAGAGTATTCAATTTAATACAAAAATATGTATAAGGATTTGATTAAACGATTGATTAATAATGAATATTGACTTTTTATAAGAGACTATTAAAAAATTGGAAATCTGTGATGAAGAGGTTCTTCCTATTAATATTAAGGTGAGCACTAGCAATTTTTCAGTGTCGAAAGTAAAAAAAATATTCGATTTTTTTGAATCACTCTAGTGTATAATGGTTCTAACAACCGTAGGTATATTGGTAACAAACAATGTAGCTAACATTTTTTATTCATTAAAACTTACTTAAAATTTAAACAGCAATATTGGTCATGGATTAATAAAATCGTTGGCCCAAATATACAGTTCGTTGAAATAAATTACATGTACGCCTCTGGAAAATCGGAAACCCCTGACTGATTACATTTGAGCTACAACTTATCGTGTTAAAATCGTTAAGGGTTAAAAATTATTGGACCATTAATTAATAACTACACATAGAAAAAGTGTACGACGTCTAACAGAACCCCTTTACAGTATGGGCGGTAAAAAGGTGCCGGAGTCGTTGAGGTTCGAGTCCAGCTTGTGGCCGTTGATCAGGGAGGTCTCCTGCACTCTGGTGTCGTGCAGTCTGCTCTCGATGATTTTCGCCTTGACGATTTTCTCCTGCGCGTGGCATTTTTGGTGGGTGCGCGAGTGGCTTCCGCCGGAAGTGCTGCTCGACGAGTGGCCGCTGTCCAGGCAGCCGCCCATGGAGGCTTCGGAATGACTGTGCCGCAAGTCGCCCGGACTTTTTTGCGAGGAGTGGGAGGTGGCCGAGAGGATCCACGGGTGGCGTAGTGCTTCGTCCGGGCTTAAACGCCGTTTTGGGTTCCATCTGAGAACAAACAACGGATGTTTAACCCAAATGTTACACAGTAAACAATATTTTAGTGTTCTCCTAGGTGAAAGTTGTAGAGTGAAAAAGTTAGTGTAAAACATCACACTATTTTCAATCCTAATAGTATATTACACTACAAGGGCAGAAAGTGTGAGATTCCTGGACTGCGCGCAGTTCAGGGCTCTCACACTTTCTGCCCGTGTAGTGTATACTATTTTTCTTACTACCTCGGCCGAAAATGCAACCCGGCCGAAAATACGGGAAAAAATTAAATGTGTATATCGAAACATATTGATGCCTGCCCAAATTTTGAGGTTATATTAGTGTCGTAATCAGAGTTGCATATGTTGAGCACACGACTAAAATATTTTTACTCCCGCTATTATAGAGTGTGCGCGTATAGCTTGACCAATGCAAGAAACGTAAACTTTCTGCCGTGAAATCGGGGACGAAACAACGTATTTTCAGTCGAGGTAGTATGAAAAATATATTTTTTCGTTTAAGTGTGATGGAATGATAGTAGTGTTCCACATTAATCTAACTTTACACTTAAATATACATTTAACACTAGCGAAGCTCTGGCAGTGCACATTAGTGCAATTACGCAATCAGGGGGTGTTCAGCTGACAAAAACGCAAACTTGTTTCGTTCATTGTTCTCTCAGAATTTGTGTTGGAAGAATGCACCATGGTTTATAATGTCAAAAATTGCATTTTGTTTTGGTTCATAAGGTCGAAAATCGCGTTTTGTGTATTGTACAGACAAATTTCAAGTACAGTTCTTACAATAGCTCAGTTTAATGTATATAATAAGTAAATCGTTTTTTTTTTAATTTTTAGATGTTTTTCCTAAGAGTAAAACGTCCATGATGCCAAGTTTGTGTTTGTCATTGTGTACTTCTGTAATTGGGCCTGGTGCCTGTTGAAGGCACGTTAAAAATATTAAAAAAAAATAAAAAAAAAGTTTAATAAAAACTATAAAAATTTAGCCAAAACCTTAGCAGTGCGATACCAGCAGATGGCATTTTATGATGACAACTAGGACCTTCAAGTTTTATTTTGAGATTTTCACTGCAAAAATTTGGTATGTAATTATATATAGAATAATTACCCGATTCGATAGAAATGGGTAAGAATTGGTTACTTGTATAAAACTACACTTAAGCTTGCTTTACAAAGATCCATATAATTTACACCAATCCAACAGTGTCAACACTCAGAGAAATTTTTGCTATCACAACCAAAAATATGTATAATGTAGCAATATAATATGGTTGATATAGGCACAACCATACATATAGTTAAATGTACTATAAAAATATTGTTAATTGTTATTGTTGTATTACAAATATTATTGTTTTTTTAACTATATTATATTGCTTATCCTACCAAAGCTGCATGCTTCCAGTAACAATCTTATAAGTATTAAATATATATATATTTGAATATAAATTGCTCTTCCAACAATGTGTATTGTTAGAATTACCTTAGGTAATTTACCTATGCATTTTAAATACCTACAGGGGATCAACAAAAACAATTTTAAAATATTTAAAAAGTTTATTTTTCAAATACCTAAATATATTTGTATACAAAATAAATAGGAACCTAGTTTTTTAAACTTAAAAAAATGGGTGAAAAACTTTGTCTTGAGAAATAAGACAGGTAGGTAAGTTTAAAAATAATATTAAAAACTTAAAGAATTCAATTATCCTAGAGTATACCTAATACTTGTGCATCTAATGAACATATGTAGGTACTTACCTTGAAACGTTTCTAGCAAATGATTGAGGTTAAACTTACTTAAACAATCGCTTACAAATGCATTTTTACATGTATAACTTCCCATTTTAACACTTACATTGTTTATAATAACTTTACAGTTCACGACGTTTACGCTTATACAAAAATATAACATGTAGAATAGGAATAATTCCGAATTAAACTGGTAAATAGCAAGAAACTTCAAGAGATACCTCACTTTGCGGCCATTTCGCATGCTAATTGTTGCTTCTTGCGTGGGTGTCGCGTCGGTCGAAGTACGCGTCTTCGTTTTCATACCCGCGATTTAATTCGATTAATCGAACGGATTGTTGCGGCAACATGAAATTAGGCTAGTTTTACAGAGTGCACGATTATAAACGGTAATGATATCGCTAAAGTAATTGATCGATATCGGTATGAGAGAGAAAAGGATAAATTTATCCCACTTATACTGTATTGTTCCTGTGGCTAGATGTTATACAGTTCAACCAAAAATACCCTATTGTTGCCATCACAATATATTATATTGAATATAATGTTTTCAGCAATTCTCTATATTTGTTTTGACTATATATTTTTTCAACAATATATATTTAGTTAGCGCAGCAATGACATATTTGTAATTCAAAAATACTAATGTCAACAATAACTTTATTGTTATTCTACCAACTTAATATATTTTTTATTAATCCGCATTACCATATATTTAGTTATTGCGACAATAATATACAGGGTGTCCGGGAAAAGGAGGTCAATCCGTTAACCATATATTCCTTGAGTTAAAACAATAAGACTTTCATAATACCATTTTTCAATTTAGAGCTTCATGTTCGATATACAGGGCGACAAAGTTTGAAATTAAAAACTGATTTTTTTTAATAATTCGAGTAATTGATAAGATACTAAGTTTAAATTCGGTACACTACTTCAACATAAATAGTTACATTTTTTGAGACCAACAAAACAAAAAACAATTGTCAAATAATCAAAATAGGGGGTTCCATTACTCACTGACTCCCCCTATTTTTTGGTACGTGCGCCAATGACTTCCAAACGGTATTTTTTCAGGTAATCATTTATTGTTAAAAAAAATTTGTCTCTTATAAAATTTTGATAAAATGATTTGTTTTAGAGATAATTTGTAAAGTATGGGTCAGTCCATATCAAAACAACCAAAGGTTCTTCCCCCACCATCTCCGATTTTGATCATTTTTGGTAAATTTGTTTACCTCACTAAAAAACTTAAAAATCCCATATATGAATTTTTTTCGATAGGTGGTTTTTGTTTTATTGATTTTTGAAAATCAAAAAATTCCGATAAATTTGGGTCTTGCAAAAATAGCGATATCTCGTAAACTATTAAAAGTAGAAAGGTGAGTGATGGCTTATTTTAAAGGCCTATTAGAGAACTTTTTTATGATATATCACATGACCTACATTTTTTCAAAAAAAAAATAAATTTTAAAATTTTGATATGGACTGACCCATACTTTACAAATTATCTCTAAAACAAATCATTTTATCAAAATTTTTTAAGAGACAAAACATTTTCAACAATAAATGATTACCTGAAAAAATTCCGTTTGGAAGTCATTGGCGCACGTACTAAAAAATAGGGGGAGTCAGTGAGTAATGGAACCCCCTATTTTGATTATTTGACAATTGTTTTTTGTTTTGTTGGTTTCAAAAAATGTAACTATTTATGTTGAAGTAGTGTACCGAATTTAAACTTAGTATCTTATCAATTACTCGAATTATTAAAAAAAATCAGTTTTTAATTTCAAACTTTGTCGCCCTGTATATCGAACATGAAGCTCTAAATTGAAAAATGGTATTATGAAAGTCTTATTGTTTTAACTCAAGGAATATATGGTTAACGGATTGACCTCCTTTTCCCGGACACCCTGTATGTAACTAAATATAATTGTTGTCGTTACCAAAGTTATTTCTTTGAGTGAATTGGTGTTTTGAACCTATTTATATTTTAAGTAATTGCCAAAGATTAGTTTTATATTTTGTAGCGTAAAACTTACAATGGACTGTTTTTACGTATTTATATAAAGTAATTGCCAAATATTGTAGTTTAATTTTTTGTAACGTAAAACTTACAATGGACTGTATTTTTATATAAATATAAATTTTATTTGTTTTATATAAACATTATTTAAACACCCCAGCAGCGCTATATATATATAAAACATGGCAGCGAAAGCTTAATAATTGCCTCGCACACAATCTACTGCCTCAGCTGACGCCTCGGCAGTGACATATATGCTCAGCGATAATAAGTATTATACCATTTTTATCGACATTAAATGAATTTTATGTATGTTACTTTAAGGGCGCACTGCAGACACCAACCTTACATAATATTGGTGTACTATTTTTAAATCCACTAGTGTTAGGATAAACACTAGATAGATTAAATTTCCAGCACTATTAGGAATAGGATTCACACTAAAAGTGAAATAAAGCAAATAAATTAGTGTCAAAGTGAACACTTTTAGTGTAGTAATTTTCAATCAAATAGTGTACAAGTCGCACCAACTGTGGTAAATGTGTTACACTACAAGAGTACAACCTCTAGAGTTAAAACAACACTAAATTTAAGGTGAAAATTTGAACTCTAATAAAGTGGACCTGCTCAAGCTATCACCAGTGTTATCTAGTGAAGCCTAGTGTGAAGCTTTTTTTTTTACTGTATAGTATGCTTAGGTCATCAGTCTAGTTGTTGAAATTTTTTCCTGATACCTTTTTTTTAATTTTGTAATTTAAAAATTAAAAAATAAAATAAAATATGAGTGAAAACGATTGTTATGAACTAGGATAATCAACCATTTTTATAAATAATTTCAAATTTTTGGTTACAAGAAATAATCAGCCGTGAATTGTATTACGTAAACCGTCAAAATTTTATAGTTCATAAAAATTTGGACAATTTTTCCATTTTTTGAACACTTGCTCCATTTTGGCTGTTATTCGCGAATTCACGCCTTAATCCAAGATGGCGGAAAAGCTGAAAAGGGCGATAGTCAAAAACTCGGATTTAAGCTTTCTCTATGACACCCTCTATAGGCCTAGCGATCGCAAAAAATATTAATTTTATATTATTTAAACTGTTTTTAAAGTAGGTATTGTAATTGCGCTATAAATGTAAAAAATATACTTTAAAGTGTTATAAAACTTTATAAAACTGTCCCAACTGCTTAAAACTAGCAAAACAGTCTAAAAATGTAGCTCTTCAAATAAAATATAAACCCATACACAAAATATGTTTTATGAGTCATTTTAAACATTTAAAACATTTAAAACATATTATACATATTTAATAAATGTTTTATTATAAACAAAATATATTTTTGCTGAAAAATATGCATATTAAAAGTCACAACAAATTTAAAAAATAAAAATTTAAAAAATAAATTAAAAAATTATATTTAATACCTACAAAAAGTTTTTCTTTAATTTTAATTAATTGTTTCAAAAAATAAACAATTGTTGATTAATCCAACTAATTTTTTGAATAATTATCTGTACTTAATTAATTGTTGTAATTTTATTAAATTAAATGCAATTGTTATCTACATTTATTTTTGAAAAAATGGCGAATGCGCCGGGTCAACTTAAGTTATAAAATATTTATAGTTTAAAAAGAACATTTTAGTTAAGAGTTTTATTAAGCACGAGCGAAGCTTGCGAGCGAGTGTTTGATAAAAACGAGTGTCTAGAGATGTTTATAAAACGAGTTGCATACTATACTTTATCTACAAAAAAGACAAATAAGAATTTAAAGCCAATTTTAATTCACAAATATTTAACATTGACGAATTTAACCTTACTTTTTCGCAATTTATAATAAAGCCAATTTCAGCCCGTGACTAAAACGCCATAAAGTCACAGCTCGTCAATGTAGGAGTAGATAATAGTTTTCGTAATTGATTGGTAGTGACTAAAATGCCCCTGACTAAAACGCCACATAGTTGCAGCTTGTCAATGTAGGAGTAGATAAAGAATTATAATACACTTACTCAAGGCATCGAGATATGAAATCAATGAAAAGTTGATCATTGCACCGCAAAGCAATTGATAAGTTTTTGGAGTTTGGTTTCCGTTTCCTGCCCTTGGAGTTTGTGATGCAACGCGGGTTTCCCCTGGAATCTGAAAAAACCAAAATTATCATAATAATAATAATAATAATAATAATAAAATAATAAAATACTTTATTTTCATCCCAAGAAACATACAGTTTATAGAGGGACACCTCTAATCATACAATTTAATATATATTTTTTAATTCTTAATACATTTTTTAAATCTAAATTAATTTTATTTTATTAATACATTTTTAATTCTAAATACATAACAAAAAAACCACGATTAACGTAATAAACTAATAACTAAAAAAAATACTTACCAAAAAATAGCCTCCTTCTTGTAGCCCCCTGAATAACCTCATCGGGTGGGGGTCCGAGAACCTCCATGAGACAAGCCAGCTGTTCAACCTCGTTCTCTCCAGGAAATAGAGGGTAGCCAGTGAACAATTCAGCCAAAATGCATCCTGCAAGACAAACAAAAATTTAGCAAGTTTGAAAAAATATTTTCATGTTTTCCCTACCCAGACTCCACATGTCTATAGCAGTACCATAAGTTAGACCAAGAATGACTTCAGGAGATCTGTAAAATCTTGATTGTATGTAAGTGTAAATTCTCTGATTTGAGTAGCAGGAACTGCCGAAGTCTATCACTTTTATGGAGCTGCTACCTCTCTGTTTTAGAAGGACATTTTCCTGAAGAAAAAGAAAATGTTGTTTTATTGCGTAATTATAAATTTAAAATGTGAAAATAATTTTTGATGGAAAATTTTAATTTGGTTATTAAATCTCTATATTATATACAGGGTGTTTTATTTTGGGTTTATAGGTAACTAAAAGACATCAATCTGATAAAAATTACGCAATAATTTTTTTATTAAATAAACAGAAAATTGGCTATAAATATTTTAGAAAAATATTATACCTTTTTAAAGAGTTTTTGTTAATTTTGAATTTTTTATAATAGAATCAAAATCGTAATTTTTATCTCTATTAAATCGTTCTTAATACCGTGCTTTTTCCACGTGACAAAAATGTCGCAATAATAAGGCAATCACCAATTAACCACAATTTTCGATGTGACTTTTGGTGAGATCAAAAGTGCCGTGGGGTCAAATACCTCGTGAATTATGTTCTGTGGAATTAATGACTGTTCACATGTCACCAGACAGAATTCCCGATTAGTGTGGGCGAGACGAATTGTAGGAAATTAGTCTACGAATCTTATTTTATTTAGGTATTAACATTTCCTCACCGATAGCGTCTTTGTTTCGAGGAAACTCTTTTTTAAATCGTTAAATCTTCCGTTGTCAATCCTACACTTAAATGAAGTGACGACATCATTAATTATAATTATGTTTATCTTATTATTTAAGCTCTTTTTTAGGTATTGTAATAATGGCCTCAGTAATGTAGGTATTTATAATTTATGTAAGATACATCATCTAACGCGATTAATAGTATTTTGTAAGCACAATAGTATAATGTATCAAGTTTTATTAACGAGTGTCTAGAGGAGTTGTATACTATACTTTATCTACGATGAACACAAAAAAGAATTTAAAGCCATTTTAATTTTTTAACATTTGACATCTGTCAAATATCAACGGATTTAACCTCACTTTTTCACAATTTACAATAGGGTTACTTTAGCCCGTGACTAAAATGCACAAAATCCACTATTACTATTTAACCTCACTTTTTCACAATTTACAATAGGGTTACTTTAGCCCGTGACTAAAATGCACAAAATCCACTATTACTAACTTCAGGTCATGACTAAAACGCCATAAAGTAACGGCTTGTCAATGTAGAAGTAGATAATAATATAATAGTATATTATATTATAACGTTTGTAAATTATATTATTATAAGACGTGATCGTCATGTGTCAAAAAACTGTCATAATATAGTTTAAAAGCTATGCACACTAGGATACATTTAAAAATGGACCTATTCGCACAGTGGTTCAATATTTTAAAATCTTAAAAATTTCTTAAATTTAAAAAAATATCTATTTTGGTTGCCCAGTGTACTCATTTTATACAAACAAAAATCTAATTGGCAAATTTTTTTTAAATGATGCAAAATTGGTAACTAAACATGTAAAACTTTTTTAAATTCTTGTTTATAAATATGAAAATCTTTAATTAATAATTTACCAATTTACAAAAGTTCGGTACCTACTATTTATAACATAAATTACATAGGTAATAGAAAATATACCAGTAGTAAAAATAATAGCTCCATCAACTACGTATTTACTCTATAGTGTACACTATGGAGTGAATACTTGTAATTCTTGACATTTTATACTACCCACTTACACTTACTATATTAATATGGCTCGATAAAATAAAATCATAAAATTAGAATATAAAATTTGTTTATGACACGAAAGCAAAACTTACTAAAGCCTTTGTAAAGTATGTGGCTTCATGCAAGGATAATATTTGTTGAGCTTTGCTGGCAATCTATTGTGGTATCACTTTAAATTAAATAAAAGGGTTTTTATTCAATTTATATTTAGGTAGGTATAATGCAAATAAATTGTTTGGTGAAGCTCATTTTAAATACAAATCCCTACCGTTTCTACAAAAATTATATAAAGTTTTTCTATTTTACAACCCTAAAATAAACATTTATACCTAAATAAAAAAATCAAATTACCAATTTACTAAAGGCAGACTGCAATACTTTTTAATAGAAATTTAAAAAAGCTTATAAACAAAGCTGAACTTTAACTGATATTAAATTCCGAGAATCAGTAGTTTTTCAACAAAACTAGACGTAGCGTGGGCGACTTAACCAGACACTTTAAAACGAATTAAAAGCAGCTTTGTGCATTTCTTTATTTCCCTTTTTCAACTGTGAGAACGACCTTGCTTACGATGCGTTGTGCAGCTCATATTTAGGTATCAAAGAAGGCTGTTGACCTGAGTTCGAATTTTTATTGTTTCGAATCCAAATGGTTGTGGTTGTTTTGATACAGTTATAACACTATCTATAGGTAGTGTTTTTGCTGTTTGTTTATAATATTACCGATTTAAAAGGTCATTGAGTAGAAATTTTATACTTTTAAGACTAAAAAAACTTTAAAGACATGGTCGTAAAATTTGAACAAGTTGTAAAAATAAATCTGTTACAAAAACCCGTTTATGATATAACCCAATTTTAACGTAAAAACTTTATTCCAGACGAGACTGGCAAAAAATGTGGAATATTTATTGTAGTGTACCCTACCTTCGTAGGTATGGCAAAAATAAAATGGAGTATTTACTTACCGGTTTGAGATCGCAATGAATTATGTTTTCCTTTTGAAGCAGACGTAGACATTTAAGTAAAGAATTCGCAAATCTTCTTATCAAGTTGAGACTAAATCCCTGGTAATTGTTCTTCTTTATCAACTCGTACAAATTTAAGCTGAAAAAATATACAAAAATGAACTTTCTGTAATTAATTGTTCTCTTTATATCAAGCATATATACAGTAATGGTAATAGTATGGAACAAATTTATTGAAAAATGTCCCTTTTTTCCCCAAAAAATTCCTTAATTTTGCTTTAATTTCGCACATTTTGGTGTTAAATTTTTATATTTGCGGCCACTTTTGTAGAAGCTATGACGTCATCGGGCGTTTTTTAAATTTTGACGGTTGACTGTACCATTCAAACAAAAGGTAGCTTCGTTCGAAACAAGTATTTGAGGAGGGAAGTGTGGATTATTGTTACATAATTTCATCATAATTTCACAAAATTGTAGTTTAGGGATCATCTTCGTTAAGTTTCTGTACTATTCTAATTTTGTATGGATGGTACTTTTCTTTCTTCATAAGAATGAGCGTTGGCTGACATTAAATAAATTGCAAACTTCTTGTTGTGTTTTAATTTTATTGCCACATCCTATGAGAATTAAAACTTCAATTATCTGTTTCCGTTATATGGCCCATATTTAAATACTTCGAAATATTTGGAGAACGCGTGACAACTTCACTAAACGCTCAACTAAAAGTTTCTACATTTAGTAGTGAATATTTGTTTTATATTACGAGGTGTGTTCAGAAAATAACGGGAATTGTTAAATTTCGCGGGTTCAGAGGGTCCGGTTGTCATAAAATTTTCTTTATTATGTTGGTATACATGCCCCCGAAGTATGATAAAAACTTTAGATGTTTCCACTGTTTACTTTGTCTGTGGCAGCCGCTAAGGTTAGACGTGTTTTATGAGCTCGGCGATTTTACGTCCGTTAAAAGAAATGGATCAAAGAATTTGTATCCAATTTTGCTTAAAAAATGAAATAAATTCTGTGAAATGTTAACAAAGGCCTATAGTGAGTCTGCTATAAGTAAAACAAGAGTTTACAAGTGGTATAAGAGTTTCCAAGATGGCCGTAAAGACGTTGAAGATGACGAACGCCCCGAACGCACAAGCACATTAACAACCGATAAAAACATGGAAAAAGGGGAAGAAATGATTATAAACCATCAGAGAAGTCGCTGATGATGTTGGTATATCGATTGGCTTATCCCATGAAATTTTTTCGAATGTTTTGGGTATGAAACGCGTGGCAGCAAAATTTGTTCTAAAATTGTTATATTTTGAACAAAATTTTTGGCCAAAAACAATACTGTAATGATGCCCCAGCCTCCATATTCGCCAGACATGCCTCTGTCTGACTTTTTCCTATTCGCAAAAATAAAGAGAACCTTAAAGGGCCGTCGTTTTGCAAGCATAGATGACATTAAAAGCGCATTGCTGAAAGAACTAAAGGCTAACCCAAAGATCGAGTTTTAGAAGTGTTTCGAGTATTGGAAGAAGAGCTGGCACATGTGCATAATATCCAATGGGGACTATTTTGAAGGCGACAACATTAATGTCTGACGAATAAATAAATATTTGTTTCAAAAAACGAAAATTCCCGATATTTTCTGAACAAACCTCGTATATGCTAACAAAGAAATATAAAATAAAAACTTTGACCTTGAAAAAGTTTATGAAAATTTATTCTATAAACACTTTTTAATTTTATCAAACCCCATTAAAAAGTCTTTTAATAAAAACTATAAATTTTCCACTTTAAATAATTAATATCTCCAGAACTATCAGCCCCAAAGGTATAAATGTGCATATTGCTAAAATCACAATTTTATAATCTATTCAAATCTCCAAAACAAAGAACTATTTTTACAACCTTCTTGACATGGGTAAGGAAAGGGTTTAAGGAGTAGAAAACAATACGAAAACTAAAAATAGATTGTCATAATTAGCAAATCTCGGCATGGGTAATTTTAATTTTAATATAAAACGAACTTTAAAGGTTGCCGGTTCATATTTAACTCGAAAATGGTGCAATTTAAAACAAACAATTTCGAGCACGATAAAAATTCGCTCAATAAGTTTCATATTAAATACACATTGTGTGCAATAGGCAAATAGGAGTTTTTCAGATGATTTTATTTGTGAATAAATGACGGAAAAACGTTTCGCTATTCGAATTTCGCAACAAAGATTATTTATAAGTTGTCTAGAAATAAATTTCAACCTACTTTACTACTACTACTATTGTTATTGTCCTGATATTAAATTCCTTACTATTGGGAAACTTTATCATAAAAAACTGAAACAAGTGACATTAATGGTTTATGAAATACTTCTGGGCGACCAATAACGGTAACCTCATAGGTAACAATAATTGTTACTACAATTATTGTAAGATACTTTTGATTTAAGTAGATTGTTTCCTTAATGGAAAAAGTGGAAAACTTAAGAATATTTTTACAATCTTTAACATAGTTGTTTATGAAAAGTAAACCATAGCAACGCATGAAAAAAAATTAAATAAAAACAGAATTTTGTTGGAAGATGAGTGTTTTTGAAGAAAATGAGGGCGAGAGATGCGACTAATCTGCTTCCACCTAAGTCAAAAGAAAAATATGATACAACTTTTGAACAATTCTGTCAATGGAGAAACAATCAAGGGGTACAAGGTGTCAGTGAAAATGTTATGCTAGCATTATAATGCTTTTAAAAAATAAATTTTCTAATTTTTTCTGGTATTTTAAGTCAAAAAATCTGAAGGCATCATCACTGGTCAACATATTCGATGCATTTTTGAAAAACAGAATAAAGGTTATAAACCTAAAAAGTCAAAAGTGTTGTTAATTGAACAAATTATGAAGTTCGAATGAATCGTATCTATTTATGAAAGTGGCATTATTTTTTGCAATGCGAGGGGAAGAATTACGAACACTAACAATTAACGATATAGCTTCCTGATTCCAATAGCTGCACAGGGCATTGTATGCGAAGGAGTTCAGTTTATGTTGGTTGATAATGGGGGCAGTATCCCTGATTTCAAAATGCTGGGGGTGGTCTTCAACATCTTCTGCTGAGGGTTATTAGGAGAAAGCATTCAAAATAAAATTCAAAAATCGAAGAAAATTTTTAGAGGCTCCAATCAACAAAAAGGATGACTCTTGGCAGCACTTATCCTCATCAAGTTCAACTATCATGGATGTTTCATTAGACGAATTTTCCAAAAGTACAAATGGAATTTCATTCCAAAATATATCTAATTGTACATTTAATATTTATGAACATAAAAATTGTGAATAATTTTTTTTGTTAAATGTCAGATTTGTGTGTATGGTTGTGTTACTAACGAGTCAAATGCTATTTAAATCAATTAATTTATAATACTCTCGAAATTGGCTATTTTAAAACTAATTTGCTTTTTGTTGGCAAGTTGGTTTTAAAACAATCCATTTTGGGACTAATAGTTTTATTATGGAGTACCCTTGATGTACTCATTAAAACCCATTAAGAAAACTATTTTATCTTGGGCCTATATGCTCAATAAAATTCCCCTTTAAATCCAAAAACATATCTGGTCCTAAGACTGTCTTGGTTCATTTGGTTTTATTTAGAATGCAAATTTGGTGCGAAACACCTTGTATACATTGTATATGCTTTAAAACATTTATTTTTGCCAAGAGCTGGTAATAAATTTATTGCTACTTAGATTGTGCAATATATTTTGCAAAACTTATAGTCTTATAATATAAATTGCACTTAATTAAACATATTTATAATTTTAATGGTTAGAATTACTACACACATGTACTGAGTAATAGATGTTTCATAAACAGAGCGTATCACTCACTGTAAGTTTTACTTTTCTTTGTTTTAACAATTATTATTGCAAAACAACGATTTTCCTCTGCCTAAACGAAAGTGAGAATGGTTTTATTGGATTAAATCTATTTGTTTGTTTAAGGCTTTAATAAGCAATAAAAATGTATTTTTATTGTTCTAAAAGGTTGCGTTTCTTTAATTAACGCTATTTATTTATTAGTTAATTGTTGCCAATTAGCTTTAATTGTTAGATCAATGCAAAATATTACATTTTTAATGATTTTACACACTTTCAAATATGGCACCATTTTTAATATAGATAACAAGTTTAATACACATTTTTTATGAAATATTTTTTTTCAGATTCCACAGTAAAAAATATTTTAGTGTCCTCCCAGGTGAAAGTTGTAGAGTGAAAAAGTATTTTCAATCTTAAAATATATTTTTTAGTCTAAGTGCGATGGAATGATAGTAGTGTTCCAAATCAATCTAACTTTACACTTAAATATTCACACTAGCCAAGCTCTGGCAGTGCACATTAGTGTAAATACGCAATCAGGGGGTGTTCAGTTGACAAAAACGCAAACTTGTTTCGTTTATTGTTCTTTCAGAATTTGTGTTGGAAGAATGCATCAAGCTGTTTAGTTGTGGTTTATAATTATTAACTAAAGGTAAGTCAATTTCAAAGTATCACTCATCATGTTTAATAATGTCAAAAATTGAATTTTGTTTTGGTTCATAAGGTCGAAAACCGCGTGAACATCGCTTTTTGTACAATAGTACAGGTAAATTTCAAGTACAGTTCTTACAATAGCTCAATTAACTGTATATAATAAGTAAATCGTTTTTTTTAATTTTTAGATGTTTTTTCCTGAGGTTAAAACATATCCATGATGACAAGTTTAATAAAAACTTTAAAAATTTAGCCAAAACCTTAGCAGTGCGATACCAGCAGATGGCATTTTATGATGACAACTTTAGCACTGAATTACAAAGAGGACCTTCAAAGTTTTATCACTGCAAAAATTTGGATATAATTACCTATATAGAAAAATTTCCCGATTCGATATAAATTTTAGTCACAAAATGGGTAAGAATTGGTTACCTGTATATAACTACGAGATTTTAGGCTCGTCATACAATCATACAGTCATACAATTTACACCAATCTATAGATTATATGTTATAACAGTGGCCAAAATATTATTTGGTGTTTTGAACGTATTTATATTTTAAGTAATTGCCAAAGATAAGTTTTATATTTTGTAGCGTACCCCGGGTACCCCATTTTGCCCCCCCCGCTGCCTTGTTTTGCCCCCTTTCACTCCCGTCTGCTAATTGTACCATAGAATTAAATAAACCAGAAAATTTGATGTTAATCAAACTTTGACCTCGAATAACTCTAGAAGAACTCAATTTATCGAAAAATAATAAGAGACCTTTTTTGTAGAGCGTTACATTTTATATAAGAAACGGCAATGGTCATTGCCATAAGTTAATTTGATACAGAGGTATAAAATTCCAAACATAAAATTATTTTTTCCCATGTTAATTAAATAGGAAACTAAAATAAAAACAGCGACCTCTTAGAGTTGAGCTGGAACGCCCATATTTGGTGAGAATTTTTTTTATATTAAATAGAAACATTTGAGAGGGTAAGAGCGAAAAACAAAATTAAATTTTAATTTTTGAAGCACCCTAATGTATATGTTAATAAAATATCCCTAATCATATTTTTTTAAATGGGAAACAAAAACAACACAAATCCAGATTTTTGCAAAAATAGGTGAATGCACTGGAAAATAATTTTTTTAAATTACATTATTTTGTACTTTTTAAGTGACATAAGAGACATTTTTTGGTACCTTGTATTCACGAAATATAACAAAAATTAATAAGGAAAAAATTTATTGATTGTTAAATAATAATTTATTGACGAAAACTAAAATTTGTCAACCCATCCCACAAAATTGTTTGAAATTAATGTCACATCATTTATCACATTAGAATGTGTTAATAATGTCCCGTTTTACACCTAATTGATTTGTCTTGCCTAGTTATATGTGATAAATTACATTTTTATGTTTTCTATGGAAATTTAGTTTTAAGTAGGTGTTTATTAAATAAACAAATAAATAAGATGTTTTTAAAAAGTTAACTGTAATTATACAAAATCAATATTTACCAAAAAGGATTGTTCATTAAAATATTTGAAATTTTTTTATTTTAATTGATTTAATTTCGTTGATAGTTTGTTTCTATGGTAACACTTTTCGCTTTGAAAGTTGCAGTGACATTTCTTTATGCAGTGCTATTTAAAATCCTAAAATAAATAAATATGTTCTGTGACACGAATTTAGTTCACTACAAAGAAAAACAATCCCGTGTAGTCTTAGCAACTTTAATAATTTACTCGAACACCAGACGGACAATCTTTTTAAAACTTCGTAAATGTCTTTCACAACCTAGAATTTTTTCATAGCGACTAATATCGTGCCCAACCTCCTTAAAAACTGTTCTTACCTTAGCAACTCAAAGCTGATGCAAAGATGATTTCTGAAGTAAAAGTACTCGAGCATGTGTATCACGTTGTGATTTCCGTCTTTGTCCTTTTTCCTCAGATGATCCAGGATGCGCACTTCCACGAGAGCTTGATGATGGAAGCGTTTTTTGTTCCTGATTATCTTGATGGCAACGTGTTTGTTTGTCATGTGATCCACAGCTCGGATCACCTGGCCAAAGCTGCCCTTTCCGATCACTTCTAGGATCTCGTACCTGTAGCAGATGTGGTCGTGGAGAACCTGAAAAAATATAAGGAAAAAGTTAGCAAAACCATAAAAAATTTGGGCTTACACAGGTACTGATAAATAAAAAAGGTATATCAATAGGGTCCAAACTTTGATACGTATGTCTTAAATTCAACCATATTTCTTATAATTTTTTAAAAGGACCTTATTTTTACAAACCCTTTTATAGACCCAGTAACAATACAAATACTTTTGATAAGACATGTTGCTTTATTAATCAATTTCTTAAACAAAAAAATTTACACATACCTACTTAAATGAACAAAAAAATAACACACCATTCCGACATCATCAAATTATGAAGAAATTTGGTACAATATAATTATTAGAACTACTACAACACTTACTAATATTTCGTAACTTTAACCCACTTCACTGTATACCCTAAATTCAGTTTTAAAACCAGTGATAGCATCTTTTTTCGGATACTTCGCACACTCGTTAAATAGGTATAAGGAATCCCAATAACAATAATAACAGATTTTCGGTGAAATATTATAAACTTTGGAACACGTTACAAATTAGAATAAAGTAAGCAGAAATATAAGTTGCAGACGCTGAAGTCACTTGAACTTGTTGATGCGTATTGTCAGTGGGAAATGTTTTGATTGATTGCCTGAAATTACGTGTACTTTTTTAACGATATAATTTGTTAAACATTAACAAAATAATCTGTAACCTTTGAAATTAACAAAATGCTTACAAAATTGCGAATTACCTTTACAAAACTTTCCGTAAAATATTTTTCTTGGTTAAAATAATTACAAACCCAAAATTACAACAAAAATTTACAAAACCAAATTTACAAATTCATGTTAACAAATCTATTTTTTATAACAGTACAAATAAAAATAAATACTATTAATATTAAATCCATTATAGTAAATATTACAAGAAATTCGTGACAACGTTACTTAAATTAATATACAAATTAATTTTTGCGGCAGACGACGAGCTCGCTTTTTGTTTGAAGATCGTTAAGAAAACTAACTACAAGAAGAATAAACCACACGAAATAAAATTTCGACGAATAACCCTTGCGGAAAATGCAAATCGGTATCTCGTGCTTGTTATGAAAGATTACAATAAAAATTTGCCAAAAGTTATTTAAACTTGTCTTTATTAATATTTAATTTGTACATAAACAATTTTTAATATTAATAAACGGAATACTCTTCTTAAGGTCTTCAATATTATTTGATTTGGTGACATGGTCATCTTGGTTTGAGGAAAAGTTGAGAACCTTTTGCCATTAAGAGTTTGGTTTAAAAGGCAAGACCTATTACTCTATTACCAATTATGCCACAGATTTACCTGTTCTGGATACTGGGTTTGATTTTCTTTAATCCAATGAAAATTTCTGTTGCTCCAATATTTACAATTTGACGATTAACTTCACCATATGAAGTAAAGGCACTTCTATCACAAAATAGTATCCAATTCAAGAACATATGGAACATTTCTTACATATCCATTTTCGCGATATTTTGCTTTCATTTTACTAACAGTCCCCTGGCTAATAAAAGGCAATTCTGGATGCGTTTCGTTAAATAATCGAGGAACTTCTGTCTGATTTCGACAACCATCACCAAATCCAATCATCATTAGAATCTTAACTAAAGTCTCAGTTAAATATGGCATTTTTACAATACAATTAGCATAGTTAATCGTCTTCCATTCATAAGATTTGCAAGGCAGACTTAGATATGCTAGGAAAATAACTTGATTATGATTTATTAAAATATTCTAATGGAGATACTATTGAGCAAGGTAAGGAAAAACAATGTAATGGATTTAATTTTAATAAAAATTATGTTATATGTATACAATTTTCTGTTATTATTTTAATTATCAATTATTATACAGATGTTATTTAAATCCACAGTTTTTACAAGAAAATATTAAAAATAATGTTTATGCGTTACGAATAAAACATTTTTGGATTGAATAGTCTTATTTCGAATGCTATACTATACTACTATTTTAAATGCGCTTTGAAAAAAATAAGAAATAAAGTAAATAAATATTACCTTATTTTTGGAATAATAAAATAACTTTTTAACTTATTACTAACTAGTTAAATATTTGGTTTATTTATAGTCAATTTACACTCTTGAAATAACACTAATTTATATATGGGTGATTTTACAAAAGTTGGGCAAGTTTTGACCTCATTTTGTTTATATAGTTTTCGGAGAAAATTAAACAGTATTTTATGAGAACATAGATAATATAATAAATATACTGTTCCAGACCGGACAAGTCACTTTTTCAAACAGTTTTTGAAATATCTGTGTTTTCTAAATTTGAATGCAAGGGAAGTGACGAGTATACCAGGGTACTAATTAAATACATAATTTATTAAAAAATATAAGATTAATTGCAACTTTGAGCATATAATACATTAAATATCTTAAAATCAAATTATACCACACATCAGTGGCGGCTGGTGGATTTTGGGTATACCGATATCTCAATTATTAGATATGGGACCCACACCAAATTTATATGAGTTTATAATGACATTAAATAAACAAGTTTTGCGCAAGCAGAATTTAAATTAAGATAACCGAAACATCGAACATGGAACTGACGACATGGAACTGACGAAACGGATACAAATTTGAGATTATAATTCGGAATGAAGTATTTTACTGATATTTTTTATTAGTGGATGCTACTTATCCACAAATCACATGTAGCCTTATATAAATTACAATGAAATATATACACGTAAGAAAATAACTACTCCCCTCAGTACTGAAATTTTGACTGGAACTATACGTGCATTCACCACAACTTCACCGCTTGCATTGTTTTCAACATGACTGTCGTGCAAAGGGCGGGCTCTGTTAGTAATTTTTTACCAACACTTGAGTTAAGACGAGGACTTGACGTTTAAACTTCAATATTTCGCAGGAATTTTGAATTTTAACATTGGACACAAAACTGAATTTTTTAAAAATTGCTATTATTCGAATCTATGATAAAATATGAAAAATCCATTATTTAATGTTTTATATTTTGTAGTGAAAATGAAAAATTTAAGATAAATTGAATATATTTTAAAATAAAATCACTCACAATATTTGATTCAGGAGTTGTGACACGCCAAGGTACTGATGTTTTGAATATTTATTATGTTTTTCTACAAACGTGCTTTTGAAAAAATACATTAAAATTGGATGAACAAGTTAAAAAAACCTGGATCTTTTGTAATATACTAAAATATTTACAAAAAATATTAAAATACTTAGTCTATTGACTGATGAAATCAACTTGTCCAACTTTTGTAGAATCACCCATATAAGTAAATTTAGGTTATTTTAAGAGGTTGATGAATGACTATAAATAAACCAAGTATTTAACTAGTTAGTTATATTACCAATAGGTTTCTTTTATTAGTTTAATTATACTAAAAAATAACCTTTAAATTTACCTTATGGTTATACCAACCGGTTGGTAAATTTAAATGGTTATTTGCATAATATACGTAAAATTGAAAAATAAAAAAAGTAAACAAAAATGCACAAAAATTAGTTTTGAAACTCCCCTGACATAAAAGTTAATTTCACCCATGGGAAGTAAAGCAGCCAGTTGAGACACACGGCTTTCAATGCGGCAATAAATTAAAAAGATTTCTTTCTGGTTTCCCGAAATGTTTGAAACGTCGCAATCGCATGCACCGAAAATTAAAATTAAAACCGGAATAGCTAGACGTAAAATAAAGTAGGTACAACTTTACGGGGTATTTATCCTTAATTTATATTTAATATTTATTTTGTAATTGTAATCTGTTTTATTCATTTATTAATTTTATTTTGTAAAATTTGTAGAAGCCAGGGTTTGTAATTATTTTAACAAAGGGAAATATTTTACCGTATTGTAAAGGTATCATGCAATTTTGTAAGCATTTTGTTAATTTCAAAGGTTACAGATTATTTTGTGAATGTTTAACAAATTATTTCGTTAAAAAAGTATTTGACTTAAAGCAGTCAATCAAAACATTTCCCACTGAGAATACGCATCAACAAGTTCAACTGACTTCAGCGTTTGCAACTTATGTTTCTGCATACTTTATTCTAATTCGTAACAACTGTCCAGAGTGTTTATAATATATACCAGAACTCTATTATTGTTATTCGGATTCTTTATACCTATTTAACGAGTGTGCAAAGTATCGAAAAAAAGATGCCATCACTGGTTTTCAAACTGAAATTAGGGGATACAGTGAAGTACGAAATAGATCAGTAAGTGTTGTATTAGTACTGATATATTATAATACCAAATTTCTTCATAATTTGATGATTTCAGAATGGTGTGTTATTTAATTGTGTGTATGTTATTTTTGTGTTCATTTATGTACATAGGTATACTGTTTAAATTTAATGACCATTTTAACACCAAATTAACACTATACATGGTCTATATCGATTCAAACCAAAATAGTGTTAAATATGGTTCGTTGGTCCAGTGTAAATACAAATACTAAAATAGTGTAAATTTAATTTTCACAAAGTATTAAAATAAATTTTACCTGGTGTTCAGTGTTAAATATTATGTGTTTTTGGTAAAATTAAATCATACTACACAGAAAAAATACCACTGGTAATTTACCAGTGGTATTATTCCACAAAATTGAACCTTCAACTCGCTAGAGATAATGTTTTTAGTGCGCGTTCCACCAACATAAAATACTTAAAATAAAGTATTGACAGCTATTTCCACCTAGTTAAGGTCTCTTTAGTATCGAACAACTTGTAGTGTCACACCAAAGCAAAGGACTACCTGAGCTTATATACTCTTCATGTAATTCAACAGAGGCGAGATTTAAGAACATCACGTGATCCACACCGCCTTTCCTGCGATCGGTACACACTATAGTGTGTACCGATGCATATATGCAAACAGGAATGCACGGCAAATTGTTTTAATCGTTTTAACAGAGTGATTTAGGTTGAAGTAACTCTTATTTTACAAACAACATATTTAGTAAACCATACAGCGGGTTGGTTTCAAGTTTTCTGGGTTAATTTAACAAATTAAAAAAAAATAACTATCTGATTAGTACCGTCAAACTAATCTTTGTTTATATTAACCTTCCCACAATTGATTTAAATAAATACTTATGGGTCAACTAAATTAATATAGTTAAATTAACTATTCCTTTTTTTCTGTGTAGGTGCACTTCTCAAATATTTTTTAGATAAACACCGTTTTTGTGTTTGCTGTATATAACATTTTCAACCATAATTCATGGTGTTTATATTTACACCACTTGGTGTTGGATTTAGACACCATTTTAAGATTACCCTTTTCACCACAGATATTTTAAACAGTGAATGTGTTAATTTATTGTTTAGGACATTGGTTAATAAAGCTACGTTTTTTATATAAAGTTTTGATTAATTAAATTAAAGACAAAATCTGAGCTGTCTTCTTACCTTATTGTAACTTCCACCGTCGTCATCATACCCCCCGTTGTGTGACCCCCCGTGCTCCCCATCGATCTTATGGGCATTGAGACCGAGGTACCAGATCTTCGAGTATTTTTCTATCTCAGTCTTTTCAAAATCGGTCAGTCGGTTTCCGTACAACCTGAGCGCCTCGATGGAGGTAAGGGGGAAGCCGTTGTCCTCCCTTGTGTTGTTGTTGGTCGAGTTGAGGTTGATCTGGGGGAAGGAGTCCACCATTGGAGAGACGGGCATCGTGGAGGAGCTCTTGCCGCAGTTGAAGTTCAATCTGGAAGACGGTTTTCCCTCCAAAATCGGTAACTGGAAGAAATCCGTAATTAGTTATGGTCAAATCAAATACACTGTTATTAAAATCAGATGAGTTGTGGTTTGTTAACTTTATTTTTTTAAATTTTACATGTGATTTCAGGCAGCCAATCAAAACATTTCCCACTGACAATACGCATCAACAAGTTTAATTGACTTTAGTGTCTGCAACTTATGTTTCAACAACTGTCTATAGTGTTTATAATGGGTCATTCCATGAAAAACAATACAAGGGTGCAAATAAAAATGTTCTTTTTGCATTAAATTTGATGAATTTTAAAAGAAAACATTCCAAATTATAATGTGCGAAAAAAAAACAAAACTAGAAGAACCCTTAATTTTTAAGTTAATTAGTCTTCAAAATCTGTACTCAAGTGAACTGGCTGAATGACTATTGTGCCTCTAACTATTGGAAATACGAAAAAAAAAACCTGTCAATCCGTCAACCTATTTGCCATGTTTTGATTTGAGATTATTTATCGTAGTATTGGTGGATTGCCTCACAGTCCCGAAAAAATTGATAATTATCACGTTAAGTGTATTTTCTTCTTACTTTGCCACTGTAACACCCAAAACTAAAAATCATTTTTTATGGGTATATTTTGTTTTTTTTAGGTATATTTTGATTGATTAGTGTAACGTTATGGTGATAATGATTTAAAATACTAACTAATATCTGAGCATGAGACTAATTTGACATGTGTTTTTCTTGATTAAAAACTGTAACACCCGAAACGTTTCAGGTGTTACAACTTTTTTCATATGTCGATATATGTGTGTATATTGTATCATTTTTAAGGCTCTTTCGACGGCCCACTAGCGCCGCCATCGGAAAAGCAGTCACACCTCTTTTTCCGATGGTGTTGACAAACCTATCGAAATTTCAGTATTTCTACCTAAATGTCAACGGACCTACCATAATACCAAATACTTAGATTTTTCCCAATAATTATGTTTCTACCGATTTTTTTTACCGATTTTTGGCAATAATAATGATTTTACCTTTTTTGCCGATTTATCAATGGCAACCGAAGCTACTAAAGTTATGTTTAAGGAAAATTCATTATATTTATGTTTATTTGCTACTTATTTTGTAGTGCTTAGAGACTAATAAAACACCGATTTTGTCCATATAAAGTGTTTAATTTTTGTAGTTGTAACACCCGAAACAATGTAAAATTTTATAAAAAATAGTAAAACATTTTGTGACAGTGATTATGTGGTAGATGGTTAGTAAATATTAAACTTTTGGAGGCCTGTAATTTTTAGGAATGTTTCCCTAAGAAAATTCGCTGAATTTCAAATAAATGTAACAATGGTCAGGACCTAGAGGCAGAATCGGGAAACACCCGAAAGGCACACTTTTCGACTTATTAAATCGTTATCCTATATGCTTTACTGTACTAATTTTACAATTTAGATAGAACAACTAAAAACGTAGAGAATAAGGCACTATAATTTCTAAAATATTATTTCAAAATACATAAAACTATATACTTTGGTTGAAAAAATGTAACACCCAAAACGATAGAATGACCCTTAACAGATTCCAGTTGGTTGTAAACTTAATATTTGGTTAAAATCAACAAATATTTTTTTACTGTGTATATGGGTTAAATTTGGCAAAATTCCTTACAATACACCAACTATTTCAGGCACCACGCACATAGCATATCAACGAAACCTAAAATTAACATTAAAAATGGATAATGGTACCACAAAAACTTCGACTAAACGTTCTTCTATTATCGGAACATGTTTAAAAAGTTTTATTCGCGTGAAATCGAGTTATTTTTAAACCCCATTCCGACAAATTTAAGGATATAAATAAATCGTCCGTATAAAAGTAGTGATTGCTAAAATAAGCTTTTAAAACATTTAACTACGTATATTTTTGGAGAATTAGGTTGTCAAGTTTTTACTTTCATTTACGAGCCATATAAAGTTTCTTTTTTGGTTATCTGAAATTAAAAATAATAAACATAAGCATAAATCCGATATTTAATGAACCAAAAATTTGGTTTATTAATTTTAAAATTACTTTCTTCCAATAAAATAATATTTACCGTTAAAAGAAATATAATTAAAGACAAAGGGGATGTATTTAATTAACGCATATCTTATAAGTCATGTTATATATAACATGAAAATAAGAAATAGATAATTTTTTCCCGTGTAGTCTTAGCAACTTAATTTTTTACTCGGAAAGCAGATGGTCAATCTTTCTTAAACTTTGTGGTAATTTTATGTTTTTACATAACTCATCAAAAGCCCTGTCTAGATCCTTATAAAGTTCCCAGAGTTAAGTCTAATTTTGTCCGCTTTAGACAATGTCTATGGTACTCGCTTTTTTTTGCGTCCATATTTGGAAAGTTTATTCACTGCCAAAAAATTTGTGTTTGCGATCGATTTGTAGTAGGTTACATAATCCAGTAGAGTTTGTTTAAAAATTTTTAAAAGGCAATGCCGAGTAGGTTCAACTTTTCGAAATGTCACATTCTCCGTCGAATGATTCATTTAATCTGCATTAACATAATTCAACAATATTAATTGCTCTGTGAATTTCCGTTAGCAGCCTAAACATTTTATTTATTATCGATAGTAACCGATATATAACAAAGTTAATTGAACTGTCTTTGAATTTAAGTTAACTTGGGGTCTATTGTATTTAAATTATTACACTAGACATCTAGACATGAGGGTGCGTGCGTGACTATGATTCTATAAAATTAATTAAATTATCTACTAAACGATTTAACTTTATGATTTTATACTGATAAATGTAAAATTTGTTCTTAACTTTACAGAAAATAGGTTTGAGTAATAATTAGAGAAAAATTAAACGTTACTTACAGTATTATCCTAGATAAAAACACTATATAAAACTATTCATGACGTTAAAATCTGTTAGGTTAGAACATGTGACAGTAGTTTTTGACACATTGTTGTAACACAGTGGGCAATATAAAATTGAAAAAAAGCTAAAATACTAAATTAAATAATTACCTACAACAAAATATTGAAAATTATTAAAAATTTACAAAATCATAAAAATTTACAAAAAAACCAATATAAATTAGGAAATACTTAAATCAAATAAAAAAACACTTGATTTAAATTTTACAAAAAAATTGACAAATTGGTTAGAATTAAGAACCCTGTAGATAAAACATAGGAATATTAAGGAAAAAAAAAAGAATTTAAATGCTAAATATCCAAAGTAATTATTAATTAAACAATTTAAAAAATAAGGATTATTTTGAACGTCTGTATAACACTGTATATTTACTCCTATTATAATATTTTTTTCCGCATATAATGATAACCATTATAACAACCGCCTGACAACGGGAGTAATGAACTCATTATTCATGTTTTTAGGCATCAGTGATTGGCAATATTCACTGTGATTTGAACCAATCGGTTTTTAAAATGGGAGAAGGCGACTATAATATTATTTAAAATTGGTTGAAAGTCACGTTTACAAACTGACAGATGTCAGATTTTATTTATTTATTTTTGACTACTAATTCAATTAGTCTAATTGGAGGAGGATTTGCGTCTCTCGTCTGACGACTCGAGATGCAAACCTTGTCCTCGTAAATAATGGATTAAATTATTTCTCTTATTATTAGGAAAAATTCCATTTTCTTGATATTATAAAAATTGCTAATCTTATTGAGTCAACTTAATTCCACACTACATGGCTGCCCGGCACTAATAAGGTACGAAAGACCGAAACAAACTTTCTGTCGGTGCTTGTTACTATGGTAAGATACTAAATACTACTTTATTTTTTACATAATCTAATAAATTTAATTTCTAAATGTTGGTACTTACTTCTGAATTTATAAGAACAGTCCTGGTAAAGCTGTTGGTGCTCCGCGATGAAGAATTTAAATGTTTGTTACTCGCACTGGATTGTACTTGCGAAGCATAATCCTTTCCGTAATGCAGGGACGACGACTGAAATAAAAAGAAAAAAATAAAACCCTAAAAAATCTCGACTTTACATTTTCTTCTTAGTAATTAGGGACTAAATGCCTTACCAAGAAATCTTATAATCACGATATTTAAGACATTTTTTCTTAATTTTTACTTCGTTTTTGTGCGTAAGACGAAAACAATTATTAAAGTTCTTGATTATTATAATTATAATTTTGCTTTGCCTTATTCGCATCATTAGTCAATACTTAAATAATTATTATAAATACCTAGGTATAAACTGTATGTCAAAAAAATTATGTCAAAAAGACTTCAATGTGTGTTAATAGTATATTATGTATCAAGTTTTATAAACGCCATTTTAGTTACGAGTTTAATTAAGCATGAGCGAAGCTTGCGAGCGAGTGTTTAATAAAAACGAGTGTCTAGAGAAGTTTATAAACGAGTTGCATACTATACTTTATCTACGACGAACAAAAAACAGAATTTAAAGCCAATTTTATTTGTTAAAATTTTGACATCTGTCAACTGTCACCCGAATTTAACCTCACTTTTTCCCAATTTATAATAAAGCTAACTTCAGCCCGTGACGTAAAATGTCGAAAAGCCACTGTTGTTAACTTCAGCCCGTCAATAAAACGCCATAAAGTCACAGCTCGACAATGTAGGAGTTGATAAAAGATTAAATAACAAATCCAATTTTGTAAAAAAAAAAATAACTTTGATAAAGTCAAAAAATTTCTGTGAATAAAATAATGTTAAATAATGTCAAACGAAGATTGACTGTATCCGTTTGAAAAACATGTTGTGCAACAAAAATATGTTCCAAAAATATGCTCCAATGGCATGCATGCCATTGGAGCATATTTTTGTCAAATATTTATGTCAAATAAATTATGTTTTTAATATAATAAGTTAACTACAATTATTTGCTACAATTTACCACAAATTGTTCCTGTCACCTTTTTAGCACCAATTTGTTGAACAAATTCATACAATATAAAAATATATTTTTGCCTGTTAAATTTTGAGATAAGATATTGTTTTTATTACTGCGTATTTTAGATTTCTACTATTAAAAATAATATTGAAGGATATCATTAAGATAAATTAATTCCAAATTGATTTTTGCAGAAGTAAAATTTCTATCCATCCAAAATAATTAATTATAGTGGGTTGGGTGTGTATTTTTAATCTAACTTTTCTATGTTGGTATTCTTAAGTTTCTACATTTGATGTTTGATTAATTGAATTGCAATTTAAGCATATACAGGGTGTCACCAAATAAGTTGTCATCCCTTAAGGGGGGCCAAAATAAGAAAGTTTTTCCTCTATATTTTTTCATTAGTGCCATTTTTTTAATAAAAAAAACTGGTTGTTCCTGATCTATGACAACCGGCGCAAAATATGCTGCACAGTGGGCAAAAACCTACATTCATTAAAAATTTACATTTGTGTTATCATTTATTACTTTGTTGATAATTGTTTTTTGTTTTGCATACTCGGCTATTTTTAGGTAGGTACTTTGAATAAAACAATACTTACTTTTCATTGTTAGGTATCTCGAGGTTTTCGTCGATTTTAAATTTCACCTTTCACTTTTTACGTCGATTGATGCTCATGTAGGTATTTTTTTAAGTGTCCCACAAAATCATAATAAATGTTCAACTATCTCGCCGTTATTATCCACACAAAGTTGACAGCCGCGTAGAAAATTATGATATGTCGCTCTTGCCATCATATCCGGATGATTTCGGATTTCATGTGCCGCTGCAGTGACAAGTTCGCGGAGTTGTTCTAATGTGTCCTTCGCGGGAAACCACAATAACAACCGAACTGTCAGTAATCAATCACAACAAAGTATTTTGAATAACTTTAAAAGTTTGTTTGATATTACATTATACACTGTGCGCATACCTGTTTCTTTGGCAAAAATGAGGAAAAACGTTCTTGTTTGTTCCCATATTTAACTTCTTAATTATTTTGTTGAATTTTAAATACAAGTTTTAAAACATTTATAAACATTTATAAAAAAACGTTTTATTTCAAATAACTTACTTTTGGGTAGGCTTTGTTTATTGAAGAGCCATTGAGGGAAGACACTTTTATATTATGACTGGAGGACTTTTGATGTGAAGCTGGGCTCTGAAAATAAAGAAAAGTGGATCAAAAATAATTATAAAAAAAATCATTAAAACTTACAAAACAACTAATGATGCTTTTAATCATTATGATTTAGTATATGTAATATTGTAATTTGTAATCAAAAACTATTTTGGAATATTAAGTACTTAATAGATACCCGTATTTTTTTAAATAATTGATAACATTAAAAAAATACCATACAATGTAGGTTTGTTTACAAAATTTACCAAAAACTTAATTACAAAATACTTTGTAGGACAAAGTATAAGCTAGTGGGCGTACACGCGAATATACACAATAATATTTTCGAAATTTGATAATACAGCTTAACTTGTACAAATGATTTCTACCCACTGTTTACACTTCACAACTCGCATCTGGTGAGCGTTTAATGAAAATGTGAGTATCAATTTTCTCTGAAAATTACATTACCAAGCTTAAAAAGAATAATTGTTTCTGGTATTTATTTAAAAATTCGTGTTTATGGAAATTTTAGTTTGAGTCATTTATTATAATTATTGTACTTTGGTTTTTGTTATCAAGATTAAATATTTTCAGAATTTTTTTTTGTATATGGTTAGGTATTTTACCTAATATATGTATAGGTATATTAAACTAACCATATACCTATTAATCGCATATGTCATATCACTTGTTTTTAAATAAGCGAATTATTAGAAAATTTAGGAACACAAATATATACCGTCTTAAAGATAACTGTCATTTTTTGACATAATCTAAATATTGCTTATGTTAAACATAAAAAAAACTTCTACTCCCAATAAAATGTAAAATAATACTAAATGTGAAAATTATTTTATTTCCTCAATACAAAAATACAAAAGTATTAAATAATTCTTGACGCCAATATTTGAAAAGATTATATGAACGTTTGCACTGACCTTTTAATTTTGCCGTAGTAGGGCAGTTAACTAGATTTAACTGATAAAGCGTTAAAAATATTGCGTACAGTGCCCATAAACATTCTCTTCTCTTTTACTGTGAAAACTGCTTCTACATCGATTGTTAGTCTATTTTCAAGGGATAAATTTTGATTTACACAGAAAAATTTGACATTTTTACGCCGGTCCTATAAATACAACTGTCACTTTTTGTACATTTAACATATCCAGTGTAAGAATTTTTAATATTTTGTGATAATATTTTGCAATTATAGTAATAAAAAATCAAAGAGTTAAATATTTTCTTAACATAATCATATTTCGAAGTAATTATAATATTTTAGGGTATCAATAATTGTTAATTTTAATTAATATAATAACGAATTTTAATTTTTTTTTGTTTTAAATAATTGCATTTTTAAAAACTGCAATTTAATTTAATTCCACAGAGCTTAAATCAACTTATAAAAATACCATAAACAACTTCAATGTTTGCATTTTGCGGGTCAAATTTATAAACTGGATTATTTTGGTCATTTAAATAAGTAAATAAGCAACTTTTAATGGTAAATAAATGTAAATTTGCCAGAGGAAAACGTTTCTTTATTTCTTTAATTCCTGTTTTCGGCGTAGGCGATTATTGCATATACTTCATTGGGAAATAAATAGTCTTTTGCATTGAGCGTAGGTTTACCTCAAAATTTATTATTTTGTAACTCATTCAATAATTTTTACGGAACAAAGACCTTTTAGCAATCAGGTGGTATTATATAAATTATTTATTATGCCTTTAGAAATGGTTGATATTAGGTAATTGCTTACATTTGTTCAAAATATGTTACCTACTATTTGTCTTGTATTTAAATTTTAAAAGATTGTATTTTTAGTTTTTAACAAAATACTAAATAAAGAGTAATATTGTAGTACCTATATTTAATTCCCTGCAAATTTTTTTAATGATATAATTTAGAAATTTTTGAAATTTTATTTCTTTTTGAAAATTTGAAAGTTTTGGAAAAATGTCCCCCCATTTTTGATTTTGTACTGCTGTGCGAATTTCTCTTACAATTTTAAAATTCATCGCACTGTGCGAATTTATCCCACCATTTCGAAATTTATCCTACTGTGCGAATTTGTCCTATCATTTTTACCAAAGGATCAAACTTATTTTTCAAACAGTAAAAACAGGAAGCTATAAAAACCAGGACTCATATTTCACTAATGTACAAAATTTGTTTCCTTTTTTTATAACCATCAGTTGCAGTTAAGTGTGTCTACAAAACCATCAATTTAAACTTATTGGAAAAGTGACTAAATGGATAGACAAACATTTTACTAAAACAGAATTTTCCTTATAGGAAAAACTCAATTATCTCGTTAGAATCTTAATGTTCTAGACTTAAGCTTATAAAGAAAAAAAATAGGAGAAATCAAATGTACTTATAGCAAATGAAAGTGTTATTTAAAGAAAAACGAAGATAATTATTAATAGTTTTAGTTAATGATTATCTAGGTCAAAAATGAAAACATCTTTATATCTGAAAACACTTTCATTAAAGGACATTACTGCTGTAATTAGCAATAATATTGCAATTATTGACTACTTCAGTTTAATATATTAATTGCACGGTAGTTTGTAATCAAACTGGTTAAACAAGAGTATTAATTACACTGGTTTACAGTCAAAATGTACCTTGAGTGCGACTATTTTTTTCTGATGTATTTTGGCCTGCTAAACTCGAAAATGACAATAAATTTTTTTTTTATGGCAAGATTTTCCAAATAAAAAATTGTCTTTGATTTTTTGATGCCGGTTTTACTATTTGGGATATATCTCGAGTTTGAAATGGCCAATTTGATTACAACAGATGTCAAATTAAACCTAATTAACATAATAACAAATGTATTTGTATAAATGCCCAATTAGTCAATAGGTTTAGGTGCAATGGGGCCAAATATCGAGAAAAAGTCAATTTTTTGGACAAAATTAGAATTAAGTATTTACTATTTTACCAAAAAGAAGCAAAAATCATTAAAATATGCCCATTTTTTCCCCAAAAATCTTGGTGACCTGATTGATGAGCATGGTGAAAGGTTTCATCAAGAAATAAAATCCATGGAGCGGCGCTATCAGGGCTTTTGGAATGAAAGAATGATGGGGGATTATATTTGGTTCCTTGTAAGGGAATCAGATAACGAAAACAGAAGGCAATCTAAAAACCTAAATTATTTTTAATTTACAATAGTATTGTATATTAAATTATATTATAATGATATATAGAGTGTTCCATTTAAAATGAAACATCCTGAATTTTTCGGAAACTAAAAGAATTTTGAAAACTCACGAGACACATAAAGTTTTATATCGAGGGAGACAACAAATTTTGCCATTAATGCTAGTAATGCTATGCCCAGGAGCTTTCCCCTTAATAATTTGTACATATCTAAAAAATGAACTGACCAATTTAAAAAAAATAAAATGCCGTTTAATAGGGATTTTCAAGACCTTTAAAATAATGTAGTACTCTGTACCCCTTCTCTATTTAAATTCTTAAGGGGGTAACTCCGGGGCGCAGAAGGTAAAGGTGGAAAACCAAATTTTGCCTTAAAAAGTTTTCCCCCTCGATATAAAACTTTACCTGTCTCTGCGTTTTTTAAAATACTTCTAGTTTCCGAGAATTTAGGGGGGTTAGTTTTAAAAGGAACACACTGTATTTTAATATTAAAATATAAAATAAAATTTATTTAACAGTAAAAAGGTTCTATTAGGCAAATAGAACCTTTTTTTTGTAAAAAACTTAATTTCGGAAAAAAATTTACCTGTCCACTTTTTGCATTAACCCCTTTAATTATAATAATTATCAATAGATTTGTTTTAAAAATATCTTGTTTTCTTTATAACAGTTTGAACTCCACGTAGATAATTTAAAAATTGACATATTTTGTTGATTTGTATTCATCCTTGGCAAAGAAAATAATGTTACATTCTCATTTTTCTCCAAAAAAAACGACTTTTTCCAATATTTGAGCCCATTGAACTTAAGCTTATTAACTGATTGGGTACTAATAAGGTGATATTTGTTGGCGACTCAAATATGTTTAATTTTAAACTTTTTTCAACCAGATTGGCCATTTCTAACCCGAGATATGACCCAAATTGTAAAGCTGCTTTCTTAAAGAACCAAAATATTAAAGAAAAAATTTTATCTCAAAAACCTTGCCATAAAATTTTTTTTTTTTGTGATTTTTAAGTTTAACAGGTCACAATACATTAGAAAAAAATAGTGGCAGCGAAGGTACATTTTTTTAATTTTAATTTGTAAACCAGTGTTATTAGGTAGATATTATAAATTATTATAATGTGGTATCCAAACTAATCAAATGAAGTTTTAAAACCTAGAATTAATGTACAATAGTATATTGTGTATCAAGTTTAATAAACGCCATTTTAGTGCTTAAAAAAATCCAAGTTAAATAATACTTAAATTTTGAATGAAATAGCATTTACGATAAATCAAATGTCATTAAAGGCATACCATGAAAATTGATATTATTATAAAAACTATATTACACACAATAACTATAAAGCATGCGATTGTCTGGATTTATTACATTGTAAACCAGAACTGATGGAAGCGTAGTGTAACGCTGATATTTATTGGTTTGTTCAACTTTATTGAATCAAATTATCTACTTAATTACTATTTCGAATTGTGATTGAATTTTACTATGGAAATTAATATGACAAACCGCTATACCGTTTGTTGGTTGTTCACTGAAATGTATTTACTTTTAAATTAGTTAATCTGAATTTTAATAGCTTTTGTTCACTACATTAAAGTAATGTATAAGTGGAAACAGTATGCATATATTTTGCTAACCATTCTGGATTTAAAGAAAACAATTTAGAAAAAAACTATCATTATAATAAGTAAACTGAAAAAAACTAAAACACCTTTTTAAGGCATGGGAAATTTTTACCCCAAATGATTTTTTAATTACGTTTTCTGCCCTTTAAAACATTATTTAATGTGGGAGAAACATACAACACATGCATAAAAAAGAGCCCTTGTTTTTAAATCCGACAAATATTTTCCCATTTTTTCTTTGGATAGTACTTGACACAATTCTAATAAAATTTATAATAGTTTCCGTTCCGAATTAATATCTTTATGATAATAACTCAATTAGCTTTGAATGGACATATTGTAATTGGTTTTCTAAAAAGAATCAAATGAGTCTATAAATAAATAGTTAATAAAAGTAGATAAAATAAAATTCATCGTCATATAAAATTTTATTTTATTTTTAATGGTTGAAGATTCTACATAATGGTATGTGATTATATGAAATTGTTTTCAATTATTGTATGTCATTAACATTTAATTTCTATTGTTTCGATATATGAATGTATAACTATGTTTTAATAAATATATATGTTATGTTGTTTTATTAACCTATATTATTTATTATTTTAATTTAATAACAAAGTAAAAGCTTTTGATGCGTGACAAAATAATTGCTATAGCAAGTTATAACATGGTAAAAACGTTATTTAAATTCTATAACATCTGTTGATGTAGACCTTTGAGTTAAGGTAGCCCCATAAGGAATAATCGAGAGGGATGAGATCTGGAGATCTCGCTGGCCACTCTATCGGTCCTCGTCTGCCAAAAAAAGTACATTTGGTAGATCGGGACTCTCATTGGGAAACATTTCTTCTAACGTGGGAAGAAGGGAGTTTTGCAAAAATTCCAAATACACTTTTCCTGTCATATTCTCTTCGAAGAAAAAAAGACCTATGATTCGGTTTTCCACCATTTCGTCCGAAAAAAGTATTTTATGAGGAAAGCGTGGATTATTGTTAAATAAATTCTTTATGGTTTCACAAAATTGTAGTCTACGGTCCAAATCATCTTCGTTAAGTTCCTGCACTAGTCTAATTTTGTATGGATGGTACTTTTCTTTCTTCATAAGACGTAAAACTGAGCGTTGGCTGACTTGACTTTCAGCTGCGACTAGGCTAGAAGCACTTTGAGGATCTTCTTCCACACTCAACAAAATGTCAATTTTAGTGTCTTCACTAATACTCGGACGGCCAGGTTTTGGAATATCTTTGACATGTCTAGTCTATCTGAATTTCCGTTTAATTGTACTAACCGTAGCACGAGTAATATGTAGAGCTGGATACTTTGCATTAAATAAATTGCAAACTTCTTGTTGTGTTTTATTGCCACATCCTAGGAGAATTTAAACTTAAAAATATATACGAGCTGTGTTCAGAAAATAACGGGAATTGTTAAATTTCGCGGGTTTGGAGGGTCCGATTGTCATAAAATTTTCATTATTATGTTGGTATACATGCCCCCGAAGTATGATAAAAACTTTAGCTGTTTTCATTGTTTACTTTGTCTGTGGCAGCCGCTAAGGTTAGACGTGTTTTATGAGCTCGGCGATTTTTTGTTGGTTAAAAGAAATGGATCAAAGAATTTGTATCCAATTTTGCTTTAAAAAATAAAATAAATTCTGTGAAATGTTAACAAAGTCCTATTGTGAGTCTGCTATAAGTAAAACAAGAGTTTACAAGTGGTATAAGAGTTTCCAAGATGGCCTTGAAGACATTGAAGATGACGAACGCCCCAAACGCACAAGCACATTAACAACCGATAAAAACATGGAAAAAGTGGAATAAATGGTTATAAACCATCAGAGAAGTCGCTGATGATGTTGGTATATCGATTGGCTCATCCCATGCAATTATTTTGAATGTTTTGGGTATGAAATGCGTTACAGCAAAATTTGTTCTAAAATTGTTAAATTTTGAACAAAATTTTTGGCCAAAAAGAATACTGTAATGATGCCCCAGCCTCCATATTCGCCAGACATGCCTCTGTCTGACTTTTTCCTATTCCTAAAAATAAAGAGAACCTTAAAGGGCCGTCGTTTTGCAACCATAGATGACATTAAAAGCGCATCGCTGAAAGAACCAAAGGCTATCCCAAAGTTTTTCGGGTATTGGAAGAAGAGCTGGCACATGTGCATAATATCCAATGGGGACTATTTTGAAGGCGACAATATTAATATAGACGAATAAATAAATATTTGTTTCAAAAAACGAAAATTTCCGATATTTTCTGAACACACCTCCTATATATAAAATATCCAAATTTTATTAATTTTACATCTTAAGGTACAAATCTTTTTTGCAATAGGTAGTGTTTTAAATAATTGGATGCTTTCTATTCAATTCAAAATCGCAAATTTTCGATGTAAACCTGACCTTGGCTAGTAATAGACTTTTATTTCTTTGTTGGTGAGAGAAAAGTTGATAAAAGTTCGTTATTGAAAACGTGGGAGTCTTGTATTACGTAAAAGGCAAAAACTATAAGAAGCAGTTTCTTTGTTTATTGATATAAATAGATAACCTGATATAAATTATAAGAATAATTGATAGGATACGACTTGATGTAATATTGAAAATTTTAGGTTTGTTGTAGACATTAATTAAGTTTTAGATAATTATATGGCAATGACCTGGTGAATTACGTGCATCACACACATGCATGTTTATATGGGTGATTCCAATTCAATTTAAATTTAAACCACCTAGAGAAAGTTTGCATTTTTTTAAGTTAAATTAAAATATTCAGGCTAGACCGTTTTTTTACAATTTCATTTACAAAAACTTTTTTAATACCAATTAACAAGATGGCTTAATTAAAATAAAAACCGAAAAACATTTAATCTTTTTTATGCGAATTTCAAGTATAAATGTTTATTAGTCTATGTAATTGACTATACTATAGATTTTAAAAACCTGTTTTACAGTATAACCAATTAAATAGATTAATTTTCAATGAATTAATATTTTTAGATAGTGTTGTATGGAAACCTGACATGCCAATTGGGATCACTTAAATCATAATTAAAATAATTCAAGCTATGTACTTCCAACTTAATTGGGGCGTTACTTAACAACAATTTTAATATGTATTACAAAATAAATTTAACTTTTTTCTTATTAATATATGACACAGTTTTTAACAAAGTAATTAATTTAATTGAACTAACCTAAATATTAGTGTAATCTTTTGTTATAGGAAGCCAATAATTGCGGTTGAAACCTATTAGGTTTGAAGAAAATAAAACTTGTATCATTTAATATTGTACATGTATGCATGAATATGATTTTTATATAAAAAATTACAATTTCGTATTTTGTATTGTTTTAATGTATGTTTTTATTGTTTATTGTAGTGTAATGTATTTTTATAAGAATGTATATAAGAGTACAAAATACAAATAACTGTAAAAGCACGTGTTAGGGTTAGGGCGGGCCCACGCAATTGCCTAGACTAGGTCAGTGCACAAGTTTGTACCATATATCTCACAAAGTTTATTTAGTAGGATTAAAAATATGTAGGTATTTTAAGTCTCTAGCATATATATTTGTTTAGAAAAAGGGCTAGCACTGAGGTGCCAGGGTTATATAACGATTTTAACACTTAACTAACAACATTAAACACTCTAAAAGCATACATTAAATAGAAAAAAAATTTAAAATATATAAAATAGTGTAGACTAACAATTGTGGAGAATACCGGAAGGTCTTTCGTAGTCCATCCAAGGGTCCTTTGTCCCCTTGTGTTGGGGTACGTGTTATAACTTGACATGAGGGCCATGGGCCCCAAATCCCACACCTAACACCCATTCACGGCAGGCCAGACACTTTATTAAAAAAATTACATAGTTTTTTTAACGCGAGGAAAGCGGGTAGATTAGAAGAGATAAAAGGGTTTTTTCGGATTTATGAAAAAGGCGTCGATGTTGTTTGGACGTCGGGGCGTCTGTCAACTGTTCGGAGTTTGTTACGACTGAAATTGGTGCGAGATACAGCAAGACTCCAGCTTCCAAGTACAGATCAATAACTGGGCTACAGAGCCGGGTCCAGAAAGTTTACCTATTGAAAGTTCTTATAATAATAAAATAATAAATTTACAGGAAAATGTGAAAATACATACATCTATTTTTGATATATTTTTCCAGGCTTATAGAGAATTGCTCGTTTTTAATTAGATGCTTATAGTTATTTCAATATTCAACTGTTATTCATATGGAATTTTTGATTCTGGAATTTATTAAAAATGTAGAAATTCGTAGTAATAATAACGCAATACTGGTTATTAAATCCATTAATAAATTAAAATATCATTCAATTTGCATGTTATTAAAAACTAAATACTATTATGAGTATTTTTGCGCCAAATTCAAAGTGCAAAGGGGGATAATTTTATTTCTTAAACGATACATACAATAAACATATTTACTGACCTATAAAAAACAATATTTCTTTATTATTTTGGTTGTTATATTTTTTGTTATGTGTTTCCAGGTCACAGTGCGACACTATATTTTTAAAGTTTTAAGGGATGTCCACCAAAAATTGTTTTCAGAACTTTTTAAACGTTTTATCCCTCCTAATAAATTTATTTTCAAAATTACGCTAGTGCTCATTCACGGATCTTTAGAGAAACCATAAAGAAAGTTAAAACAATGGAAATATTCTATTAAATAATATTTATTGCTCCTTAAGAGCTAAATTAAATCGAAAATTAATATTTTATTTTTCTTAAACATATAAAAACTACAAACTTTTAAATAACAAATGAAACAAAGTACGTACGCAACTAGTAAATCATCTCATATTAAAAACTAAATCCTATTAGACGAAAATTCAACAACAGCCTTTAAAAGTTGCTGACCATACCGTGGGTCGTCAATAATATTCATTTTGTGTTTATTCCAGACAGTCGGGAATTCTCTGTGAATAGACTCCCCTGCCTGTTCTGACCAAATTCCTAAGCCACTGTTTAAAAAGGAAACACTGTCTTTAAGATGATGCAATATGCAATGAATTTTAAGAGTTTGTGATACTCCGGAGTCCTTTAAAACTGCTTCTAGATGTTTGAGATCTGATTCGAGTTGTACTTCAGTTTTCGTTGTACCGAAACATTTATTGACAATTTTGTTCATCACATTGAATGACGCAACAAATGGCATAACCAGAACTTAATTTACATTTCCCAGTACTTCTTTTGATGTTAATTCATTGGCAGCCTTTAGGAGCTTTCTGCAAGAATTACCTTCGAAAATTTTTACTGCTTTTGGATACTACACAACGATGAGGCAAGCCTTTTCCAAGAACTTGAAGACATGTTTCACAAATGCTGAGTTTTTTACTACGATTTCTGTTGTTAAATATTCGATGTCTTCTATTTGGGTGACTTTTTGACCTAGCAGTTTGACAAATTAAACAATAACATTCCCGAAAGCCTCTAGTTTCTTTCGGAATTAAAATATTTTTGAAATGGGGCATTTTTGGTAACTTACGGTTTAACTTACCGTTTTTTGTTGAACCAAAGATATTCTACAACGAGTACAAATAGAAATAGGCTACACTAGGTCACACTCATTAAGGTTTGGAATTAAAAACTCACATATCAGTTCTTTAATAATTAGTTCTTTAATAATTAAAAATTATTTTCATAGTTATTTGAAACTTTTAAGAATTCTTTGCCAAAAGTTATTTTCAAACCAAAACTAACACATACTTTTTTCCTGTTTTCTTCATATTGTTGTATGAGTAGCCATTTTCACCAATAAAATTTTAATATTTTGACAAACTACGATAATTTCACTGAAAAATAATTCTAAAATATTAAATGATAAGGTAAAAACCACACTTGCTTATAAATGTGACAGTTCAAGCGCTTTGTTTTTGTTTGCTGACATATCGCGGGATACTAGATAATTAATTAATGATGCACTACAATAAAATCATAGCATACTTTGATGCAGTAAATTATTTCTTTAAATTTAAATGTCGTTATTTAAAAAAAAATGGTTTCCATTAAAAATATCAAAAGGATCTGCTGCAATTTTTAGTAATAGTTATTGTTAATTAGCAATAAACCTATTATTTTAATCTGAAAAACATTTTTGGTGGACATCTCTTAAAACTTAAAAAATGCAGGGTCGCACTGTGAGGTGTTAGAGAAAACATTTTTTCTAGCAGAGTATAAAGAAATCTCAAGAAATTTGTGGTAAAAATACTATTTATATTATTGGTGGTCAGGGCCCACAGAGGGGTTGGAGGTAAGAGAGGCAATTTGCCATGGTCCCCGAGTGGGCTTATTTCAATATTGATATATTACACTTAAAGTGATTGAAATTTATTGAAAGTTTCATGAAATTTCAGAAATTTAGGAAATTTTAATAAATTTCATAAATGTCATGTACAAGCAAAAGGTGAAATTTTTCCAACCCTAGTAGCAGGTACAGAAAATCTGTAAACATTTTTGGAAATATTTTGGGGCTCATAAAAAACTTAACCCCAACTTTGCAGATTATAATTATTTTGAAAAAGGTTTTAGAAGAAGTTTTACTAGGATTTCATTAAAAATTAAAACTGTTAATTATCCGTTATAACAAGTCCTGCCCTGTACGGCTAAAGCGCATGTTCCGCCCACATTAATGTCAGGGTTGAAAATTTTAAATGAATACGGATTAAAAATTACCCCTTAACGCTTTATGCCATTTCGAAGCTATAATGGGCTAGTTAGACGCAGAAGTGGGGATAACCAAAATAAACGACAACAACGCATAAAACATTGTCGCGAGTTTTGACAACAGGGTGTGTTTCACAAGAGAAGCGAATCAAACAAGTTGCACTTTTAGATGAGAAAATTGGGTCAGGAGGTAGAGGATTTGAACCCTTATAACCTATATTGCCGGCATTTTATGGGGTCGTTGAAAAATTTATTTGTTTGTGATGGAAGATGTTTTTAGGGGGTCGGTTATTGGGTCATTAGCCCTTCAAGAATTAAATTTAAAAAATATAGGGGTTTTATAAATTAAACTACAACTAGCAAACAATATTTAAGAATAAGACAACGTAGAAAACCATTAAAATCAATCAGGGTCCCTATTTAATATTCCTTGCGTTATTAAAAAGACGTTAAAATCCATTAGCATTCAATAAACATGCGTTTTTTAAATGTATTTATTCAAGGAAGTTGTAGTAAAAATGTTAACAACGACAACATAAGTATACCGAATTGTATTTAGCTCTTTACCTATTACAATTGTACTTTTACTACAGTTCTTAAAAATCAATAAATGAAGATGTGGTGGATGGCAGTTAGTGTTTCAGTGTGTGTAGAGCGGGTGTTTTTGTTTTGATTCAGGTTAAATTATTTTTTCTACTTCCACCTTTAAAACGCCCTTTATCGTACATGTTTCCATGACACTAAGTGACCTTTTAAATACACATTGACAAGTTGTGGCTTTACGGCGCTTTAGTCACGGGCTGAAGTTAGCAACAGGTTTTTAGTCACGGGCTGAAGTTAGTTTTAAGTTAGTTGACAGTTGTCAAATGTCATAAAATCGTTAAAATAAAGTGCCTTTCTTGTAAAATAATAGGTACTAAATGTGAAAATTATTTTATTATCTCATTATAAAAATACAAAAATATTAAATAGTTTCTCAACGCCAATATTTGAAAAGTTTATATGAACATTGTACTGACCTTTTAATTTCGCCGGCAGTAAACTATAACTTAAATTCGGGCACGGACTCTACTGTAAAGTCCTCATAAAACTCTACTTTCACTGTGAAAAACTGTCAATTTTCAAGATACAATTTTTAAGATACATTTCGATTTTATAACCTTTATAATTGTGTTTACAAAATGTAAAAATGTGACATTTGACAGTTTTCCCTGTTATTTTATAGATGGCGCTCTATACAAATTTTTGATTTAAGTCATTTTAAGATAATAAGTATTTGTCGTAGAAAAAGTATAGTATACACCTCGTTTATAAACTTTTCTATACACTCATTAACTTAAGCACTCGCTCGCAAGCTCGCTCGTGCCTAAATTAAATTCGTGTATAAAATGGCGTTTATCAAACTTGATACATAATATACTATAAAACTGTTGTCTGATCTTTTATAGTTTTTGTTTCGATTAGTAAAACACTAGACTGCGCCAAAAAAATCGACTATTTTTTTTTGTAAAGTATCTATCATCGCAATTTTAGATTTTTTTTTCCTGAGCGAGTTTTTGTCTCAGAACTTCCAAACCATTAAGTTTAACAAAATTATTTTTTAATGAACATTGAATGCTCTACAAAAAAGGTCTGATTTAAATGTCCCGTCAGATAACCATGCCTTAAAAATGGTATAGTTTTACAATTTGATCTTTTAACTCTGGAATTTTGTAATTTATGTAAAAATCAGTAACCGGAATCCGCTGTAGATTTTTTTTGTGGGTTAGTTAAAAACTTTCTTTTATCGATGAATCATCGACGATGATAAACTTTATGTTATTGATAAAATTACTGATAATAAAATTATAACACATTCGAATTTTTTCGCTATTTTCTTTAGAGCATTTGATTTTCCATAAGTATATTTATCGGTTTTTTCCGGGTACTGATTTTTACATAAATTACAAAATTCCAAAGTTAAAAGATCAAATTGTAAAACTCTACCAATATTTAAGGCATGATTTTAAGGAAACGATTCATCTGACGAAAAATTTCATTAAGACCTTTTTTGTAGAGAATTCAATTTCCTTAAAAAAATATATCTGAGTCAATTTTGTTAAACTCAATGGTTTGGGAGTTCTGAGACAAAAACTCGCTCAGGAATTTTTTTTTAAATTGCGATGATAGACCACTTAATATTAATATTATGGACTTTCACTTATAATACCACAAGAGCTTCAAAATTATCGGGTATTTTTCCCGATAGGTTCGTTGCAAACAAATGAAGGAGTCAAGTTTTTCAGGTTAAAAAATCACGAGCGCGAAGCGCG